CATATATACATACATATATATATACACACACACACACACACACACACACACACACACACACACACAAAGTTTTAAACAATTTAGTACTGGTACACAGCAATGATGATTGTGAAGCTTGGTTGAGGTGGTGAAGTCAGAGGGTGGGAAATTTCCCAGGGAATACCTTACTGCTAAATGATGAACTAGCAATTGGCTGAGCCCTCAAGGATTAACTCATTGTTGTTAACGTAGCCTCACACTCTACAAGGCAGCACGAATGGAGGAAAGGGAGACAGCATGGCAGACAGAGACACACACCATGTGTGTGAGAGAGAGATGTGCATTGCCCCTTTAAGTACGCTGAGCCCACTCTAAGTACACTGCCTTTTTAAGTAGATCAGCAAGTTGAGATGGCAGCTGCTGCCAGGAAGCTCCCTCTGTCCCAAGCCCTGTTGTGTCCCCCCACCGCTCTATGGATGATGAAGTAAACTGGATGCAGGAGCAGGGGGAAGGGGGACACCCTGACATTAGCCCTCTCTTCCCCCCTCCCCTGCACAGCAAGCAGGAGGCTCCGGGGAGCAGCTCCAAGGCAGAGGGCAGGAGCAGCACATGGCAGTGGGGGGAGGGACAGCTGAACTGCCGGCAATTGGTAGCCTGCTGGGTGGCTGCTGCACAGGGAACTTAGGGGAGCGGGGAGCTGATGGGGGGTGCCCATCCACCCTGGTTCCAAGCCCCCACCAGCTAGCTGCAATGGGCTGCTCTTCCTGCAAGCAGTGGACAAAGCAGGCGGCTGCCAAACAACGTTATAAGGGAGCACTGCACAACTTTAAACGAGCATGTTCCCTAACTGATCAGCAGAACAAAACAACGTTAACTGGGACGACTAAGTGAGGAGTACAAAGAAACCCTTTGTAGCACACCTGCCAATATCTAGGTGCTGGTTAGTTGTATTTTCACCCAAATGCTTTGAATTTGTTCAAAAATACAGAGAGGAATCAGCCATCGATTCCACCTAGTAGGAGCAGCTGCAGCAGCAGACAAAGCAGGGACTATTGCACGGGGGTGAGGGAGGGGGTAAAATGTGGCCCTAGCTGGGCCACCCCTTCCATAGCACCACCTGGACTCAAATGGGGACCTCTCCCTCACCAGGAGACCCCAGGGAAAAACTACAGAGGAACGCTGCAAGGAACTACAGCCCACAGGAGCAACTGCAAAAGCAGCCAAGGCAGGGACCTTCAGTCATGCAGAGAACTTTCCACAGTTTTGACTGAAATTTCTCTGCCATGTGCTGATTGCCTGTTTGCTCCAGCCCTCCCACTTTCCCAGTCTCTTAACCTCAGTTTCACTCCATACCCGTCCCCCTCACCACCTTCCCTTTTCTTTTTATGCAACTTATCCGCCCCTCTCAACTAACCCCTCTCCCCTGCCTGCTGCCAAAAAAAATGGAACTATTATGACAGTGCTTCCTCTGCTTGTGTTGTATGCTTTCCCCTAGCCTCTGTCTTGTCTATTTAGATTGTAAGATCAGAGCAGGGACTGTTCGCTGTTCTGTTTTTGTGAAGTGCTAGCACAATGGGGCCTCACTCTCAATTGGTTCTTAAGGCCCCATCATAATAAACATGCTGTTTAACTACCATCAACTGCTTATGGAAAAATCTCCTTGCTAACATAGTTCCTTCTAATTAAGGAAGAATATTGCAGTAGAAGATTAATATGTCTACACCCTAATGAGAGCTGTTCATAGCTAAACAAAGAGAAAGCAACAAGTAATAATAGGGTACAAGCTAAGAGATAACAGGAAGTGCTTATATTACAAGGTGAAAAACTAAAAGCCTGTGAGCGACTGCTCTGCTATTCAAGACTGATGGGAGCCCAAGTAAAGAAACAGGTACTTGGTTTGAGGCACTGACAAATGCAACAGCATGGGAAGGCCAAGCCCCAAGAAATGCGGGGATGCTAGCTGTGTTCAGAAGGCGCACAGGAAGAATCCTAACTAACAAGCGTGGCAGGTATGAGAGATCAAAAAGGTAACAATACCTATCATGTTCTAAGTGCACATATAACATTTAACAACCCCACCCCACCCACAGAGAGATGAAGCAGCAATGGTTGGAGAAGCTATTTTAAAAAAAAAAAACCTTGCAAAAAATGGACATTGAGGGAGAGGCTTACATTTCAGCCATTTTGGTATCCTTCAGAATGTGGACATAAATAATGAGGGCTTGTTCATGCTTCCCCATACGACCCAACAGCAGGGCACGTTCTTCTAGGAGGCCTAGAGGGGAACATAAAGGAATAATCAGGCCTGCCACAGAAAAGGGAATATTCAAGCTCCACTACAACAACAGACCAAGGAACTGGATGGCATGGGGACAGGAGTGAAAAGCAGGAGAATAATATAAATTGTGGCATGAACAGAAGGTCAGAGACTACTAACTAGGTGATCTATCGGTGGTGTCTGACCAGGTCAAAACACTATCACTTTACTGGCTCCTGAACTATTTTTGCCAGTGCCCCCCACCACCTTTTTTATTGAACATGCTTGGGATTCTTAGCAATGCGCATAGGATGCTTCAAGGGCCATTATTGGTCTGGAGCAATCCAAGCTCATCTACAGGTTACAGTATAAATTTAAAAGAGAAGTCAGTCAGCAGCTCGTCTTATCCCACCACAGACCCAGAGGGGAATCCCACTATACCAGTCACAAAACCCAAACAGCCAACACTGGTGCATGCAACGATTGGCAACTACTGACCTAATAGTTCTTTTCCATTTCAGTTACTATAATTTTATAAACAGGAAGGCGAGCACGAAGATATTGCTGTGCAACATGAAACTAAATAGACTTCAAGCTGAAGGAAGCTAGAGCATGACTAGCACTCACCATCAAAGGGGAAATCACTGATGAGACGACTAGGTTCATAGCAGCTAGAAATCTCAAGAAAACAGAGCAGCTTTCTCCGATACTCCCCCAGGTCTCCGTCCTCCTCTCCAGCAGGCACTGGAATTTTATCTGTGAGGGGGAGAAAACTGTCAGAGTTAGTGTCATATGAGTTCTCCCACAGTAACATAAGGGAACAGGGAGACAGAGCATTTTCACCAAACTATTTTGCAAGAAGTCAAATGTTGTTTACAATACTCCATGCACTGGGGACCATGTGGTATAAAAGATGCATGAATAACTCTTAGGGAGTTTCAGAGTAGCAGCCGTGTTAGTCTGTATCTGCAAAAAGAACATACATGCCATGTGCCAGCAATGCCCCTCTGCCATGTACATTGGCCAAACTGGACAGTCTCTATGCAAAAGAATAAATGGACACAAATCTGACATCAGGAATCATAACATTAAAAAACCAGTAGGAGAAACCTTCAACCTCTCTGGTCACTCAGTAACAGACTTAAAGGTGGCAATTTTGAAACAGAAAAGCTTCAAAAACAGATCCCAACGAGAAACTGCTGAGCTTGAATTAATATGCAAACTAGATACCATTAACTTGAGTTTGAATAGAGACTGGGACTGGTTGGGTCATTACACATATTGAATCTATTTCCCCATGTTAAGTATCCTCACACCTTCTCGTCAACTGTCTAAAATGGGCCATCTTGATTATTACTACAAAAGTTTTTTTTTCCTCCTGCTGATACTACCTCATCTTAATTAATTAGCCTCTTACAGTTGGTATGGCTACTTCCACCTTTTCATGTTCTCTGTAGGTATATACATTTCTTACTATATGTTCCATTCTATGCATCTGATGAAGTGGACTGTAGCCCACGAAAGCTTATGCTCAAATAAATTTGTTAGTTTCTAAGGTGCCACAAGTACTCCTGTTCTTCTTAGGGAGTTGGAGGACTATGGTCTCCTTTTTTGGACCACTTGATAATGAAGCAGAAAGCCTCTCTTTCCCAAACCCCAGAATTCAGGAAAGGGTAGTCTCAACTCCACACAACCATGAAAAGAAAAAAAAGTTTCTCACTGCTTCCTAGAATTTCCTTTAACACACAAAACTATAAGCTCCATGTAAGATCACCACTATTGTACTCCCTTCATCCCATATTAGAAGCATGCTGTGCTCTTTTCCCTAGGAAGTGCACTAGCAAAGAGAACCTATAATTTAAATCATTAGTGACATGAATAATGGAGTGGACAGTTTTTATAAACAAACTGTGGATGACACCAAGATGGGAGGTGTTGCAAGCATTTTGGAGGACAGGATTGGAATTCAGAAGGACCTGGATACATTGTAGAATTGGTCCCACACTTTAAGAATGATGTGGATAAATGGGAGAGAGTTCAGAGGAGAGCAACAAAAATGATAAAAGGTTTAGAAAACCTAACCTATGAGGAAAGCGTGTTTTGTTTTGAGAAAAGCAAACTGAGGGAGAGCCTGATAACAGTCATCAAGTATGTTATAAAGAGGATAACTGTTGTCCTGCCTTCAGTGGACACGGAGAAGTAGTAATGGGCTTAATCTGCAGCAAGGGAGATTTAGGCTAGATATTAGGAAAGCTTTTAGCTGTAAGAATAGTTAAGCACTGAAACAGGGTTAAAAAAAAAAAAAAAGGCAGTGGAATCCATCTTCGCAGGTTTTTAAAAACAGGTTAGACAAACACCTATCAGGGATGATCTAGGTATACACGATCCTGCCTCAGCAAAGAGGATGGACCAGATAACCAGTTGAGGTCCATTTCACCCCTACATTTCTAAGAGACTTCTAAGGCAACGTCTAGCCAGTGTGCTCTGCAATCTCCCCTTCCTGTGTCACTGCCTGTTGCAAGGCAAGGCAGAGCATGGTTAGAAGTACCTGCAGGGAAGGAGCTGAGATATTCCTTCATTAATCCCTGCACCTTCTCACAGTACAGCTGGATCAGACAATTGTGGAATTCTGAGCTCGTCTCCTCCCAAACATGGATGATGTGTTCCTGTGAACATAAACACACAGTTCACAAGTTCATCAAAAAATGCTTCCTCTTCCTTCAGAAAGTGATTCAGTGCAGTCTATCAACAGTTCCACACTTTTCTCCATTGACCACCACTTAGGAATGTCAAAAATGGCTCTCAAGTCCCACTCGCTTTTCACCTCCTAACAACTGTACATTTTGTTTATTTCGCCTCATGCTGAACTTAGTATTCATCACAAAATTTCAGATTCAACACTCAAGAGCAGAAGCTTGATATAGACGTGTTAAATTAGCAGCACTTTTTTCACTACAAGTTCTTACCAGGTAAGGGATAGCCAGGCTTTTAAAGCTTTCTATCAAGAAGTTGAGTACTTTGTCTCGAGGCAAGGATTCTACTTCAGGAAGGTCTTCTGTAAATATCTGCCAAACAAAATTTCTATTCAGGGACTGATTTTTAAATGTAGAGTGTAATCTCATTCTTCTGAGGCATAGAGATCAGAGGTATTGCAACACACAAGCCCTCAAATCAAATGTGGGAGCTCTCTGAAGAATGATAGCAGCAGATTCACCCACTTGGCGCTGCCTTGTATCTGGAATGAGCAGCAACTCTCTCCATTGCTACCCTACGTATCACATACATCGCCTATTAAAAAGTGCACTTAAGCTTGTGTTCTACCACCAGAAGCTGCAGCAGAGAAGGAATGAAAAACAAGAGCATAAGTTATAGTTGGTATTTAAATATACCATATGAAACTGTGTGCAACTACAAAATACATCATTAATCGTAACATTACATAGGGCCCTTATTGCTGGTTACAGCAAAAGCCCCCTGTGCAGAGGGAACTGCATGGATGTGAAGCTTTAGTTGTAGTGAAACTATTTCCACATGCTCATCTTCAAGTAGAAGGCTATATAAGGAAACACGTAGGAATGCTCTATCTACCTCCTTCCATTACTAGAAAGAATTTCTGCACTGAATGTAAGTGGAAAAACTAGACGTTGCACTGGAGTTCAATGGTAATAATTGGACTCCAATCTCTACCCAGGCTTCTGAGGACAAGGACAAACAACTGCTGCTATACTAATGGTATCAATAGCCAGATGAAAGATACATCTAATGTAGCAACTCTTACCTTCAAACCATCATCAGGAAAGTCTCTGAGCACCCATGTGGAATAGAGGAACACCAAGTGCAAGTTTTCTGTGCCTGGAACAAGAACCAAAGTAATAACACTCACCACTATCTGAATTACCAGTTCCTGCACAAGCACTGATTTGCATAGTGAAATATTTTCACAACCTGAGATGCTAGAAGTTTGATTTAAGAAAAAACAGAGCTTGAATTATAGAGAGCAAATTCTGTGCTAAGGCCCCAGTTTGCTATTCAGCTAGCTCCCGCTTGAAAATCAAGTCAGCCAAATACTATGGTACCATTAGACTTATACAATCACAAGAAAAACAAGATCCAATGGCTGGAAACTGAAGTAACAAAATTTAGACAAATAAGATGCTCTTTTAAAATAAAACAGAGTAATTAACTATTGGAACAACTTGCCATCGGTTGTGGTAGATTCTTCATCACTGGAAATTTTTAAGTTTTTCTAAAAAACATATTGTCTACTTTAAACAGGAATTATTTCATGGAAGGCCTATGCTATATCAGACTAGATGGTCATAATGCTTCTGACCTTATAATCTCAGAGATGCCAACCTTGCTCTGAGTCTTAGGGATGTTTATGAAAAAAGTTAGGGAGGAATAGGGAAGTTGCTTGGACCTGTGCCAACTGCCAAAGTTGGGAAGCCAAATACAGACGGGAGTCTGGAGTAGCGCCTAAACGCATCTAATCCATATTAGAAGCGCTTCTGTGCATATCAGAGTAATAACAGTATTCAAGATGAAGTGACATTTAGTAACAACAAACATCAATAGCCACAACCAGGTCAAATCATGATTTTGGTGATATCCTCACTCATTTTTAAATCACCCACATCAGTCATATTGATTAACAGTAGTGGCTGCTGAACTTTGGGGCGAGTCACTGCAGCATACCAAAAACACACAACCACGCCTGCTTCCTCCCATGGCAATATCCCCCCCATCAAAGGTGCAACCAGAATTTTCCTGAGGGGCAACCTCCCCTTCCCCCCCCTCCCCCCCACAGGCATGCACCTTTATATGAGTTTCCTTCCTTTGCACAGTCATGACTTCTTTCTCCCCCGTGCCTCCCCGCCAGAAACAGGGACCTCTGCCCCTACCTCCATCTGTGGCCAAGAGCTGCCCCCCTGGTTGCGTCCTTCCATCAAAACAGGCAAAAAAGGGAATACTGGCCTTAAGAAAGCTGCCCTCTTACTCCGCCTAGGGCCCTTCATTACCTTGGCCAGCCCAGGCCTGGACCTCCTTCCCAGGATGATCCTCCTGTCATGTACCCTCTCTTCCTCTGCCTTCTTCTGCCCCTCTGGCTTCTCTCCCACAGACTGTGCAGTAAGGGTCAGCCAGAAAACAAGCCATTGTCAGGGGGTTTGGGGAGCAGATTCATTACCCAAGCCTCATGTTGCGTGTTGCACTTTAACGTCCCTATGCGGAATCCACTGGTGCATTCTAGGTACCCAGAGCGCATTACCATAACCCAACAGCACCCTAACCCATTCAAAATTGTCACGGTTTGCTTTCTATCAGGCCCTTACTGCACCACAGGGGTGCTGGAGCAGAAAGCCCCTTGCAGCCATGGCACTACTTGTGGTGTTCATCTGAACGAGTGGTGGTGAGTGACTGATGCTTGCACACACTTTATATGTTATACATATAAAAATGTGTGTGTTTGCAAAATTCATAGATTTAAGCCAGAATTAGTAATTTTGTAACTACATGTACAAATTGGGAGGATTACAGAAAATATGGATGGTTGGCATCTCTGCAATTTATGAAAATTCACAAAAGAATCTAGGTAATGAGGGTTAGAGGCGTCCCTTTAAAAGAGAGATTCTCACTTACCCCCGGTCTGCACTCACCCAAATGCTGTAGATACTGCACTGTCCTTTCATGGCCCTTCAAAGGCGAGTTGGCTTTCTTTGATTGATCCACTAGCACCTGCAGAGCTTTTAGTAGAAGTAAGATCAATTCCATGGGGATTATCCTTAAATTTAGAAAGCAGCTTCCTGCATTCACTGAGAACTCGTGTTCCTGGGAGAGCAGGCCAACAAAGTGTGCTCCCCATTAGCTTAACCAATGCAGCAGAACAGGAAAAATGATTTTTACATGTCAACTTTTTGCTACACAAGCAGCTCTTGGCAAGCACATACTCAAGTATTTATCCCTGTTAATTGCCTAAAGTCAAATAATTATTTAATCAAGAGACTGCTACAATGGGTAGGCCATTCTGAAATACTGTTAGTTTAAGAATGGATAAACAGACTCTTGTCCGCAAGGGATGGGTTAAGATGTATAGCAGAAGTGTGCACTCCATTCACCCCTCTTCCTTCCTCACTTACCTTTTTCATGCAGCCCTTTCTTCTCATACAGTATTATCAGCTCACTGTACTTGTGTGCCTTCTTCAGTACATGCTCACTCTCTTCTATATGGCAGTGATTGTTCTCCAGACGTAGCAACGGTGCTACCAGAGCTACATTTGTCTGCAAGCAAGGGAAGGGCATGTAGAGGTTTCAGATTCATGAACTGTGTACTCAGGCTCATAGTGTCCAACACTATAATCAAGAACACAGGAAGGGGAGGAGATCCAGAAAAGAGAAAACATCCATTATGGCACAAGAAGTGGGATTTTAACATTTGAAAGGGAGTCCTCTACTCTGTCCATTTTACATCCAGTTTAACTTCGGTTTTCAGTGAGCAAGCAGATAGCCAGTGGCCTATATACCAGCACTACTTTACTCACTATGGTGGAGGCCAGCTGTTGAGAAACATTAACTTCAGGTGTAATGGTCTCAGACAACTGTCTATCTAGTTAAGCACAGCAATAAGAGACAAGCATGCTTACAAATATGTAGGTATTTCTCTATACTTCAAAACAGAACATTCCTCTTTTTTAAGGAAAGGCAACCTTGCAAATCCAGGGGAGTAAACAGATATGCTTGCCAAGTTCGGTGAAGCTGTCTGCTGCTAACGAAGAAATAAGAGGAGATGAAATTAAGTTCCACAAAGCACCTTAGTCCATGAAGGACAGATGTTCACTTCAACAACCTCAAATGAAACTATTCCTTATCCTGTCTTCCAATTTTCCCCACCCCAAACTCCCAATGGAGTTTACTTTTTATAGATTTTTATAGGCTCGCTGAGTTAGGCAGGGAACTCACATGTAGGTAACACTTGAGCAAGGTGGTGTCAATGATTTGGAGCAACTTCTTTTTGGATTTGATGGTGGGTGTTCCTTCCATGAGGGGTGAGGTGCTGGACTGGTGGTCTGAGTCATTTAACTTCTTTACCAGCTGACTTCTTTTCTGCAGAACACAGAATGAGATTTTAAAAGTATTTTATTCCACCATCCCGCTAATACAATTCCAAAGGAAAACAGGCCAACCTAAACCCTCTTAATTATAATGCATTACACACACCCAGCAACTGTCCCTCCGCAAGTATCTCAATTTAGATTTAAGAGGTGTCCATCCATAAATCTGGGTGCATTTCAAAGATTTAATTACTAAAACCCATAAAATCGGAACTAGTGTCCAGAGCTCAAGTGTCCCCACAAACAAAGTTCTGCCACCACCCACTTCTGCTTGCTCTGCCAACCTCTTGTCCAGGAAAAGCCTGGGCAAATAAGCGTCATCTGCAGTGTAATCTATTGGTCAATATATTTGTTCTCAAGTGGTCAAAGAGGAAGGGCATTACAGAACGGATGATCACTTCCTGAAAATAGCCTGCCTCCAGTCCTTCCCAGTTTATGCCAGGGAACTTTTAGCTCTAGGGCCTCAACTAATTTCACCTTCCATGATATCACACCATGACAAGAGTAGTCCCCAATGTATACTAATTTTACACCACCAATTAATTTAAGAAGCTTACTGTTAATCTACATTAACCAAGTTTTATGAAAATTTAAGATTTGACATTTGTTTAAGAAAAAAGCACAAATGTCCAGTTCCTTTTGGTGGTGTCTTTCACCATCTACCCTTAATAGGCCAGCATGTCACAAACTAGTGAGAATAAATCTATGAATAGAAAAAGTAACATTTAGTCACTACTTTTAATTATTTAAGTCTAGAAAAAGTAAACTATCAAAGTTTGTCAGCATTGTAAGTACCTTATAGAAACCAGCCAAATTCTCAGCTGGTATAGCGCCACTGATTGCACGCTAGCTAAAGTTCTGTTTTTTTATCTTTACCAAAATAGCTTGGCCCTATAAATCACTATGTAGTAAGGGTTTTTAGCTATCAACCCAAGTTATTGACAGTATGTTTAAAATTTACACTATGTACTAGGAACACCAATACTGCGGTCTGGGTCCTCTTCCAATTTTAATACACAATCTACAATTACATTAAACTGCTAAAATGCACTTCTGACCCGGCGTAAAATCATAAGAAACAGTCACTTACTGCAACTGTGGTTCTTCGAGAGGTGATGCAAATATGTATTCCACTTCAGCTCCAGTGTATTAGGTGCGCGCGCACACCTGAAAATTTTGCCTAGTAGTACCCATAGAGGGCAGCACTCACACTTTGTGGCCATAAGCACACACTCCCCCAACCCCCCAGCTATGAGACAGCACTGCCCCAATTTCCCTCAGTTCCTTTGCACCAAGTATTCAGAGGCTAGAGTCCAATGCAGAGGGGATGGAGGGTTGGTTATGGAATGCATGTCTGCATCATATATTGAAGAACTACAGTTACAGTAAGCATTTCTTCTTTGAGTAGATACATCTGAAATACCTCCTTGCCTGAGGAGGTTGTGAAGGCTAGGACTATAGCAGGGTTTAAAAGAGAACTAGATAAATTCATGGAGGTTAAGTCCATTAACAGCTATTGGCCAGGATGGGTAAGGAACGGTGTCCCTAGCCTCTGTTTGTCAGAGGGTGGAGATGGATGGCAGGAGAGAGATCACTTGATCATTACCTGTTAGGTTCACTCCCTCTGGGGCACCTGGCATTGGCCACTGTCAGCAGACAGGATACTGGGCTGGATGGACCTTTGGTCTGACCTAGTATGGCCATTCTTATACAGCTGTGTGTATTCAACTTAGCTGCCTCACAAGCAGTACCCACCCCCAGGAGGCGAGGCTCAGAGTCTACCTAAACAAGAATCACCCTACCAAAACTTGCATCCGTCCTGGAAGATGCAGTAATGGCATAAAGGTTCATAAATGTATGGACGACCATGTAATAGCCCTGTAAATGTCTACTATTGAGATGTCACTGAGGAATGCTATCGATGTTCCTTGTGCTCTCATAGGACGAGCTCACATCTGCTGAGGAGGCACAGCTGAAGCTATTTAATGTGAAGCCTTGATACAGGATGTTATCCATTTAGAGATAATCTGAAGAGACTGCTTGCCCCTCCATACAATCTGAATTTGACAAACAGGTAAGGGGAAGCACAAAATGGTTTATTCCTGTTCAGACAGAAGGCTAGACATCACCTGACATCCAATGTGTCAAGACGCTGCTCCTCCGGAGATGACAGCAGCTTAAGAAAGAAAAGAGGTAAATATACTGCCTGGTTCAAATGGAACTGACAAAATGTTGGATGTAGTCATAACAAGTCACTTTGTCCTTAGAGAATTTCATATAAGGAGGCTCTACCATCAGAGCCTGCAACTCTCAAACTCTCCTTGCAGATGTTAATTGCTATCAGAAATCACAGCCTTCTGACACAAAAACAAAAAGGCAAGATGCCGGGGCTCAAATGGAGGTCTCATTAAAGCCACTAGGACCATTTTATGGTCCCCATAGAGGACCAAGCTCACGGACTGGAAGATGGAGACGAAGCCTTATAAGAATCTTGCTATCATGACATTGGAGAAGACTGATCCTCCATGAGTGGAGGGATGAAATGCTGATATTGCTGCCAGAGGTTCTCTCAACAAGCCAAGCACAATGCCTGAAGGTGCAGCGAGTACTCCAAGCTGGCTCCTATTCAGGACATGGTCAGTTGAATTTTGAGGGCTGACGAGCACACCAAAAACTGCTTCCATTTAGCTGAATAGGCCATTCTGGTAGAGGGCTGTCATCTGTTGATTAGGACCTATTCAACAGCTGCCAAATACCACACTTTCTCCTCATTCAGCAATGAAGCAGCCAAACCAGGCGATGCAGGGAGTTGAGTACAGAATCATAGGACTGGAAGGGACCTGGAGAGGTCATCTAGTCCTGTCCCCTGCTCTCATAGCAGGACTAAGTATTATCTAGATCAGTGGTTCCCAAACTTGTTCCGCCGCTTGTGCAGGGAAAGCCCCTGGCGGGCCAGGCCGGTTTGTGTACTTGCCGCGTCCGCAGGTTCGGCTGATTGCGGCTCCCAGTGGCTGCGGTTCGCTGCTCCAGGCCAATGGGAGCTGCTGGAAGCTGTGGGCCGAGGAACATACTGGCTGCCGCTTCCAGCAGGATAGCTCAGTGATTTGAGCATTGGCCTGCTAAACCCAGGGTTGTGAGTTCAATCCTTGAGGGGGCCATTTAGGGATCTGGGGCAAAAATCTGCCTGGGGATTAGTCCTGTTTTGAGCAGGGGGTTGGACTAGATGACCTCCTGAGGTCCCTTCCAACCTTGATATTCTATGAAAGATGAGGCCTCACCAACGCTGAATAGAGGGGAATGATCATGTCCCTTGATCTGCTGGCAACGCCCCTACTTATACAGCCCAAAATGCCGTTAGCCTTCTTGGCAACAAGGGCACACTGGTGACTCATATCCAGCTTCTCATCCACTGTAATCCCCAGGTCCTTTTCTGCAGAACTGCTGCCTAGCCACTTGGTCCCTAGTCTGTAGCAGTGCATGTGATTCTTCCATCCTAACCTCCATGAATTTATCTAGTTCTTTTTTGAACCCTGTTATAGTCTTGGCCATCACAACATCCCCTGGTAAGGAGTTCCACAGGTTGACTGTGCTTTGTGTGAAGAAACACTTCCTTTTGTTTGTTTTAGAACTGCTGTTTATTAATTTCATTTGGTGACCCCTAGTTCGTGTGTTAACAGAAGGAGTAAATAACACTTCCTTTCTCCATATCAGTCATGATTTTATAGACCTCGATCATATCCCCCCTTAATAATCTCTTTTCCAAGATGAGAAGTCCCAGTCTTATTAATCTCTCCTCATATGGAAGCCATTTCATACCCCTAATCATTTTGTTGCCCTTTTCTGAATCTTTTCCAATTCCAATATACTGTATCTTTTTAGAGATGGGGCGACCACATCTGGACACAGTATTCAAGATGTGGACGTACCATGGATTTATATAGAAGCAATAGGATATTTTCTCTCTTATTATCTATCCCCTTCTTAATGGATTCCCAACATTTTGCTAGCTTTTTTGACTGCTGCTGCACATTGAGTGGATGTTTTCAGAGAACTATCCACAACTCCAAGATCTCTTTCTTGAGTGGTAACAGCTACTTTAGACCGCATCACTTTATATGTGTAGTTGGGGTTATGTTTTCCTATGTGCATTACTTTGCACTTAACATTTAATTTCATCTGCCATTTTGTTGCCAAGTCACCCAGTTTTGAGAGATCCTTTTGTAGGAATTCGCAGTCTGCCTGGGATTTAACTATCTTGAGTAGTTTTGTATCATCTGCAAATTTTGTCCCCTCACTGTTTACCCCTTTTTCCAGATCATTTATGAATATGTTGAACAGGACTGGTCACAGAACAGACCGCTGGGGGACACCACTATTTACCTCTCGCCATTCTGAAAACGGACCATTTATTCCCACCCTTTGTTTCCTATCTTTTAACCAGTTACCGATCCATAAGAGGACCTATCCCATGACAGTTTAAGTTAAGCCCATTGCTTCTTGCCCTATCCTTAGAGGTTAACAAGAACCATTTTTCTCCCTCCTCCTTGCAACAACCATTTACGTACTTGAAACTCTCCCCTCTCAGGTCTTCTCTTCTCCAGACTAAAACCCAATTGTTTTTCAATCTTCCCTCATAGGTCATATTTTCTAGACCTTTAATCATTCTTGTTGCTCTTCTCTGGACTTTCTCCAATTTATCCACATCTTTCCGGAAATGTGGTGCCCAGAACTGGACACAATACTCCAGTTGAGACCGAGTCAGCATGGAGTAGAGCAGAAGAATTGCCTTCATGTCCTGCTTACAACACCCCTGCTAATACATCCCAGAATGATGATTGCTTTTTTTCGGGGGGGGGGGGGGGGGGTGCAACAGTGTTACACTGTGGACTCATTTAGCGTGTGGTCTATTATGACCCCCAGATGCCTTTCTGCAGTACTCCTTCCTAGGCAGTCATTTCCCATTTTGTATGTGTGCAACCGATTGTTCCTTCCTAAGTGGAGTATTTTGCATGTCTTTATTGAATTTCATACTATTTACTTCAGACCATTTCTCCAGTTCATTTTGAATTTTAATCCTATCCTCAAAAGCACTTGCAACCCCTCCCAGCTTGGTATCGTCTGCAAACTTTATAAGGGTACGCTGTATGCCTTTATCTAAATCACTGATAAAGATATTGAACAGAACCAGACCCAAAACTGATCCCTGCCGGACCCCATTCATTATGCCCTTCCAGCTTGACTGTGAACCACTGATAACTGGCTGGAAAACCATTCCCAGACAGTAGTTATGCACCCACCTTATAGAAGCTCCATCTAGGTTGTATTTTCCTACTTTGTTTACGAGAAGGTCATGAGAGACAGCATCAAAGGCCTTAATAAAGTCAAGACATACCACGCCTACCGCTTCCTCCCTATCTACAAGGCTTGTTACCCTGTCAAAGAAAGCTATTTGGTTGGTAAGGTGTGACCATGATTCTGTGAGAGTAGGACGAGATGGAGGGGAAGGGGTATGGGAGGCTGAACTGATAGTGCAAGAAAGTTGGAGAACCAGCTGCTTCGGCCACGCCGGAGCTATGAGAATGAGCTTGGCCAGGTCCGCCTTTAGCTTGAGGATAACCTCTGGGATGAGCAGGATCAGGGAAAAGCGTACAAGAGAGACAACTGCCAGCTGAGATGGAAAGCATCAGACACGGAGCCCAGATTGAGGCTCTCTTCGAGAAAAGATGATGTTTCCTTTCTCCCTCGTAGCAAAAAGATCAATCATCGGAATGCCCCAAGCTGCGAAGATAGTCACTAAAGGCAAGTATCCTCCGGGTTATTTGTGACTCAGGGAAGAATACCTGCTGAGATGGTCAGCAAGATGATTCTGGACCCCGAGTAAGTGATCAGTTATCAGAATGATACTCTCCTCAAAGCAGAACTGCCAAAACCTGATTGCCTCTTGGCATAGCATCCTGGAGAACGTTCCCCCTTGTCTGTTGACATAATAGTGACAATACCACCACGATGATGTATGTGAACCATCAAGCCAGGGGTTCTCAAATTGGGGGTTGGGACCCCTCAGGTGGTCACAAGGTTATTACATGGGGGGGTCGCGAGCTGTCAGCCTCCACCCCAAACCCCACTTCACCTCCAGCATTTATAATGGTGTTAAATATATTAAAAAGTGTTTTTAATTTATAAGGGGGGGGGGTCGCACTCAGAGGCTTGCTATTTGAAAGGGGTCACCAGTACAAAAGTTTGAGAACCACTGCACTAAGCCTCTATAATGATCCAGAAAAGCATGGCATGCATTATAGATGGCCCGAAGCTCCAGCACATTGATAGGCAGTGGATTCCTGCTCCAACCTCAGACCTTGAACTTGCAGCAATCCCAGATGCACTCCCCAGCCCATCAGGGAGACATGAGTGACAACCGTTTTGTTGGTAAGGGCCAGAAGAAGGCAATGCCCTGAAACACTCTTGGAAAGCATCAAGCACTGCAATGAGTCCAGGACCAGTGGAGGGAGATGGACCAATCTGTCCAAGGAGTGAACAATCTGTCAGTAAGCTGTCCTGAGCTACTTTTGAAGGGGGAGAAGACGCAACCTTGCAAACTGAACCACCTGTGTGCAAGCAGACACATAGCTCAATAGCCTCAGGCACATCCAAACTGTCATGAAAGGCTGACATCGCAGACTGAGGAACAGGTGGCAAATCACCTGAAAGTGATTAGTCAGCAAAAAATGCTCTGAAACTTAGAGAGTCTATTAGGGTCCCAATTAACTCAATTTTCTGAGTGAGAACCAAAGATGACTTCCTGGCATTTAGGAGGAGACCAGACGGTCTAGCAAGCGCAGTGTAGTGTTGACATAAGAAAGGATTTCCTCTCTGGACTTGCCTCTCAGTAGCCAGTTATTCAAGTATGGGGAGATGTGGATTCCTTTCCTCCTGAGGTATGCAGTCACCACAACCATGCATTTGGTAAAAATACCTGAAGAGAGAGAGAGGCTGAAGGGAAACACCATATACTGAAAATGGAGCTCTGCTTCGACTAATCAAAGGAATTTTCTGTGGCTCGGTAGAATTGCCACAGGAAAGCAAGCATCCTGAAGGTCCTTAGCAGCAAACCAGTCATTCTGAGCCAATGCGGGGAAGATAGTTGATAGTGACCATTGAGAACCTCATGTATCTGATATTTGTCAAGGCCACAAATATCAAGAATGGGTCTTACCTCTCCCTTGGATCTGGGCACCAGAGAGTAGTGGGAATAGAAGCCCTGACTCCAGTGGTCTAGCAGAACCCCCTTCACCGTTCCCAAAGCCAGTAGAGCATCTTGTGAGAGGGATCCCTGAAGAGGGGGTGGGGGGAAATGGAAGGAACTGGATGGCACAGCCCAATGTGATCGTGCTTAGGACCCAGCTGTCGGTGGTGATCAAGCCCCAAGCATTGTGAAAGCGAGCCAGCCTGTCCCCAAATCAGGGGACAGGGAGAAGGGAGCGATGACTGGAACACTGCCCTGGACCAAGGAGTCAAAATGGGTGCTTGGGGGATGCCTGGGGAAGGCACGTGGACTCGCCAAACCCCTGAGCCCTCTTCCTCTGGGACCTATGCCACTTTCTGGGGTAACCCCACTATCTTGGAGGAGGGAAAGGCTGACCAAGTGTGTACGGCAGACAATACTGCTGCTGATGCTCACTGAAGTGGTGCTTCTGCACTGACAGTGTGTACACCCTCAAAGAACATAATGTAGCCCTACAGTCCTTGAAGGAATGCAGAGTCATCCATTTTGTCCAAAAAAAGCACTAGGCCACCAAAGGGCAAATCCTCTATGGCTTGTTGCACATCAGGAGTAGTGCCCAAATTCTGCAGCCAAGACACCCTTCTCATGGTCACCGCTGAGGCCACTCTAGCCAAAGTAGCCACAACATTCAGCATGGACTTCAACAAAGTCTTAGCCACCAAGCATCCTTCAGTGATACAGGCCCAAAATTCCTCTCTCAAGGCTTCAGGCAGCTGGCCTGCAATCTTAGACGCAGCCGTCCAGTTTACAAAATCATATTTGGACAGCAATGACTGCTGATTAGCAATGCACATCTGCAAGGAACAGAAGGTGTAAATCTTCCTACCCATCAGGTCCATTTGTTTAGAGTCCTTTTCCCTGGGAGTAGACTTAAATCTGCCCTGCTGAGCTCTATCATTCACTGCAGTTATGACCAGGGAATTTGGGGCCGGACAAGAGTAAAAACCCTCAAATCCCTGCACCAGGATGAAATAGCACTTCTCCACGTGCTCCGCAGTAGGTGCTATCAAAGTCAGCACGCTTCAGAGAACATTGCAGGCTCTCAGAGCACATCATTAAGAGAGAGGGTGACTCTCCCAGGGGCAGACAGCTGCGGGATATCCAACAGCGTATGGGTATTCGCCTGCAGGAACTCTGCTTGAATAGCTAAGCAAACAGCCACGCATCACAAGCGGCCCTGGTAGGTCTTGAAATCCTCTGGTACCAAAGGAGAGGAAGAACTAGGCACCACGGAATTGTCCAGGGACGAAGCTGAAGCAGTTAAACGTGCCCGAGATGGATCCAGCTCCAGGACTGACGGACCTGGACAACACTGGAGGCTTCGTGCTGGGAAGACTCCACCAGTGCCTGGGCCTGTCACAGGCACAGACCTGCCCAGTGATCTTGCTTTAGAACAAGATGAAGAGTTGGACCTCTGCAGTGTCCCAGATTGCATGGAGGCCACTGGTAGAGACAGGGTATTAGTAGCCAAAGCACAGCAAGCACCGTGCATGGGGATCGTTGGAGATTGCTCCTCTGCACAATGTTTAAATCCTGGTGAGATCACCACCAGAGAAATACTTAAACGAAAGCTAACACTAATTAACTATATACAACTAGAAAAGTCACTAAGAAACAGAGGTTGCAAGGTTGGATGTCTGTGCGGTTCCTGACTCCAGCCAAAGGCGGTAAGAAGGAACTGAGGCAAGTCCAGGTGGTACCACCCCCTCATATAGCCAGGGGAGGGACTATGACCATGAGGCACGAGCCCCATCACCACTCTACAGGTACTGATAGGCAAAATTTTCCAGCTCCCGTGTACTGTGCAAACATAAAACGAAGTGGAATACACTGTTACATCTACTCAAAGATCTGAAAACCACCCTGTAAATTAATTCTATTGCAACTAAACTCATCAATTAATTCTCATCCCAGCATGTCTCCAAGTCCCAAGAAAACAGATGAGTTTTGCAGCATTAATTTGACTATCAGAATGCTCACTTAATAGCTCTCTTGTCCATTGCTTTAGTCCTATGTTACACAAATATCGAACAATAATTTTCAGACACATTAAAACCATCTATTTTTGGCTCCCCAGAAAGATTCAATGTGTATTTTTTAAAAATGTTTACTCCAACCTGTTCACTGTAATAAAGGAACAAAATGTTCATATTTATTAAGAAATCCAGAAAAGGGCCAATTTCCCATTTGAATGTTGTAAAGTTAAGAAAAAAGTGAAGGAAACCCTCAAAATAGCAAGGATGAAAGGAGACATTTTTTAAAAAGCTAGAGGCATTAAACAGCTTTCCAATTTCTTAAAATCAATACAGAAGTTTAATTATTATTCAGCAAAAATATAAGTAGAGACACGAGCTATCCATTCAGTCTATTATACAGAAGGCTTCAAGGGAGAGAACAGTATAGTAGTCCATGGGAACCAGTGAGAGGGAAAGCATAGCTACTAGATACATTTAGGGTATGCTCCAAATCCAGCACTGTATTCTTCTGACCCATCTCCCTGCTATGCAATGCCCCCTTACTGAAGTTACCAGGTCAGGGCTGGGCATCAGAAGCCAAATTCCCTAGAGGTACATATTAACAGCATTTACCTGAGTTAGATAGTCTATGAGTGCTAAGTGTGCTTTCTCCAGCTCAGCCCCAGAGAGCACAGGCAGAGGATTAGGATACTGCAACTGTTTCCTGTAATCAGTGGGCAGCAAGTCAGGATACAGACCCATCACATGAGTGGGATCTAAGCAAAAAAACAACCAGTATTTGTAAGTTTCATAGCATCTTGTTTTTCAAAATACCAGTATTATATAGCTTTCCGGTAATAAGTGCAGTTGATCATAGACAAACCCCCAACACTTAGTAGTTTCATCTTCCTGGTGCTTTACAAATAATTGTCTCTACATTATTAAATCACTAATCAAATATCCCCATTTTACACACAAGGAAATGGAAGCATAAGTTAAGTGAGGCAAGGTGGAGACAGAGCTGGAGCAGAACTCGTAAGTTCATGCCTTCCCCGACCCACAATAATCATTCTGTTGCTAGAGCTTAGTGCAGAATCCCAACACTAATAATGAGGTTCAATGGCAGGACTGTGAATTAATACTGCTGGTTGCAAAAGGCTCCTAAGAACAAGACACCATTGTAATAAATCCAATGAGCTTCTGAACAGATTACAAGGACAGACCTGACCAGCAGTTCCCTTTACTAATGAGTATCAGTTTCACACAGTTTACGAACTCTAAAGTTCATTAACTTAGATTAGAATTTAGGACCCGCCTGGCTCCTGATCTGTTCCTCTGGTCCCAGGAGTAGATTTCAAAAGGTCCTAATGCCCAAAAGTGACTTAGGCGCCTAAGACTCACTGAAAGTCATGTCTTTAGCTGAAAGTTGACTATTCAGGAACTTTTGACATTCACTCCATTCTTATTCCATTCCATGAAATGTCCATCAGGCAGAAAAACAGGTAGGGGCTCACTGATTTTTAGCAGTGGCTGGTGCTCAGACCTCAGAGTGAAGGAACTGGCAAGTGTACAGGTGCCCCTTATACTTCTATTCCAACTTGTGACACTTTTTGTGGAGTAGTGGGGGGGTTCAGCATTTAACCAACAAACTAATCTTTGGGCTGCACAAGACACTACTTGTCCTCAAACAAAATCAAGTTCAGCACCAGCGTCAATTTCAGGTGAGATTTACTGTAGTCTCCCCTCACCCACATTCTTCAACCCCAGACTATACCAAGTTACCTGTACCAAGCTTGGCAAAAACCTGCATGGATTCATCGAAGCGCTTCTGGCAGAAGAGGTTAAAGGCATAAAGGTTCTTAATGTGATGAATCTGTTGTTGCTTTTCACTATCTGAATCATCTTTCATTTCCTACACAAATACAAACCCAGGAATAATACGAAGAATTCTTGTGTTTAAATATAAAGAGAATGGAGAAGAAAAACATTGACAGTGTTGAGCCTGAAATTCATTGAAGAGAATGGGAAAATCCAGGATTGAAGAGGTGACCAAAAGCACCTAAACTTCTAAAAACAGACAGCTTGTCAAGGATGGGCAGCACTGGATAGCAGAGTAGAACCCGGAGATAGGAAGATGTTAAATGGCTAAAGGGTTAATCAAGAGGAACTAGAGAGTTTGTGTGAAGTGGACATCAAGGAGGTTAAGACCTCAGGGCTTGCAACAGTGCTTAGTGGCAGCAGTTACCAAACAGACTACAGAGACTAGCCCATGGTTCTATACCCAGCAATACAAATAGCGTATTCCACCCACACCACTAAAGAAGACAACTTACCGCCAACTGCAGAGCCAATTCAAACTGCTTGTCTTGGAGAAGCTGCTGGATCTGGGTTGCTATGGAGACTGGAAGGAGACGCCAAACAAAATGATTGCTGGCCACATACACAATATTCGTACTATAATTGGAAGAGAAAAGGCAGGTTACCAAGATGTAATAGTGAGGCAGGAACTCTATCCCACATTTTGCAAGAATAGTCAATCCTGGTTAACACATGTATGACTTAATCAGATATACTAAAGTGGTGAGGTTACTCAAGTTCTCCTTTCCCCTGCTCAACATGGTGGTGAAGGCAAAACAGAAAGCGATTAAACCACCACTGTGAATTCCTGAGGACACTCGGGGTAGGTCTACACTGCAATTAGATACCTGCAGCTGGATTGCAAGAAAGAACTTCAGAAAGGATCTAAAAGGAAGAGACCCTTATCTTGGGGTGCTTATCAAAGGCTTGCTTGTGTATATTTGGGGGTACAAAAGGACACCCAGGCACCCTTCACTGAGGAAGTAAAAGGACAGTGTTTTTGCTTCATGCAAAAGGAGTCTCAACCAGGCTTGGCTGAAAACACTGAAGAGAACTTTGAGTGAGAAATTTCTTTGGACAAAAGAGTAATTTGTTAGTTAAGATTAGTTTCTAGAAAGCATGTTACAATTTTATTTTATATGTAACCATTTGTTTCCAATATTATTACTCATTATTTACTTAAATCTCTAGTCACTGATAATATATATATTTATAATGAAAACAAGTTTAAGTGTAGTAGTGTTAAGCAATGTGCTCCTTTTGAGTTAAATCTTAGAAGCCGGTGTTTGGGAATAGCAGACCCGGTGAGTCTGAGTATTCAACGGATAGAGGCTGGACCCTGCAGGGAACACTGAGTATTTGGGGGTTGTGTGCGCCTGTTGCTACCTGTACAGAGAAAGTGAGCTCTGGAGAGGCCTAGGAGGAAGTGCTTATGCTTTCAGAGGCTGGTGGTGGTTTCGGGGAGCTGATCACGCATACACAGACAAGACTACTTCACGCTAAGGGCAGCAGTAAAGTGCCTCACAATCCTGGGTACCCTCGTAAAGGGTCACAGTATTCCATTTCCACAAGAAGCTTGTCATCAAGGCACTACTGCAGCCACCCCAATAATCAAGCTTGAAACAGGAATCAAAGGTTCTACTAGAGAGCAAGGGCCCTACTAGAGAGCACTATGCCCTTGAAAGCCATGAGAGATCAGCTTATACATATTTACTGTCATCAAAGACAATGTAGGAATATTGAAGGTACTAACAGTGATTCCCCCAAGTGACAGTGACCCCCTCATAATTTGTCCCCCACACTTTAAAATCCAACAGTTTCACCAAGTACAAAAATCTCTTGGGTCTTCTGTTAAAACTTGTAAGCTACTGTCTGTAGAAACCATTGATTATATCTAACCTGTGAAAGATACTTTACTACTATGTAAAACTTACAAACAAGTTAACTGACTTTGTTCTTGAAGTAACTGATACAATGCAAACAAACACTATAAGCCGTTAAGTGACTTTCACTTCATTCAACGGCTCCTAGGACAGACCCGCACCCTCTGTGATTAAAGGGCCGGGAGTCTCAAATGAATTAGCACACACCCTGAAAGTGGTGGAGACAGTAAATTAAAATATGGTTAAGATATGGAATGTATGCTGATGAATGCTTGATATACATGAATGGTTAGGGAGGTGCCAGCCTAGAAAGGGAGTATCCATCGGCCGAAGAATGTGTCAAGTAGGACCACCAGACAACCTCCTGAGGGTAAACTGGGATCCACCCCATCACCTGGAAGGATGAGAAACACAAACTTTGGACAGTGTGGAGCCACCAGGAATGTGCCACTTTGGACAGGAATGTGCCCTCTGCTGATTGAGTCAGCAACAGCAGGATGAAACAGTTCCCATAGACTAACATAGGAATTAATTCCTATAAGAATGGACTCTAAAGACTGAGGACTTTGAGTCTCTGGTTCTGCTGCCAGCCTCCAGGAGCATCAGGTGCATCTGACACAGACTCGGCTCCATCCTCATGACCAAGATACCTGGCCAGTAACTTGGCATGAGCAACTTCTAGGCTGGTAACTATAACACCTATACAGAACTTGAATGAATGATTGTATGAATGAATCTATCTATCTATATATGTGTGTGTGTATAAGGAATAAGTAGTGATAGGAATAAGTAGTCAAACAACGTTGTTTACTTTTATCTTTTGCTTTTTCATTATATTTACAATAAATGTGGCATCTTTGCCTTATCCCTCTTAATAAGATCCTGCTGGTTTTTATTCTATTGGTATAACATCAAGTGATGCTGCCTTGAATAACATCTACTTTTCATATTCAGAGCAACTTAAACACCCAATTAATCCTCAATGCCCACGCGAGGTAGGTAAGTATTACCTTTTACTTTACAGATGGCGAAACTGAGAAAGAGTGTTTAAGTGGCTTAGTCAAGGTCGGAGGGAGTCAGAACAGAATTAAGGATTTTCTAGCTTCCTGTGTTGTGCTCAGAACATGAGCCTCCCCAGCCCCCACCCCACAATCACAGACACATTTTGTTAATCTTAAGCCTTTTTAAAAATAAATTCCCAGAGAAAGTTTTGTGCAAACTTGTCAGTGCTTCTAGCTGCCTTCTACAAAAAAAAAAAAAAAAGGGGGGGGGGGGCAGTTATACCCCCAAATCACTAGGTTAGATTAAATCAAAACAGGTTACATAACTAAGCAATAAGGATACAGGTATTCTGTCTATACTAGCCACTGCGGAGTGAAGAGGGCTGTGAGAGGTACAGAGGAATTTAGTTGCAAGAAAGCAGTAGAACACAAGAGAACAGGGTCCCTTATCCAGTAACCCTAAGGTCAACACAGCATGGTGTAGGGGCAAGAGAGGCAGATTATTAAGGTTCTGGCTATGAGCTGTTGACAACTTCTGACTCCACAGGTCAAAGAAGAGACAACATGATGATGAACTCATGGTGTTAGTTTACCAGAGTTGTATTTCAGATTGTATGGAAGGGCACAATACACAGAAGCTGTCAAAGAAGAAAGACTAGGTATAGGGAGAGATGAAAAAGGAAGTGCTTTTGTACCCTCCGGAGGTGATGAAGCGTGGTCTTTGCAGCTCAATACTCTGCACCAGCAGCCGGGGTTCAAAAGTGCGAATCTCCACATACCTTGGTAGCACCGCAATGATGTATGGAGGCTGATGTTCTGTTTGGGAGATGGAACAAGCATGCATCAGACGGATTTCTCCAATATACCCTGGAAAGGGCCACAACTCACTACATAACTTCTTTCCAGAAATATTCAGTACATTACGCCCTTCTCGCCCATCCCCCAAATCCATCAATGAGCTTAATGCTAGAAATTAACAGCAATTCAATACTATCTCTCCCCCGCCTCAGTTTTCCTTGCCACTTCTCTCTCACCACATGCAAATTCTGCAGTACTCAGCTGCTCACAAAAGCTAAAAATCAGGTTTTAAATTACAAAAATAAGTGGCACATATGTAGTGTCTTATCTGTAGATCTCAAATCACTTTACAAAGATGGGGTTATCCCCACCGTACTGAAAAAGAAACTGAGGGCACAGAAGTTGAGAGCAAGGAAGTAGAGACAAAAATATAACCCATGCTGCTCTGCTCTAATCAATAGGTCATGCTAACTAGCATTCAAATGATTGTAATAAAACCAGTGCGACACAATCAAAGCCTCATACATTAAGCTAGTAAACTTAAATCTGCTCCACTCATAAGGAACAGAAAGCTGACAAATCCTGGCTGGGTTACAGCAAGGAAAAAACTTCTAGTTCTCACCCATAGCTATGGGAATGTCTGTCCAATTCAAGGCACCTTTCTGAGTACAAATCCCTTCTTCGTTAAGTACTACCGTTAGATCATCTTGACCAACTGCAACTTTTCCATCTGCTAAGGGAGCCACCAATGGTTCAAGCTGCTTCCCTGTGGGGAACAGTTCTTTGATGGACCCTTTTCCATCCACCTGTGAGAGGAAGGGGGGAGGGGAAAGGTCATTCAGCTTTCACTGTGGAGTTGTCATCTCAAAACTATAGAAGACTACTTGATGAAAAGACCGACTTTATAGCATTTTTTTTGGAAAGAGTGATACAGGAGTCTCAAAATATCCACTAACCCATGAAGGTAGTTTTGAAGGTTATTTGTAGGTCATCTTTTGTATGTATCAAAATATTACTTGTTAGCATTGCAATTTAAAAATAAATCTGTGTTTTTCTCTTAATTTGAGGAAGCCTGTTCCTATTGCTAATAGATTACTGTAACTGGATGATCTTGTTATTTAGCCACCAAGGCATACAGTCTGTATAGCACGATACTACTGATGTCAGTAAAAGTGTGCAGTAGTCCATGGATTTTCCTTGGACACCCGTCTCATTCATATATGGGCCTTATTTAAGTGACAGTACCATAGGTATGGATTCCATTTTCCTAAAATATCAGCATAAAATGATAAAGATGGAAAACTATAGTAATGGTAATAGTTATGACTTTATTGTTAATGTTTCTATCAAATTAACCAACGAATAGAAGGCATTATTTCATTTCATCCTTGCTGTGGAATCTGAAATAATTAACAGTGGATGAATTTAGATATTTAAAGGGATGTTGTCAAATTGAAGCTGTTTAATTTCAGGTAAAGGACTAAAATAATTTTGGTGAAGTTACTCTGCCCTTTGAATAACCTCGCTTTAAAAAAAACCCTACTGAATAGGTTATCTTTAAAATATTTTCCCCTCTTATGTTGAGGTGTAAATACACCAAACAAAAGGGAAACTATGAAACTGAGTTAAAGTGCTGCCCAGATGAAAAAATGTTTTCTTAATTTAATTCAGTTAAACTAATCTTAGGCATTACTTGCAACAGCAAGATAGTTTTTTTCTTTCAGAAAGACAGGCAATTTAAAGGAACATGCATGCTTTTGTGGAAGGAGGTGTCAGTTGAAAGACAGCATGTCAAAAATGGCACATTTTTATGATAAACAGTGTCTGTCTCTCACTCTGAATCCTCCCTCCCTGGGAGCAGTCTATGTACTCTCCCTAAAATGATTAACATCCCCTTACATACTCAGTTCAAAGTCCTGTTCTTACCCTTATCAGATAATAGTCTCTCTTGAAACCTACACAGATAGAATTTTCACACCATGCCATAGACTTGGGCACATCCGGCACACTGAAGTCCCCCTGAAGGATGAAAGGAAAATAAGTCACATTGGCTGCCTTAGGAGCTAACTATGCCTTCCCCAGGCTCCTGTTAACCTGTGGTCTGTAAAGTTTGTTTCTTATTTAATTGCGGAGGAGGCAGTACAGTAACACTGAGCACATAACCCTTTCTTCACTCTTACACAGTAGGAAAGCTTTCTTTTAAGATTGCAGTTCTGTAGCTAGTAGGGTCCTCAAACATTAGATATTACTGCAAAATAGTGATATGCTCATTGAATAATTCTCACTAGCATCATGTTTGCTGCAGGAAAGGGCAGGCTATATCTGTTTAAGAAGTGGAGTCTACTTTAGAATCACTCCCAACCCTTCCTAGCCAGGGAACGACAGCATTCAGCTAGAATGTCCCAACTCCAGTTTTCTGCACAGCAGCAGGGCATTCTGCAACTAGACAGTGTGACCTTTCTGAACAGTTATTTAATTGGGTCTCAAAGTGGACCAGAGCTAGAATGCAGAGGACAATTAGGATTGTATACAAATTGTATCTTTCTATCACTACCCATCATCTTCAAGAAAGGAGTCAGTCTATTGGCTCCTGGTGATTTTCATCCATATCTAGCTCCCAATCCATTATTTCAATGGTATCAACACTTTGCTTTCAATTGCTGCTTCTTTGTTAAACCATGCAGCATCAGCATTATCAAGTGCACCCTGGAAGCAGAACCTAGCACTAATTCTGAATTATACTGCTGATTAAACTGGGGTATTAAAAACAATTTGATACTCTGGCAAGGGCTCTCATACAGTCTAGTGGTTCCCACACCACTATCTCACCTGTAGCTCATAGAACTCTCTGTCCTTCCAGAAATACAGCTGTAGCTTCTTCCGCACTGCCACGCACATCCTCAGCACCTCCTCCCCTGTATCAGAGTGCTGTGAAAACAGACAGCCTCACATGCATTAGGATTAGAAGGTAAATAAGGAAGATAATATAGGGCCATAAATAATCCTAAACCTATAGCACAACTGGCCAATGGAAGAGCTAAGTTGCAGCTGAGTAAACTTTCATGCTCCCATCGGGTCACCATGGACTATTTTCTCACTGGGCCAAACCCAAAGTGGATGTCAATCAAGGTGCTGAACTTGAGTTCAGATGTGCATGTGGCCAGAAGAAAGATTCTTTGAGATGTATTCTGAAATAATTAATGCAAGATAAATCCAGGCCACAATAGGTCTTTTATCAAGAACTCTACTGTTAATGAAAGCTACCAGGATAACAGCTCTGGAGACTGAATTGGGTAGCAGCAGTATAAGCTTACCCACATTTGCCACTGTACCTCAACCTTATTTTGGTGAGACCGCCTCTATATAGAAAAAGATCGGCCAAAGATTGAATGAACAGGCATAGACTGACCTTTCTGCAGAGACCAAACATTGTGATGGTGGTTTATGCAATGAGGACACCTGTTCCATTTCCCCAAGGACAAGATGCACCAAACCCTTTCATGTAGTCAGCCAGCCAGCCTTCAAGATGGTAATGGCTCAGTCACTACTACCCTGAGCTAGATCTGAAGAGGTGAAAGCTACCAATTCCCATTGCCCACTATTCAGCCATCTACTCCCACTATTTTTCCTGTAGCTCCAACAATGTGCTAGGTGCTGTACAAACAAAGGCACTGTCTTTCCCCAAGACCCTTCAGTCAACAAGAGAGAAGTTGTTTGTACCTTTTTCTCCTACTCTAAGTGGTCAATGGTGTTTTGCTGTCCCCAGTTACCCTTCCACCTCATCATTAGTTAACTAATTGCTTGACAGCATCATGGTAGGAATATGAATATGGAGAGGGCAGTGCCTTACATATCAGCTCCAAGAGGGGTTCCACATGGAGTTGAGCAGGGTGGGAGAAAAAGATAGAGGTGGAAAATAATATTACTGATGAAGTGGAAAGGACTGTGGCAATATGAAAAAGACAAGGACAGATAAGCATTAGAAATTGGCATTAGTCAGGACCTTGAATGTAAAGACAAAAAACTTGACACTTATGTGGTGAAGGAGTGGGAAACAAGGGATTCAAAGAAAGGGAGACATGATCATATTAATGAACTATGATCTATGTTTTGTATACTAGTTAATTAGAACAGTTTATTGACAAGAAGCACCACTGCAAGTACACGTTAAGTCAGACACCCAGACACAAAAAGTACACCAAGACACTCTGTAATGCTTGGATTTGCATGTTTCATAAGATTTAGCATTAGCTGTATGTTAACACTAGAAGCCCAAGACTAAATAATTATGAGAAAATGTTTATCACTGGGCAAAAGTTTCGGCTTGCCTAATTACAAAGACCAAGCTTCCTGTGAAGAGTAAATCAAAGCACTAGAGGTACACCATCAACTTAAGTCTCCTCTCGCTATGAGCAAGGCTTGGGGACCAAAGTACAGATAAACTGATGAACTGATTTACGTGTAAATAAGAGACCATTTTTATAAGACCGTAGGACCCGGATGAAGGACCACCTTATCCTTATGGAACATTATATAGATTGAATCAGCCATTAATGTCTCCAAGACACTGTAGGTTAATGTAACTGTTACCAGAAACAATCTTCAGAAAAAGATTGTGAAGTGAAAATTCAAAAAGAATCACTCAAATGGTGATTCCATTACCTTTGTAAGCCCCATTTTAAGTCCCAAGATGCGGATGGCTTCCAAATGAAAAAAGCACTCGAAGAACCCTTTAAAAATCTCATCACTTAGGATGAAAATTCAGTTAAGTCTTGAATCAATGCGTGAAAGGCCAAAATTACAACCAAGTATACTCTTTACAAAGTGGAGGGAGGGACCAAGACCGACATTTTTAAAACTTGGTATACCTGGAGTGAAGTTCTGAAGTCCATTGTTAAACATGTATTTTCAGAAGTGCTGAACCCCAACATCTCCTAATTTCTCATATAATACAGTTATTTTCATTTTAAATTTAACATACCAAACCCTCTGAGAAATTTGAAAGTTAGTCCTTGTTATGAGACTTTGTCAGAACGCTTGCAACATTAACCTGCCTCCACTTACCTGTAAGTCACAGGTGAACAGAGATGCACCCTTTGCCTTAGAGACTGTGGTGATTTGTTGAAATGTCAACAGGTCATGGACATAAATGTTATTTTCTGTTTTAGACAAAATTCCTAATTATTGTTCAATAATTTAACACATGCAACTCATTTTTAATTTACACAAACTATCACAAAACACTTTATAAATTTAAGTATGTTTACAAAGCAGATCCAAACTAGTGAGAGAAATTAAGAGTTTCAGGATAGGAAGGGGATGGGTTTTTCCCCCCCAGACAATTTGAAAACAATCAGTGAGACAAAAAGGTTTCTGGGTTGCAGAAGACTCTCACACCAACCGTGGCAAGACTGCATGAAGGAACCAAGAATGGGTGCTAACAAGCAAACAAAGTGGAAGTAGGACAGAAGAGAAAGCAGGCCACAGCAAGTTCATGATGGAAGCTCTTATTTAAAAAAAAAAAAAGAAAAACAACCATTTTGAACTGGCTCCTGAAATTTGTGGGTAGTGAATAGATTTGAAAGTTGGAGCTGGTGTGGTCAAGTTTTTGTACGCACGAGAACGCAGGCAGCAGCATTCTACACATGCTGAAGTCGGGATTGCTGGGACTTGGAGGTCAAAAAGGAGGGAGTTGTACCATAAGTAAAAAGAGATAAGGAAGATCATAATTCAAGAGTAAGTTCACCCAACATACAGTACTCAAAATACTCAAAATTCTTGCATAAGTTATTTGAATATTAATGGTCTGTTCCCCAGATGTCTTTACTGGCTTAAGAGTAGCCCAGCTGCTTCTTAACCTATAATGCATAACACTTCCCTGCAAATTAGAGGCCTGAATTCTAGACCCAATGACTTTTCAACAACTAGACCCTCATGCAGGTGTGAAGGACCTCCCCAAATCAAGAAGGTGGCAAACTGTTTTAAGAATAAGCCTTAGAGTAGGTGAGAGTGTGAATTATTCACTTTCCTTGGTACAACAAATGGATGTCTGTACTGGGGGGGAGGGGGTAGAGAAGAGCGGGGTTCATGCTCAGCCAAGTAATTGCACCAAAAAAAAGAACGAATTGAATACTAAAACATATTCTTCACTTACCTAACAAACTGACCAGAATTTTAAACTGGGAAACAACATGAATCTGAAAAGAGAACTGTATTAAAGCAACATCTCTACAAGCCAAACACTCTTCCCTGCCCTCCGCCCCCCCAACTTGGACAGAGATTTAATTAGTCTATGCAAATAGTTTTATTTACCCACATAAGGCAATGAAGATGGGGCTACTGTTACTTTCTGTGTGGCATTCCTACAGCTACTGTACAATCCTGCACCTATACTCATGAAATGTCTGATAAAGCTAGCTTATATTGTTTACAGGTCTGTCGCATCTTAGGTGCATTTAACATGTGCAATTTCAGCTGTACACGGTCGGCAAAAACAAAAACAAAACCCAAAAAAAGAGTAAAATAACAATTTAAATACTGTTTCTGTAGTGCGGGCGATTCCGCCCGCCATTATACTCAATGCAATTTTGACTATACGCGATTTTCGCTTTAGGCGGTGACTGCGGAACGTAACCTCAGCGTAAGGTGAGACAGACCTGTATATCCTTTCCTAGTGAGAAAGCTTAACAACGTAGACCCCTTTAACAAGATTTAACCATGTTCTGGTGCCTTACCAATAAAAGGATGTAAATGATTCCTTAAAAACTATTGTTCTTCTCCAATGAAAATGCAAGGTGCTCTACTGCAGTGATACTTTCAATGTGCTCACATCTATTGAAATTAAAATGGTAATAAAACTGACAGCAAGTCAGTACACAGCTATTCTAGATTCCAGCCTCTAATAGCCAAAACAATAATTGCACTTTAATAGCACGTTTCATCTAAGGAGATCAAGTGCTTTACTTCATTAATTCTCTCACCAGGTCGGACAGCAATGTATTATCTCCATCGTACAAATATATATGATTTGCTGGAGGTCACAGTGATTCAGTGAGTCAGGAAAAGAACCCAGGAGTCCTAACTCCAAGTCATCTGCTGTAACCACCAAACCAAGTTCCTTCCTACTGTAGGAAGAGACTGTGGACAAACGCACAGTTAGGCTAGTCTGTGCCACTCCCAACAAAGTTTACTGTTAAAAAAAGCCTTCTGGAGATTCCAGATTAAAGTATTTCACATTGCACCCTCTTAGTGGAAACACTGGCAATTTTCCCTAGTGTCAACAACTGCCATTTCCTACCTGCTGAATCTTTTTTGAGAAGTTCTTGTTGGATTTCTCTAGTGTCACTTCAAATCTGTTGCAACCTACCAAGCAGAGATTAACGAGTGACATAAAATCACAGTTGCCTTCAGATTTATTACTGCATAAACTTTTACTCTAAAACCCACAAAATTATAGCAGATATCGAATTAAGCAGCTAATGCCAGAAGATTGCATGTCTTGTAAGAAGTGTGTGCTTCCTTTTTCTTAAACCAGTTTGGGGAATCTGAGGTTGTCATTGATATCTAGCTGGGGAGTCCAAAAACGTGGTTTAACTTCAAGAAGTCAGCAAATCTGAAGGTCCCAGCATTAGCTAAATCCTTGCCTTGTAATCTCAGATCCTAATATAATTTAATTAAATATTTAAAAACCCCAAGCTATGAAGACAGCACTAAAGCACCTTTTTTCCCAGCCAATCAAATACCAGCAACTCAGATCTCCAGGAAGCACATCACTGCAAGATGGACAAAGAATAAAACACTTCACTACAAGGGTTTAAAAGTTTTATGGATACAAACTTACAGCCACTTTCTGATGACGTAACCTCTCCTGGTATTGATGCAAAAAGGGGGAGAAATTTACCAAGTGAGACAAAAGACACTAGCGACTCAAGTCAGCATGATCTATTGAAACAGACTGCCTATGGAGGCTGGGAAAAATGAGCTGGAATTAGGGTTTAGTAATCCAAGTGGCTACAATAGAAATAGCATCCTTCTGAGAGCAGGTGTAATTTGGGACAGATGTGCCACACCTTTTTACTTTGCAATCCAATGAGCTATTAAATTAGGTACACTTAATAGTATAGCTTTCTGCACATTATAACTGGTAAATAGCTGAGATATAGATCTGTTTAACATGAGTAATTTTATATTTGATTCTAAATACAATAGGCGCTCTTTGTGGCATCACCAGAATGGACTAAGGCCACTTGTGACTGCTTCCTCCAAAGACAGAGAGGGGAGTACTTTTTGGTCTAGATTAGAATGTTAAGATTCTGAACCAGGTTTAATTTTATGATGTATATTGATCAAGATGGTGGGCCTCGCGTTTTAATTAAGTTGCCCTTTTACTGCATCGCCAATCTGATCTATTCACTAGGTTCTGTTAGAGTTTATGCATGGTGGGTATTGTATTCATGCACATTACACTAATTTACTGTAAATACAAATGTGGAAACCATTATAGTTCAGAGATTAGTATTAGCTCTGGTGGAATCGTGAGAGAAAGGGTAATTTTAAAGCAGATGGTAAACTCTATAAGACAGTAAACAGAAAAGAAGGAAAGGAAAGTAAGATCTGTACATACTGCAGTGGCCCTGTATAAACATTTTCATAAACTATAGGTGACAGTCTGCTGTTTAGTATACTAAATGTACCAGGGTACCAGTATTATTAGAGTCACTGAAGAGTTGAGAATGATACATTGGCATAATATTGCGCAAAAGCTTGGCTTTGTTTGTACAAGCTCACCTATATCCTTCCTGATCCTGTAAAGAAGGAGGTGTCCTTGTTTGGTGCCAACAAGCAGCCATTCCTCTATAAGATAAGAGAATTTTTATCAGTAGCAATAAGAATACGACTCTCAGCTAAAATTAATCTGAAAATTCTTCATCTTCTTAAACTGAAGCCCACTGTTGAATGGTCCAAAACATACTAAGGCAAATTTCAGCTGGGGAACGTGCATGGCTCTTCCATTGTTTCCCTAGAGCAGGGATAGGCAAACTTTTTGGCCCAAGGGCCACATCTGGGCATGGAAATTGTATGGTGGGCCATGAATGCTCATGAAATTGGGGGTGGGGTGCAGGAGGGGGTGAGGGCTCTGGGGTGCAGAAGGGTGGGATCGATGGATTCAGAGGGTGGGAGGGGGTAAGGGGTACAGGCTCCGGGCAGCGCTTACCTCAAGCAGCTCCCAGAAGCAGCAGCATGTCCCCCCTCTAGCTCGTACGCAGAGGCACAGCCAGGCGGCTCTGTGCACTGTCCCATATGCAGGTGCCATCCCTGCAGCTTCCATTGGCCCTGTTTGCTAGCCATTGGGAGCTGCGGGGGCAGCGCTTGGGGCGGGGGCAGTGTGTGGAGCCCCCTGGCTGCCCGTACGCGTAGGAGCCGGAGGGTGAACATGCCGCTGCTTCCGGAAGACGTGCAGAACAAGCCCCAGACCCCGCTCGCTGGCAGGAGCTCGAGGGCCGGATTAAAACATCTGAAGGGCCGGAGGCGACCCCTGGGCTGTAGTTTGCCCACTCCTGTCCTAGAGGAAGTGCTTACATATGGAGTAACCTTTGTTTTGGGAAACAAACGTTTCCAGGGATCAGGAAGTAAGTATGAAACAGCCCCGACACAGGAGCCTACTTGCTCATAATTAGGGCCCTCCCAAATTCACAGCCATGAAAAACGTGTCCTGGACTGTGAAATATGGTCTTTTGTGTGGAGGTCCTGACCCAAAAGGCAGTTGCAGGGGGCGGGGAGGGGGTCGCAAGGTTATTTTAGAGGGGTCATGGTATTGCCAACCTTACTTCTGCACTGCCTTCAGAGCTGGATGGCTGGAGAGTGGCAGCTGTTGACTGAGGACCCAGCTCTGCCGGTAACAGCGCAAAAGTAAGGGTGGCAATACCATAAAGGGCGCCGTCCTTACTTCTGTGCTGCTGCTTGAGGAGGCTCTGCCTTCAGAGCTGGGATTCTAGCTAGCAGCTGCTGCTCTCCAGCTGCCCAACCCTGAAGGCGGCGCTGCCGCCAGCAGCAGTGCAGAAGTAAGGGTAGCAGTACCGCCACCCTCCCTACAATAACCTTGCAATCCTCCCACAACTCCTTTTCGGTTCACGACCCCTACAATTACAACACCATGAAATTTCAGATTTAAATAGTGGAAATCATAAAATTTAAGATTTTTTAAATCCTATGATTATGAAATTGACCAAAATGGACTGTGAATTTGATAGGGCACTACTCATAATGAAGTACAGTAAAAGGGAGAGAGCTCCGCATTCTTCATAAATATACATAAACAGAAGATAAACTACTTTTCAAGCATTGGCTGCTGCATATAGATGCCTGGTCTACACAGTGAAAAATTGGAGGGAGCAAGACAAATTTAGATACTACCATTTGTGAGGTCTGACTTTGAACACAGTAGTTAAACATTTAGAAGTCACAGTGGTCCACATGAATTATTCAGTTATGTCTGAAGTGATTACATTAGATACAAAGAAATAGTATTTGAGTTGCTGTGACACGTAAAAGTCATTTTGGATTTACAAAGTAGAACACCTGAAAAATCCACTGTTATTCCACACAAACACACACACACACTTTGGTACATTGCATATTAGAAGGCTTTGAATCTAAGTATTGCTATGCAACTCATCCACAAAAATCTTGTTAATGAAATTTCAATTAATCTTTAGCTTCATAACAGGGAAAACTTTACTAAACATATGAAATTTACCTTTCCCCTTTTCACACCATATTTTCTCAAAGCTACTTGTGATTTAACAAGATCTTGCTTCCCCTGAGTCTCCTCTTCTCCTATTTAATCAAGAATTAAGTCATAAAACTGGAAAGACATCTCTATTCCATGAGACTGTGTTGCTCAAAAAATCCACAGGATTATGACTTCAATGAAACAAATAAATTTGTTTTGCAATGAAGTTTCTCAATTTCAATGTTTTTCCACTGTATTAGTGCCACTGTATGGAATATATTCAATTTAGCTACAGAATTTAAGTCTCAGTGTTTTATTTTTAAGGCTTAATCAAAAACAAGCCAAGTTTCTGACAAAGTTACTCTTTTACATGAAAGAGTTTGTTCCATAATATAACATTTATTTGAAACTGCTCCAATGGTTTAGTATTAGAAAGAGTCCCAGAGAAAACTGATTAGAGCACAGATGAGGCAATCAAAGGTGCATAATAAATAAAACCCATTCACCTAGGTATCACTAACACAAATTTGCTATGAACTGTCTGCTTGCTAAACTTTATTTGTTAATATCACAGCTTTGCTATAGTAACAAGCAATCTACAAATAAGAAACAATTACAGGAAGAAACTAGCTAAGCCATATTTATAAATATTGGACCATTTTATATTACTGTAAGTATTCACTGCACCATCTACAGTAATAATAGTAACTTGAATGGTCACTTAGGCCTGATCTATACTTAAAATTTGAGTCGACATAGGTTGGCATAGCCCTGAGCGACATAGCTAATTCCCAGGGTAGATGCTATTAGTTCAATGGAAAAATGTTTCCATCAACCTAGCTAACCTCACCTTGGGGGGAGGGGGGAGGGGTAACCTATACCGATGGAAAATCACCTTCTGCCAGTAAAGACTGCATCTACATTATGACTTTTCATCAGCATAGCTACGGTGCTGTAGCTATGCCTGTAGATAGTCCCATAGTATATACACAGCCTTAGGTAACAGTTCTAACCCACCAGGTCAGATTGTTTTGTATTTAAGACACAAAGTATGGGTTTATTCACAGATAAAACACACCAGGTAGGGCAAGGCAAAGTGACACTTGTGCTACACAACAATACATTTTCTTTCTACCATTCATACTCACACTTAAACAATGGAGAAAGAAAACATGGAGGACGATGCACAAGACCAGAACAAAAAATTCCATCCCACAAGAAACAAACCTATTCAAGTATCAGAGACACTGATACAAACTGAGTGCAACCAGATCAGTCAGTTCACCCAAATGTTGAAAAACCAGACTCATACACAGACCAAAGTGTGTCACTTCTACTACCCTTCAAAAAAAATAGTTTTGATGGGTGGAGGCTACAAATCCCACTTCAGCCCAATTCCAGTCCCCCCTCTCTCTGTTTCCTGTAACAGGGGCTCAATCCCCGCTGGCCGTAGCCCTGGGCCACGCTCAAGGTGGGTCACACAAGTGGTTTATGGAGACCCCAAAATTCACCACAAAGTCTGGAGCGTGTGTTTAGAAAGAGATTCGAGCCCTTCTTGTGGGGAACCCCACGGACGGGAACAGCCGCAGCGAGCCGGGAGGCTGACGGCAGCGCAGTGTCACGGGGGTGTTTGGAGACGCTGGTCACCGGGGCAGCAGGCTCAGCCACGGCGGTCAGGGCGCGGGGTCACAAGCGGGCCGCGGCTCGGAGCTGGTCCCGGGGGCAGGCGGAGGGACCAGCCCTCACCCACACCGCCGCGGGGTCCCCGGGGGCGGGGCGAAGACCCGCGGGCCGCCGCGCCGCTCACCCCAGGCCGCCAGACAGTCTATCTGCAGCGGCAGCTTCTCCAGGATCGGCACCGGCTCGAAGGCGTCGTGCATGGCGGCAGGTCTCCGCGCTCGCTCCGGGCTGGTAGCGCCGCCTCAGCCGCACCCCCGGGCCGGCCAGGCTGGAAGACGCTGCGTCTCCCCTACGCGGGGCCCCGCGGCCCCAAGTACAGGCCCAGCTGATCCCGACCCTTCCCAGCAGCCCCCGCGCCCGGCCCGTTCCGCTTCCCTACTGGAGCCCCGCCCACAAGCTCCGCCTCCTCCACAGGGTAAGCTCCGCCCCCGGCTCCTTTCCCGCCATAAGCACCACCCCCTCCCCGGGCCAGCGGCCTCGCCCCGTGGGTGGTGCCCGCTCACGGCTCCTCCCCCCACCCGCAAGGCCTGTGCCCCTTAGGCACCTCCCCCGGACTCCGCTCCAGGGCCCTTCCCTCCCCCCGCACGGGGAGAATCACCCCGGCTGCCTGCCCGCCCTGACCCCCTGCCTGGCACTGCCCCTCGCGATCCCCCCGCCCAGGCACTGCGCAGGCACGTGGGGCCCGCCCGCCCGCTCAGCCCCTCTCCCCGCGATCTCTAGCTCAGAGCTAGTCTGTGCGCTGTGACTCTGTCACTTCTCAGCGGCACGACCACCAAGCAAACCCGCCGTTCACCAGGAGTGATGTGCAACCTGCTCTCTGCAGCTGGAGCCAAGCGGCCAGGAACCCAGGCCCTGAGAGCCTGAACGTCCCGTCCCTCTTAATAGGTATGGGGGACGGGGGGGTAGAAACATCGAAGGCTGCTGCCTCCTTAAATAGGTACAATGCTCGCTACGTCACTGCTGCTCAGCTTGGCAGAATCATCCAGCCAACAGCCTTGCAGCCGTTGGCCATGAAGCAGTAAATACTGGGGCACACAGGAAGGCATCCAGTTAAAACACAAGCGCTGGCACAGGGAGTTCAAGCTGATGTTTACTTCTGACTGTTTCCCCAGTTTTTAAGGTACCGAGAGCCTGGGGGGGCGGAGTGCATCCCACCCTGTAACAGGAGTTATTAGAGTCACCTGAGTAAGCATGACCCATCTCACACTAAGACCAAACTAAAATTTAAAAAAGGGCAGTTCCTTTCCAGCACTCCTAGACGTGCACATTCATGACCTCAGCATCAGCTGCTTCCTTAGAGCTAAAACACCAAGGGGCAGCCTGTGTCTATGCACCAAAAGCACAACTTCTCAACTTGCTAAGATCAGTTGGCCATCGAGCCTAGGATCTTTTCTCCTTTCCCTGACACTTTACAGTAGAAAATGAATAAAGCTTAAGAGTATCAAGTTTAATAAAATGAAGCTTACATTCTGATAATATAATCACGTCATGCCTTTGCAACCATTTGTCACCCTACTTTTTACTGCCTCTCGCAGTTAAAGTGAGAATAGTAGTGATGTTAGTGTACTGAAACAAACATATTACTCCCTTTGACTTCTGTACTATCAGTAAGGATGTATTATCACTTTATGTATCTACAGTATTTATGATACAATTGTACCCTTTACTTCATATGGTGGAAGCCAAACTCAGTCACTATCACCCTCTTCAACAATTGTATGTGAGCCTTATTCATTCTCTTTCCCTCATTACTGGGATGGTTCTTCCCTTCACCATTTGACCCTAGTCTCTCCCTCGTCTAATTCTACCAAGCTTCTACCACCTTCATCAGATCCTGACTCATACCTTCTTCCTCATGGTCACTCATTTTATGTGCTACTTTTGTCACCCACAGTGGTACCCAAACTTTTCCTATCATATCACCCACCCCATTACTGCACAGTTGGCTCAGCAGAGGAGCTTAGGCTGAAGGTGGAGCTGGGGGCTGAACTGGGGATAGGGGAGGAGCTGGGACTAGAGGCTGAGCTGGCCTGTCATCAGAACTGATCGGGGGCAGAATGGCGCTGCTGCTGCTGGGGGCACTCTCTCTCCACTACCCTACCCCTACAAAAGGGGGAATGCCCTACAGTTTAGGAACTGCTGCTCTAACTGATCTATTGTTCCTCCCCATTCACTTAAATGTTACTCTGTCCAATTTCTGATAAAATGAGGGCATTCTTGTTAAGGGCAGAAAAACCCTTTTTTGAAAAAAGAGTAAGATAATAAATATACTTGTGAACAAAGACTATTCAAATATTCTTTACTGACCTATTTAATAAATGTACTGTGCTTAAATATTATTTCCATTTTACAAACAGGTTTAAAAAAACCCCAGAGCTTAAAAAGTTGCCCAACATCACAGAGGAAATCAGTGGCAAGACTTTTAAAAAACCCATAGCAGTCCTGATTTCTACACCTTGTTCTAGCCCCTGGACCACTCTGCTCTCAGACAGCATTGGAAAAAAATGAATCTTGTATCTTCTCTCGCACCCACTGTTGCCTTTTAAATCTTTAAATTAAGCCATCTGTGCCTTGTGCTTTAAATCTAACCTGTATTTTTTTTAAAGAGTGAATATACAGTTGGTTTTTAATCACTATTGCTTTTGTGCAGTCAGAAAATGTAACTAAAGTTAATTAATCATTTTACAGGATTTTAGCTTCCTCTTTTGTGAAGTCATAGTTTATATTGCACCACTTTACTCCTGGGGGAATTCTGCACCACTGTGTATGTGCACAATTTATGTCCCCCACAGATTTCTTTGCTTCCCCGCAGAAAAATGCCTTTCTGACCAGAAAGCAAAGGGAAGCCACAAGAGCAGTCATCTGATCCTCCCCAGCAGTACGTTTTGGGGGCCCAGGGCAGCCGACAGAGAAGTAAATCACTATGGGACAGGAGGCAGGACTGGGAAAGACCTAGCTGGTGGCTCCTACCCTGCGCTGGGCTCAGCTGCTAGTCCCGGCTGGGCTGGGGAGGATGGGACTTCCTCCTCCCCTCCAGGTCAGACCCATTCCCAGATTTCACCCCAGCTGCAGGAAGCTCTGCAAACTCCCCTTTCCTCTTCCTCACCCCCTTCCTGTACCCATAGCTCCTCAGCTGCAGAAGGAGGGATCCCTGTACAGGGAGCTGCTCCCCCATCCACCCAACCCCTGTGCATGCAGAACCCCTTATACCCAGACCCTCCCACCAAGCCTCCCCCCCCCCCCACCCCCCCCCGCCCCCCCCCCCACTGAGCCCCAACCACCTTCACCTGGACACCCCTGCAGAATCCCATTACCGTTTCACCCAGAACTCCCCCACGTCCCTGTGCATCCAGATCCCCCCCCCCAAACCCGTATCCCCCAATGAGCCACCCAGACTGCTCCATACAGAATCCTCTTAACCCACACCTGGATCCCCTCCACACTCGGATCCTGCCTTGCTGAGCCTGCCTGCCCACAGCTGGTGCATCTGGCAGAGAGGGATAGGCCCGGCGCTTGTGCTGTGTCAGGGTTAGGGGCAGCCTCACCACTGAGTCTGTGTCCCAGAGGGAGCTGCACAGGGATCTCCCACCTAAGCTCCCCAATGCCATACTGGAGCCTCCACCTTTTAACAAGTAAAATTTGCAGAATTTTAAAATACTGTGTGCAGAATTTTTATTTTTTTGGTGCAGAATTCCCTCAGGAGTAACCACTTGCACTGTGAAGTGCCCTACTGCTCATAAGACTACTCTCAAATATAAGTTATCCAGAGTGATGGTACAGCTGAGCCCATAGTATCAAGCTATTTCATGAGAGGAAATGGATTCTCACCCCTGAAAGATATAGGAAACCTATGTCAAAACAAAAAAAGGGAAAGTAGCTGAGAGCAAGAAATTGTGTAGAATACATACTGAAACAGTGTGCATTTTGTTGATTAGGTATAGTATCCATCCACAGGATGGAGAGACAGGTTCAATATTGAATCAATCTACCACTTGAGAAGAGTCAAGTAACAGCATGGATCAAGAGCCCAGCATAGCTGTTGGCTGAGAGTATGCGATCTCTGCTATATTTATTCTACTCTTAAATCTCTTGCACACCTAGCCAGTTTTACCAATTTTGAAAGTTGTTTGAAATACCTCTTAGCTTAGATTCAAAACTCAAATATATGTCCTGGACAACCATCTCAAGAGCTTTTCAACCAGCAAGTGACATCACCATTATTGCTGAGATTCATTTATAACAGGGAATCGGACAACTATTAGAAAGGAATCAGAGAAGAGGTCAAGAAGATAGCAGGCACCTGAGGGTTAAAAGGGAAATAGTAAACTAGAGCTTGATTATTGTTTAAAGAAGCCAAGTTCCTTGCAACTCTTTTGAAGAACAAAGAATATTTTCTGTCCATTTCCCATCACAAAGCAGAGCTGCTCAGCAAAAGGAATCAAACTGAGTTAGGTCCTTCCAATGCCCTGGCCTAGGTTTTGTTAAAAAAAAAAAAAAAAAAAACAAAAAAAAAAACTAAAAGTCCATATACAAGGTTTTTGTAAAAAAAAAAAAGCCACACACACACCCCCACCTACACCCATCTCCATGTTGCAGTTCCAGGGCAGGTGACGATTCTTTGTTCCATTCACCTTTAATATCAAACAAGAGTTAAAGAAAATATGAAGACTAGCACAGAAGAGCCAGTTAGCAGCAGCATAGGAGTCAGCAAACAGAGGAATTTGAGTGTAGAGCTGTTAGAGAAGGGAGGGAGGCAAGCCCCTGTTTCTTAAGGGCAGAGATTAAGTTCTTGAGTCTGTTTGCTTGCTAGTTTGCTTTTTGTTTTTTCAGTTTGCAGAGGCTGGTAGGGGCAGAGTGCTGTGAGAGAAGCAGAGCCTGTGATCATAACAGAACCTTGATTAGCGGGCCTATAAAGGCAGCCAAGCAGCCAGCCAGCAGCAGGAGATAGCAAACAGAGCAGAAAATGGAGTCTGGGCGAGGGAGTGTGGTATTCTGAGCTTGCAGGGTTTTTCCCCCCCTTGAAAGGAGTTTAGGCGGGGAACACTATAACAGACACAAAGGCAGCAGTGGTAGTGATCCAAGGAATGGAAGAAACAGTGAAGATGACTGGATGTGGACGCTGCGGGATGTACATTATCCTGGAGTGGGTACCCAAAGAGCCCAAAAACTTCTTCATTTGTATGAAGTGCTGCCTGATAGAGCTATTGGAAGAGAAGATCCAAGGTTTGGAGATGCAGGTGTAAACCATGGTTGAGTTTCAAAGGGGATTCAAGCAGATGATGGATGGAAGGCGAGAGAAGGCAGAAGGGAAAACTCAAGACTCACAGATGGAAGCTGGACTAAAGAACTGTGAGGGTAGACTGCTGGATGAGGAAACTGGCCAATGAAAGCATGTGACTATGGTGTTACAAAACATGCAAACATGGTTTTACATGGTTTGCTCTCTTTAAGATAATCCATTTTCTAGACAAAGGATATGCAGTAGATTGAATCTACCTGGATTTCAGTAAGGCATTTGATACAGTTCCACATGGGAAATTATAAATTAAATTGGAGAAGACAGGGATTAATATGAGAACTAAAAAGGTGGATAATTAACTGGTTAAAGGGGAGACTACAGTGGGTCATACTGAAAGGGGAACTGTCAGGTTGGAGGGAGGTTACACTTGTGGAGTTCTTGAGGGATCCATATCGGGACCAATTTTATTTAACATTTTCATTCATGACCTTGGCATAAAAAGTGGGAGTGATCTAATAAAATTTGCAGATGGCAAAGTTGGAAGGAGGACTGGAATATCATACAAGATCTGGACAACCTTGAAAACTGAAGAAATAGAAATAGGATGAAATTTAATAGTGCGAAGTGCAAGGTCATGCACTTAGGGATTAACGACAAGAATTTCTGCTGTAAGCGGAGGACTTATCAGTTGGAGGTGAAAAAGGAGAGAAAGACCTGGTTGTAAGAATTGATCACAGGATGACTATGAGCTACCAATGTGAAGCAGCCATGAAAAAGGCTAATGCAAACCTAGGATGCATCAGGTGAGGCATTTCCAATAGGGACAGGGAAGTGTTACTGCCATTATACAAGGCACTGGTGAGACTTCATCAGGAATACTGTGTGCAATTCTTGTCTTCCTTGTTTAAGATGAATTCAGACCAGAACAGGTACAGAGAAGAGCTACCAGGATGATCAGAGGAAGGGAAAAGCTACCTTATGAGAAGAGACTCAAAGAGCTTGGCTTGTTTAGCCTAACCAAAGGCTGAGGGGAGATATGATTTCTCTCTATAAATACACAGGAGGGATAAATACCAGGGAGGGAGAGGAGTTATTTAAGTTAAGCACCAATGCTGACACAAGAACAAATGGATATAAACTGGCCATCAACAAGTTTAGGCTTGAAATTGGATGATGCTTTCTAACACTCAGAGGAGTGAATTTCTGGAACAGCTTTCCAAGGGGAGCAGTGTGGGCAAAAAACCTAATAGGCTTCAAAGACTGAGCTTGGTAAGTTTATGGAAGGGAAGGTATGATGGGACTACCAACAATGGCATGTGGCCCATCTGCGACTACTACTAGCAAATATCCAGGGATGGGAACACTAGATGGAGAGGGCTCTGAGTTACTACAGAGAATTCTTTCCCAGGTGTCTGGCAGGTGGATCTTGCTGACATGCTCAGTGTCCAACGGATTGCCGTATTTGGGGTCAGGAAGGAATTTTCCTCTTGGTCAGATTGGCAAAGACCCTGTAGGTTTTTTGCCTTCCTTTGCAGCATTAGGCATGGTTTACTTGCTGATTTAAACTAGAGTAAATGGCTGATGCCCTGTAACTTGAAGTCTTTAAATCATTATTTGAGGACTTCAGTAACTCGGACACAGGTTATGGGTCTATTACAGGAGTGGATGGGCGAGGTTCTGTGGCCTGCAATGTGCAGGAGGTCAGACTAAGGCCAGAAGGGACCATTGTGTTCATCTAAAGTCTATGAGTTTGAGATTTTAGTGCAGTTCTCCTCCACAAGAGCAGCTCTATCAAGGGCACTTTGAGCGTTACATATTATCTCATCAATTTCTGAATCAAATGTGCTCAATTTACAAGTAAAAACCTGTTTAACTAGAGGTACTGCAAACTCCACATAGGATGTAAGAGTCAAGCTGTTGTTGCCTCCTGTCATTATCAGTAGTAAAGACTCTGCAGGCCAAGTATAGCCTCACTCACACCCGTGGAACTTACACATGCAAACCAGTGGCCTACAATGAGCATGCATATGTAAATTATTGCAAGTGAAACTTCCAGGCTAGAAAGTATGAAAGATGATTAAAAAACCAAAAGCAAAGACTTTTTTCCCCGCTTTTAAAAAGTGAGAAGAACATTCTGTACAGAATAGAAATCTGCAACTCAGACACTGATCAAATGAACAAAGAGCACCTGTCGGCCACAGGGATGGACTGGACAGGAAAACCGATCACTAAACCACTTACGTAACAGGTGACTTTTTAAACGCCCCCCGTCCCTTCCCCTTAATAGACCCCAGGAGCGGAACTATCCTAGCAGAACATATTAGCATCAAAACCAGCAAACTTTTGCCTGCAGGGGAAAGCAGAACTTGCTCCTTCTGGGAGGTGGTGCCATCTTCTCATGGATGAGTATGGACCTCTTGGCAGACAGGTCACTTGCACAGAGTAGAGTTCTACTGAAATATCTAGTTAATATTTGCTTAACTTCATAGTCAGACAAACATTAGCAAAGTGTTGCAGGAAGTTTTTATTAGGCCACGCAACACTTTGAAGGTATGGGTAAGTCATTTTTCAGGCATCCACCACATTGCCGGCAATGAGATGTGCCACAACAACAAATGCTAAAGTTATGCAACTGTTGCTCCTAGGTCAATGACATTTAAAATAGAAAATCTTTCCTACACAGTGTTAATAAAATTGCACTTGGTTTTGTTAAAAACATCAATATTGTAACTTTTTCAAATATTTCCTTTTTGGTATCTTAATTGATTTCCTTCAATTACTGGGGCTTCTTACTCAAAAACCTCCTCTACTTCTAAGCCAGCTGTGCAGTCTTCATCTATTAGCCATTATTTCCAATAAAACGGGAAGCTTGTTTCTAAAATAACTCTTCACCAACTTCTTCTACCCTCCACCAAAAACAGGTAGTTGACCTGTGGAAGTTAATTGTAACATTGAATTCATAGTCCCTCAGTCAGATGTTAGGACTTTTAGTTTGACAGATTAAATATCTGAAGAAAGTTACAGAAGGTGCTGGAACACACATTTAAATCACTTAAAAATCCAAACTTGCAGCAACACCATAAATTCAAACATTTTCCAAAGGTTTATCAATGTCCTTGCGAACCTCTTCCACAGTGAACTGTGTAAGATGCCCTCACTCAAATACAGTGTCCAGTTCCAAAGGTGAAGATCAAGAGAGAGATCAGCAGGATGCACCCGATCCACTGGGCAGCCTACGGGAAACAGAACTTTCAAGAAGCTTCTTCTTCACTCCATTTTGGATCTTTCAAAATGTGTAATCATTCTTTCCTGAAAGATTCAAAAAAACGTCATTGAAGTTTGTAATTTTTGTCTCTGTGTTTACATTACTCAGAACTAAGAGCCCGCTCTTCACATGTTTATAGATACACACATGCATTGCAGAACAGTGGTTATACACGGAATAAGAGATATATAAAGAGTGCTCAAATTTTGACAAGATATAAATTTGTCCAGTCAGAAATCTAACTGCACATATGGGGCAAAGTTACCTTTCTGAATATACACTGCTACTCGATCTCGGTTTAGATCAGATAATTACAACATTAACTCTGAATGTGTGAAGATACCTGTCATGTACACATTATAGAACTTCGTATGCTGGTTAGAGAGAAGCACACTCAAATACTGACATAATGTGTTTCTCCCTAACTAGCAGGAAGTTTGTGTTTTGTCACTCCCAAATAGATGAAAAGGGCACTCTTAATCAAACCTTAAAGTTTGGAACTCATTTAATACTACAAAAAGCGGAAAGAAAAATATGTGCTAAAGACAAGGAAAAAACTATTCACCAAATAATTTGTGGAGTAATCCATCATCATCTCTCTCATTAAGTCCTCTTAAGCAAGAACAATTTTTGCCTAGTGGTTCCAGATATAGTTGAGAGCACACATTTGTCAAGAATTTAATCAATTCATTAACATTCATAGCATTATTTGAGTGACTGATTTTATTGTAATTCAACACGAGGCATAGATTTCACATATTAACCCTTTATTTCCCCAAAAGCAACATGCAAATGAAGGTATTAACCAAAACTCAACTTCTAGAACAGTGGTGCACAAACTTTTCCAGTTGCCCCCACCCCACTTACCATTAATGCAGGGGTTCCTAAACTTGGTTTGCGGCTTGTTCAGGGTAAGCTCCTGGCAGGCCACCACGTTTGCCTGAGCGTCCGCAGGTACGGCTGCTCGCAGCTCCCAGTGGCCATGGTTCACCGTTCCCGGCCAATGGAAGCTGCGGGAAATGGTGGCCTGGCCCGCGCTGCTTCCCGCAGCTCCCATTGGCTGGGAACGGCAAATCATGGCCACTGGGAGCTGCAAGCAGCCGTACCTGCGGACGCTCAGGTAAACAAAGTGTCTCGCGGCCCACCAGGAGCTTACCCTAACAAGCCTTACCTGAACAAGCTGCGAACCAAGTTTGGGAACCCCTGCATTAATGGAATTGGTCTGTGCCTGCCCTCCATTACAGCACCGCCAAGGCTTTCCCAGCACCAGAGCTTGGACTGAAGGCAGAGCTGAGGGCGGAACTGTGGATGGGGGAGGAGCTGGGGCTAGAGGCAGAGCTTGGCTGGGGGCAAAGAGGGAATCACAGCAGAGCAGAGCTGGAAGCGTGGCACTCCCTCCCGGCCCCCCCATGGGGGCTGGGCCAGGCCTGGAGGCAGAGTAGGACTGGGGCTGAATGAGTTTGGGAGAAAAGTGAGGCTGGAGGCAGAGTGGGGCTGGAAGCATGGTGCTCCCTCCCCACCGGGGCTGGCCGAGGTCCCACCGCGCATACCCCCCCAATGCTCCCCCACCCCTCAATTTGGGGACCACTGTTCTAGAAATAGCTGCTAATTTATGTAATGGCATCTGCAGAGCCAGAAACTGAGCTGTTTTGCTACAACACACGTTACTGGAATTCACACACAAACGTGGAAGGAGACGGGGAAATGCAGCTTTACTTTGAGTAAACATGCATGGCACTACTGCATGAAGGGAGCGCCTAGTATTTTAAATCATTTGCATTTAAAACAATCATTTCATGATAAATTGCAATCTGCTGCACAGGTTCTACCATTCTTGAAAGTCTTCTGGCTGAACACTAGTTTATACTGTTCATATTTAGGGCAAATTATTGTATTTCATTCAATTATAACATCAGTACTTCTCTCCCCTTTCCTGCTGCATTTATAGGAACATAGAGCTCAGTTCTAACAGGCCAAGTCAACCTCTTTAATGAAAGACTCATGACACCCTTGGCATGTCATAAGACTTCAATTTGTGCTGAAGGCTTGTTTACTGACCTCATCTGAATCCAGAAGAGCTGGGAGAGCACTGCAGTAAAACAAACAAAGATTGTTACACAGACCCAGGGCACTAAATGACTGAAAATATCAATGTCAGTTTTAACACCGCCAGCTTTTTGACAGGGAGTAGGTTATGATGGAGAAGAGGACCAACCTTTCGCTAAAATTAGAGAACTGGAGGAAGACAGAGAAAGATATTAACAGAGTGAGATGGGACCTAAGTAGTATTATCAAATACGAAAATCAGTTTCTAAGTTGTGCTTTCATTTTTCAGCTCGCAAATTCCCATCACTTGAAATCAGCCAGAAGATATCAACTTTCAAAAACTCTCAAGTAAAATGCAAGTGTCTTCTATAGCCTCTTATTTACTTTATGTGGTGGAGAGGAGTATCTTGCCTTTTACTAGCTTTCAATACCCTCTAATTAGAGTGTTTTAAAAAAGAAAATCCTTACTCATTCTATAAAGACAAACCCCAGGCAAATTATGACAAATTTTCACAAGATACACCTCTTTTCCTCAGTGTAGTATTCTGAAACTTAGTATCCTATCATGTATAAACTGAATTGTATTTTTGTAAACAGAAATGTATATTTAAATCCAGGATCTGAGCCTTCCACTGGAATGCCAGTATCAGAATTGTAAGCTAGTATCCATCATGGTTTACATATGATTTAACAAAGATAATTTTAGGCATAGAACACCAAAGTTTTTAAATTGTAAAAATCACTATATTAAGGCAGAAGTGATACCAGTTGTGTACAGTGGGCTTCCATACTGCCAATGTCCAGTGTCACTAAACAGAAGGCTCAGACATGGTCTTAATTACCAAACTTAATAAAAGTTATCCACAATTTATATATTATATTAGGAAAAACACTCAAGTGTACATCCAGAGCATACTACTGAGGGAAGCTAATCTGGTTTTAACTTCACACAAAAAAAATCAAATAAGTCATTAGACATGGGATTCAAAACACAGGCAGCTAACACTGACTTCAGCTCATTATTCATAGTCATGAGGTGGTATACAGAAGCCAAAACAGGAACAAGTTTCTATCATACAAGTATCACTACTCATTGTCAGAATCACACTGATTTCTCCATCCACAGAGCACAAGAATGTGTCAGCTCTGTTCTGTATCTTTTAAATGTCTTGGTTCTTTAACTAGGACTAGGACTTTACCTATGTGTGAGACCTCTAACGATACAAATGTTGAATGCTTAAAACCAAACCAAAATATTGAACCAGAGACTTACTTGTTCTATGTAGCCTCACTTGTAGTACTGTTGATTTTCAACTTGAGGTCAAATCCTCATAAGGGACTGTTTGTAACCTACCATTACCAACTACAGTGAACATTTAAAAAGTTCCCAGTCTACATTTCAGCAGATGCATTACATTTAAGGATAATTTCAACACAGCAGCAAGAGAAGGACAAACACCAAGATTTAAAGGAGGTGCAGTTTTGGATTTTTAAAAAAAAACTTTATAAACTCAATTAAGTATTACACATGGCTAAAAATTTACGCTTAGTATGCTGCGTAGACATACCCTTAAAGTGAGAGGCCAACTCGAGAAAGGGTTCAGCACTTGCCCAGACAGAGCCAGCATCAAAACTGCTGGCATTCTAACTATACTTCCAGTGCTTCTGACTCCAATGCAGCTACTACTCCTTGTCACAGTACAGATACTCACACATCAGTCACCGAAGAAGGAACATTCTCTTCTACCCACTTCAGATCATCTTCCTGCTAGAAGCACAGAAACAAACATAAAAACCAAAAATGACAAGATTCTTTGAAGGGGTTTGCAAATGAATACATTTCCTCTAGCCTACCTGAAAAGCTCAGCATTAACTACAGTGGATGCTCACACAAGAAATGCAAATAGTTATTTTTAGATTAAGGAATCAAGTTCAGAGGATCAGGGAAGACAATACATTTTTTAAACATTTTTCAGCAATTTTAAGCCAGTGCCTACTCAGCCAAGAATTAACTTAAAATGCTATGATAATTAATAAAACATTGTGTTAAAACAAAATATGATTCATAATGTTGGATTTAAAAGATTAAAGAGTATACCATACATTAATGTAACCTTCCTAATTTTTGTTGAAATTATTAGCATTTTTATAGAACTAGTAGGATTGTTGATTTGTACATAAGAACGGCCGTACTGGGTCAGACCAAAGGTCCATCTAGCCCAGTATCCTGTCTACCGACAGTGGCCAATGCCAGGTGCCCCAGAGGGAGTGAACCTAACAGGTAATGATCAAGTGATCTCTCTCCTGCCGTCCATCTCCACCCTCTGAGAAACAGAGTCTAGGGACACCATTCCTTACCCATCCTGGCTAATAGCCATTAATGGACTTAACCTCCATGAATTTATCCAGTTCTCTTTTAAGCCCTGTTATAGTCCTAGCCTTCACAACCTCCTCAGGTAAGGAGTTCCACAAGTTGACTGTGTGCTGTGTGAAGAAGAACATCCTTTTATTTGTTTTAAACCTGCTGCCTATTAATTTCATTTGGTGACCCCTAGTTCTTGTATTATGGAATAAGTAAATCATTTTTCCTTATCTACTTTCTCCACATCATTCATGATTTTATATACCTCTATCATATCCCCCCTTAGTCTCCTCTTTTCCAAGCTGAAAAGTCCTAGCCTCTTTAATCTCTCCTCATATGGGACCTGTTCCAAACCCCTAATCATTTTAGTTGCCCTTCTCTGAACCTTTTCTAGTGCCAGTATATCTTTTTTGAGATGAGAAGACCACATCTGTATGCAGTATTCAAGATGTGGGCATACCATCGATTTATATAAGGGCAGTAATATATTCTCCATCTTATTCTCTATCCCTTTTGTGACAGGGTCAGGCCTGATGGCTACAGAAGAGTGATAGAAGGCAGATATATTAGTCCCAGATTAAGTAAATCCCTTTTCCCTGGGTAAGGTAACAGGGGCAGTTCCAGAACAAGCAGGAACGTGCTGGAACCAGTTAAGGCAGGCAGGCTAATTAGGACACCTGGAGCCAATTAAGAAGAAGCTGCTAGAATCAATTAGGACAGACTGGCTAATCAGGACATCTGGTATAAAAAGGCTCTCACTCCAGTTAGTGAGGTGTGTGCGTAAGGAGCTGGGAGTGAGAGGATGTGCTGCTGGAGGACAGGAGTATAAGCATTAACAGACATCAGGAGGAAGGTCCTGTGGTGAGGATAAAGAAGGTGTTTGGAGGAGGCCATTGGGAAGTAGCCCAGGGAGTTGTAGCTGTCATGTAGCTGTTCCAGGAGGCACTCTAGACAGCTGCAGTCCACAGGGCCCTGGGCTGGAACCCGGAGTAGAAGGCAGGACCGGGTTCCCCCCAAACCTCCCAATTGACCTGGACTGTGGGTTCTACCAGAGGAGAAGGTCTCTGGGCTGTTCCCCAACCCACATGGTGAATCTCTGAGGCAAGCAAATCCACCAACAAGCACAGGACCCACCAAGATAGAGGAGGAACTTTGTCACACTTTTTAATGATTCCTAACATCCTGTTTGCTTTTTTTGACCGCCTCTGCACACTGCGTGAACATCTTCAGAGAACTATCCATGATGACTCCAAGATCTTTTTCCTGATTTGTTGTAGCTAAATTAGCCCCCATCATATTGTATGTATAATTGGGGTTATTTTTTCCAATGTGCATTACTTTACATTTATCCACATGAAATTTCATTTGCCATTTTGTTGCCCAATCACTTAGTTTTGTGAGATTTTTTTTGAAGTTTTTCACAGTCTGCTTTGGTCTTAACTATCTTGAGCAGTTTAGTATCATCTGTAAACTTTGCCACCAGTTTGTATGAACTGACATTTTGATTTGAGATATATAATATTACTTAGGATGTTTGAGCACTGAATATATTTCTACTTTGCTTTTTTGCTGAACAGAAAACAATGGGCAGTTTTATCTTTATATTAAGGATATCTGTGAATTAGAAGTCATCTTTATTTGAATGTCCTTGCTGCTGACTCAAGAGTTTGAGGAATTCCTTGTTATTGCCAAAGCAGAACAGAGACTTCAGGGGGCATCAGGTTTCTACAGTTTATACATGCTTTAGATAAAAATGAGCTCCACTCTAAAGGCTTTTGAGAAACAACTTTGTAATGCATTTTCTACCTCCTCATTGTGAATAAATCCTGAGTTTTACAGGGTCACATGTGGAAACTGCAGACATCTTAAATGCACTCACAAAAGGTATACATGCACCTCAGGTGGTCATGCATCTGACTGAAAAGCATACAGAATTTGGAGACACAGGGTAAGTAGTGTAAATTCCCTTTGAACCCAGTTCTGCTTCCACATATTTTTCTGTTTTGAAGTAATCTCAAAACCTGAGAGACTAGCTACACAAAGGCCTGGTCCACACTACCCCCCCACTTCGGACTAAGGTACGCAAATTCAGCTACGAATTCGAAGTACCTTAGTCCGAACTTACCGCGGGTCCAGACGCGGCAGGAAGGCTCCCCTGTCGATGCCGCGTACTCCTCTCGCTGAGCTGGAGTACCGGCGTCGACGGCGAGCACTTCTGGGATCGATCCCAGAACATCGATTGCCTGCCGTCGGACCCGGAGGTAAGTGTAGACGTACCCAAAGGCTAAATTAGCCAGTTTCAGAGAACTTGGTGTAATATGAAACAGTTCTGTCTCTAATGCATTATGTGCAAGTTCTCAAAGCACATACCAGAAAGCCAAATCAGAATTCAGTAAGACTCAATCTGTTCACAAGCACCACGATTACCATGTTTTGACCCAAATCACTCACACTTCTTGGAAAGGACAAACACAGATACTTGGTCTGATCCTGTTACAGAGCTCCTATTTAAGTGGCAATCAACTGAGTGATCTAGCATTACCTTTACCTAGTGATAGGGCCAAGGTGGGAAGAGCATACTCACAGCTTTGTTTGCTTTCATATTTCCATTTGGTTCTTGTTTTGTACTTCTCATTTTCATTCCCTCTGCAAAGGGGAGACAAGGTAGAAACGGGATGATTAAACTAGGTCAGTATGTAAACTGTAGATTGCATATCTATTAGGAATACTCCACTGAAACCAAAGATCATTATTTAGAGGAAAGGGCATGCTACCTATTTAAAAGGAGAGTCCCCTTTCCAGATACCAAAAGTAACTTCTCAGAAAAATTCATATATGTTTTTAACAAACAATACTAAGGATTGGTCTGCATGGTGTGACAATGCTCCCTAGGTGGGTGTGGAAACAGCACTATGGGTACATCTACACTTACCGGAGGGTCCGGCGGCAGGCAATCGATGTTCTGGGATCGATCCCGGACGTGCTCGGCGAGAGGAGTACGCGGCATCGACGGGGGAGCCTTCCTGCAGCGTCTGGACCCGCGGTAAGTTCGGACTAAGGTACTTCGAATTCAGCTACGTTATTAACGTAGCTGAATTTGCGTACCTTAGTCCGAAGTGGGGGCTTAGTGGGGACCAGGCCTATGTTAAAGCGCTCCAGGGAACTTTAGTGCACACCACATTCATTCACATACTTTAGAAATCACTCCCCTTAGTGTGCATTGCCACACTGGCTAGGCAAGCTCAAAGTGAAGCTCAGTGAACACCTATGATAACTATAACTCTAAGAGGAAAAGGATCTTTCTTCAGTCTACTTTATGCATTATCCATTTCACTGTTCCTGTAGAACCAGCTCCCCCACTTTTTCTGTGGGCCTTTCTGAAATGCAAAATGATTAGGACTGGAGGGTTCAGGGCTTCAATCATCATTTCAAACCCATCTTACTTTGCTGTCCAGCAGTAGCATCTGGAAGTCCCCACCATCTGAAGGCTAGTTGCCTACATTAAATAAGTTGTTGATCTCAGTCCAGTTCCTAGTGGACAAGATTGAACAGGCCATGTAGAGACTGCACAGTTAGTGGTGGTGTTCCTCGAAGGCTAGGGTTAAATCTAGTGGCAGCGTGGAGAAGTTTACACTGCTGGTGACAGTGCTGCTATACCTGTTCTTGATTAATTCAGCACTAAGATTCCTTTCCCACCCCCACAGAAAGGAAAATCAGAAAAATTCTGTTCCTACCTTTAGGGATAGTTATGAAATTAAAAGAATTAAAAAGTTAAAGTTTGGTTGAGAAAATAATATATTTGCTTTCAGGTTTGTGGCCAGTAAGGAAGGGGCTCTAATTAGCAAGTAAAAGGCGGCCATGAGAACAATAAATAGTATTACTTGTAGTGTGGGAAGGAAGTACGGTTCAAAAATTAACTAATAAAATAAAGAGCTGCAGTAACAAGAAAAAAATATGTCTTAAGAGAAACAAACACAAACCTTCCCACTGTTCTGCTGGTGAGCAAGGATTGGGGGAAGGAGATAAAGGAAGGCCTTGGAGGAAGGAAAGAAAGAAGCAAGGAGAAACTGCTTCAAACTGGACTTTTGCTAAAACTAGCGAGTTAGCTGAAGGGTATAAAGAAAAGCTATGAATCTGAAGCTTCTTTGTCAGACCCTACCTGATCATGCTGGAGCACACCAGGATAAGACGGTTTTCTCTAGGTCTGGCCTATTTGTAAGTATACTGATCACATGCTTATGAATACTTTGTTACTGTATTGGGTGTAGTGACTGCTTACTTTTAGGCTGTTAGGTACGTTTAGAGCAACTGTATAAAACACCATTTGGCCTTTGGACTTAAAGGAATTTATGGTTAAATTAGTGTCTGGCGGTCTCCCACATTAATATTAATAATTCCAACATTACCAAAGCTTTCCTTTAACATGGGCTCTTTCTGTTCATCCTCATCTTCCTCAGACAATGGTGAGAAAGCAAACCTTTGGAGAAAAGGAAAAGAACGAAGGCACCATAAGACAGACGCACAAAGTCAAAATATCTTACATAAATGTCATTTTGAAGAGACTGATTTCTTGCCATTTTTATCATTTGACTATTCTGGACAGCTCACTCTAATTGTAAGTTAGATTTTTGATCAACCACAAGCTGAGGTAATTTAAGTACTCATACCATTCTTCTTTTTTAAATAAATGTCACTAAGGAGAGCCTATAAATCTACAAATGTTGCTTCCACTTTCTGAGGTCAGGAGAGAAACTACAGGAACTATACTTCCTTCTCAATATATATATACATACACACACATACACACACATGGCTGGAGAAAAGTTTAGCAAGTGACCATGTAGTACACCAGGACTGCAGGAAATGCTTTCTTTGGATAGACTTGACTTTAAGAATTCAAGATTACTTTAAGAAAGGTAAGACGCATTAAACCTTTGGTTGTTGGCAGACGGCCTCCACAGAACCATGATGACAAAAAGGATCATTGAGAACAACAGTCGCCAGATGGCATCATCCACCCACAGCTCCTGCCAGTCCTGTCAAGAAAAGTACGAGAAGTAAAACATGCCAGGAACAGAGAGAATCCATGCCCTTAGTCCTCTTTTTCTTTTTTTTTTTAAACTGGTGAACTAGAAACACCTGTGATAAGGAGTAAAGTTGCGGTTCTGTACTAAATGGCTTCCCATAGGGTGTAAATTTCCATGTATTAAGACTTCACTGTATGCTCCTCCGCATGAAGGGGACTCTATAGGAAGAGCATTTGCCAGCTTCCCCAACCTCACTTCCCCTACCTCCAAATCCAGATTTTAAGAAAGGAAGTAGTAATCATGGAAACCACTTAGGTACAAGATGCAAACTCACCAACTGACAATCCACCAGCCTGAACTTCATGGTGGTCCAGATGATAAATACAATAGATGCTGAAGGCAAAAAAAAGAACACTTGGTAAAACCGGTGAGTCAGACACGAATGCATGAAGCTTGTTACCTCTTAGATACTCTAGTGATAGAAAAACTAAGAACTAAGTAATCACTCCCTCGGGACTTCAAAGGCAAAAGTCTTTTTAAGCCATCAACAATTTACTGTAACTTTTCCTGTTACATCCTTTTCTTCCAATCACAAAGGGACAATGATTCTCCAGAAGTCATCTCACATCACTTAATTCAGCCACTGAAATTAAGAGCTGAATTCAGTGTTCTTGTTTCCCCAAAGGCATGCTTTCAACACCTTGTCCAAGACATGGCAGGGAATGATCCCCCACTACTTCCTTCTTCCCCATGGGACTGTTTTTTGTAGAATTACATAAAACTTCCTTCTAGCAGCATTCTAGACAATGTAACAGTTTTAACATTTATGAAATCTAAAGTTCTTTACAAGCTACATCCACAGCAATAGTGAAGAATAGTCACCTCGAGCAAGCATACTTGCAATCAATTAGAACACAATACATTGCATGACTTACACAAAGAAAACCCCTCCATCTTATGAAAAAGGCCAAGGAATCTAATGATTGTACAGTATCAGCAGAACCTTGTTTTTAAAAAATTTCATTCCAAAGACCTTCAGAGTGAACTGCACGTAACTCAATTTATCAGCCTTCAGAAAAAATTAAAAGTTAGGTTAACCCAGTCGGAAACTGACCTTATGACAAGAAGTCAAGATATTTCAGATCAGCGGCTTCAAATACTATATGCTATCTCTTAAAAAATGAAAAAATATACCTCACGTAAAAAAGTCTAAGCTAAACCTCAAACCTCCATTTCCCATTGTCATGTTACTTTCCTTCTTCTAGAGAGACAGATTAGGATACTGGCATTCAAAGACATCAGGCCTCTTTATCATCAATTACAAGTACAAAATATTTTAAAGTAACCAAGCCTCCCACCCACCATTCCTGGAATTTAGATCTTATTACCCTGAACCAAAAGCAAGTTTTAATGCAGAAGCTAAGCGTTCCCCATAGTGGGCTTTAAAGAATGGGTTGGGTTTTTTTATACTGGTTGTATTTTGGAGCGGCTTAGTTTCAGATGCTGCCAAGAATGTCAACCAAACCCATCTATTTAATGGGCACATTTTGTAAAACAAGTGTCAAACATCTCAGTCCCTTATAAGAGTTGAGTTAAAAGCAAACTGCTCACTGCCTGGATAGGGTTTGTGGATGGGTGAGAAAAACTAGGAGTCTGGTAGCATTATTAGGTATGTCCTTGATGTTAGCTAGATTTTATTTGATGCAAATAGGTACAAACTTTAAATTGCAATTTCCCATCCCAAAATAGCCTGCCCTCTCTTTTCTAAAATGAGCAAACATTCTTTTTCACGAAACCACTCTGCTCAAAGATTAAGCTGTCAGCATGGTGGAGCCATAACACATCTTAAAATCCCCTATTAACCAATACAAAGTGGTACTGCAGTTTTGGAGGAAGCCACTACCCATCTCAGCAGCAGCAGCAGATTTCAGCATGGGATGTAGCTGCTAGCAAAGCATGAGGATTGTCTGGGGAGAGGAGGTGGGAGAGGAAAGGGGACCAAAATGAAAAACTCCAAAAAACTATTAAGCTTAATCAGATAAATGCTAATTTGAAGCTACAGTTTATGGGTAGTCAGAAAAATTTGTCAGAAGCACACCACTATGCAAGGCTGAGTGTTCAAGAGCAAACACTGAAATGCCAAAAGGCCAATAAACTGACCCAAAGAACAGCTTTAGTAAACTAAACCAGACCCATAATACCTGGAAAGTAGACTATTTAGTGAGGAATGGAATCCACAGCTCACCTGCTACTGCCAAGATAAGAGTGTTGGTGAAGTGCCGGTAAAGAGAGAGTTTCACAATGTTCCTCCGAAGTTTTAGCAGCTTCATCGTTTGAGTCAAGCTGATGAATATGTATGGCAAGTCAAGGAAAGCAAGCTTAAGAATCAAGTTCTTGATAACAAGTAGGATACAGCTTTTGTACACATCTCAAGCAACACTGTCATGCCATGCAGACATAGTGCCCCTACAACCTTTTCTAACAGCAGCATAACCACAGCGACCCAGCCCTCCCGCACAGCAGTAGGTGGTCATCCAGAGGCAGTGCTCCTGAACAGTAGTTTACTACAACAAGTTTTCCATACCCATCCATTTACATCACCCAGCCCCATCCAGGCCTAGTACTCAGATATCACCACATCAGTAAGCTAGCCTGATGCAAAATTTCACAACTATACTCCAACTACACTACAGTAGCTCATACTCGCAGGAAAACTTTACATGCATTTTGAGAAGAGAAAAATAAGTTTAAAACCTGGTCATGAGATTAATATAAATGGGCAGCACATCCATGTTCGTCTTTATCTACCTTGCCTGCAATTTTAATTGTACAATAATCGAACTTGTGTTTAGACAAAAGACTGACATAATTGTAAGAGGAATAAGGGGGTTGCCCTGGCCTGGAAAGAGAAAGGTGAACTTTGGCATATCCTAATTTTTCAGGTTTGGTAGTTTCGGGAGCTTATATTAAACCTAGCCAAGTCCTAAACTCAAAGGGGTCTCAGCGCAGCAGAAGACAAATGGCAAACGTGGAAGAGGAGGCTGGGAAGACGTTTAGAAAAATGATTCAGAAAACTGCTTAAAAAGTTAATTCAACTCTTTCTTGTCCCCAAACTACTTTATGAGACCTGCAAAGTTCTGAGAAGAAATTTTAGCACTAGTGTTGTCAAAATAAAGAGTTTTCTACCAGTTTAAAACAAAACCAAAAACCCAAAACCAAACCACCCCCAAAAAAACAAAAACACCCACAGTAAGGTCAGGACAGACCATAGTCCAAAAATTGCTGTTCTGACTACTGCTTCAGTACAACTTTAGAGTAAATTCACATCAATAATCAGAGAACACCACAACACAAAAACTACATGTTTACTATGGTAAGGGCTAGGACCTGTTTCAAAACCAATTCACAAACCTCCATTGGCAATTTAAATTTTGTTACACAAGTTATGGAAATAGAGCTTACCTGAACCTTTAGGCCACAGGGCCTATGGTAGCTGTTCGACAAAAAGATGGCATGTCATTCAAGATGGCAAAAAATGTTTGCTGCAGAAAGACTCCCTGAAGACCAAACTCCAAAGAAAAAACACTGCACCAAATTAAACAGTGAAGAAGGATATCCACCAGCAGAGAGCAGTATCTAGGAAAGCCAGGGGAATAAAAGCCAAGGAGGCAAGATCATTCTGTGCCTAGAGATAAAGAAAAAGACCCAGTGAGAACAAAATGATTGGGAAAGCAAAGCACACACACCCCAAAAATCATCAAGCATTCAGTCCCAGGTTATCATTTTACCATCAGAGAACATAAATACAGAACTGGAAAGCTAAGAAGACCCTATGCTTTGCTGTTGAAGCAGAGGGTCTGAATTAGTGTTCACCACAAAGGACAGAGTATTTTGTAGCAGAGTTAAAAGCAGACAACGCCACACACAGTTCTGATCCCCACAAGCGACTGATATGGCAAGAAGTAAGTTTTTAGAGTCAGGTGAGTAACTCATTGAAAAGGCACCGCTAATGAGCAGACAGCCTTGATGGTGCTGCGCTGCAATAACGACACTTCTTACAGAAAGATTGTTATAGATCTTTGCAGGTACTGGGTTGGTGCCAAAGACCACATGGTTCCACTGTTGAGCACTAAATTTAAACAAAATGGCACAAGTTGATGGAACCCACTAGGAGAAAACATAAAGGTGGGATCAACAGTCCTCTTGCACATAACAAAATAACATCCTGAATGAATTTGTGTAAGAAATTCACTTGTACTGGTCTCTGCACCAGGCACTGAACATTTCCTAGAAAAATTAGTCATATTGGGCAACTTCTGAAAGGATATCCACAAAATAATACAGGCATCAATCACTGATAGACCCAAGTTCGCTATCAGAGCCATAGCGCCATAGAAAAGCTGAAAGGGTATCAAATAAGAGACAAAGTCAAAATAAGCTGTCCCAAGAATTCAATCAAGTCAGGTGCAGAACCAAAGACAAAGACTCTTCTGATAGGTAAGTTTTAGAGTGTGAAAAGCAGCAGTGCCACTGCAGGACTGATATTGTCCTAGTGAAGCCGAACTCCATCGACCTAAAAAATGACTACAATAAAAGCTTTAAGAATTACAATAGTCTTCATCGGGCTATTAAAATATGCACCTTGAAAAATCTGCAAGAAGCACCCATTTCTATTTGCCAGCGTGTTTTTTTCACTGCACAAGGCCCAGTGAAACCTCCCTTGACTAGTAGGCACAAATTCAAAACTTTGTCAATTCTGGACCCAAAAAAACCCACTTATTTTCAAGTATTCCTATTTCAAAGCACCAAAATTATTTTCCATTGCCGAGAATTAAATTTTGGGGAGGAGACATGGCAAGAAATTGGGAAAATAGCTGGAAAAATAAAGCCTTCTCAACAACACTCCACAACTGTACTCTCCCCCCCCTAAGGTGCTGGGAATTTCATTCTCCAAATTTCCCTATTATAGCACAACCCAAGGATACTTCACTACATTACAGTATATGTAATCACACAAGACCAACAATTGCTACATCTGTGGCACACATGAAAACACAGGTAAGTGTCTACTGACCCCTGTGACTCTAAGGACACCTTCCATGCCAGAAAATAATAAATAGAGCACTCCAGCCGTAACTACTTTGTGAAGAGTGACTCCAAGACGAGGCCTGCAGGGAAATATAAAAAAAGTGAAAAAAGGTAAAACACACACTTTGGCAAAAGGCACACGATTCAAGGTTTCTCATCACAAGTTATAGATCTAGGAAGTTATTTTGTCATGGTGCTCTAGCCTCATGGTGTCATGTTAGGCTTTGTCCAGGCTTGAATTTAAAGGTGTGATTTTAAGAGTACAGTACAATGAAAGTTTCATACGCTATGTGTAAGATAAAAACCACTTCAAGACCCAGACTTAATTTCAGACACAGAAAAAGTTTGTCTCACACTTTATGGGAATTTATAATATACATACACAAGTGGTCTTCTCTAACCGCTTTTTGAACATTCAAAAGAGTTTTAGACTCTTTCATTGTGAGAGAATGGATTAATCTCAGTCTAGTCTAAGAACAATAACATCCCCAAAATCTAGTTTAACATTTTCCTTTCTTGGCTTCCGTTAATCCTGGTTCTACCATCTTCTGAAATACTTTTCATTTATAGAGTTATTCTGATCTCTATGCCAAGCTTTGTCCCCCATTTTCTCTCCCCTTTAGATTACACACATTTTAGTGCCTTTGGTCCTTCATCATAGGTCTTATCATTTAATCCTTTTGCATTTGTTGCATCCTCTCTAGTTTTTCCACATCTTTCTTAAGAGAGATCAGAACCAGAACTGCATATTCCCCCAAGTGGGTATCTAAAGTCATCCCCACCCACTCATCTCCATACTTCCTCCCATCTCAAGAAGATTCAGCAAATGCACTTAAGAATAGAGTTATCTCCACCTGTTTTAGCCCCGTTACTATCCACATTTAAAGGGTTTAAAGAAAATATTTTGAATGAATGATCACACTTCTACCATTCCCCATAACTCACCTACTTGCTGATATTCTCCCTCTCCTGGACACTGAGCACTTTGTACTCAATTATATTCACTGCATACTAGTATCTGTTCATGCATGCGCACAGCCTTCACACGCATCTGACTACATCATGGAGAGTGACAGCGTTAACAGAATCCATTACTTAGTGCTGTCAGCAGTTTCTTTTTTCTTTTTTTTTTTTAAACAGGGTTAATTTTTAACATTTTCAAGAAACATTTAATTAAGCTCATATGCATTACGAAATGTCATTTTTCAGTAGATAGGTCAGCTTCCTCTCTAACAGGGTCTCTAATTTGCCTATTTTAAAAAGAGAAGAGTGTTGAACTACAGAAAGATTTTTGCCTTCTCTCTCTTTAAAATTCTCTTTCCATTCTTGGTTCCAATCGTTTTTGTATTTAACATTTTACTTCATTTTGTCTCACTGCAGCATCCATTTTCCAAGTTTGCAAATAACATTCAAATGTCATTTAACCACTTTAAAGAAACGTGTTCAGCCTGTAACATGAGATGAGGTTGTTACTCACTTAACTATCCCGTATCCCAGGCTCACGATGATGACCAGCGTTCGAGCCAGTGAACGTTTCACTGCAGAAAGCAGCTCTGCAAGTATCAGTGCACCTTGGACTACCAAGAACAAAGCACAAGAAACTTGGTTACTAAACATATAATTCAGGTTCTGAGTAAGTGCTGCAGATAAGAGCAACACTACAGTGGTCAAGACTATTCCAAGAAACTCAGGCAAATTAAAATGCATCAGTGTTTTTAATCTTTTTATTATCTACTATTGGAGCAAGCTTCCAGGAAGAGCTGAATACTTCATTCAGCACCAAAGGAGTTAATGAGAAACTTTTCTCAGAAAATGTCTGTATGCATACAGTCTATATAAGATAGATTAGACAAAACCTACCTTTAAGTATCTTCTAGCAGAGAGATGAACTGAAGGTTATTTCAGTCCCATACGTCACCACAGGGTATACACAAATCATTAAATCAGACTGAATACCTAATGATCTTAATCCATGTGGAAACAAAATATGGTAATGCCCTTCCCCATTCCTTCTTGCAAATACTTTGGATATAGCCCTTAAGCATCTCCTGGGCATTAATACCATCCCAAGTTGTCAACTAACAAGATCCTCTACGTTGTGGATCAGGACGTCTGCATGTAAAAATTCTGTAAGACCATGTTGTAGTTTCACTCACTCAGATCCTTCTTTAAGATCTTGGTGCGAAGCCCTGTGCTAGTGCATCCCACCTAGAACCCAACACACTCCAATCAGCTTCAACTGCAATCTGACAGTGAGTTGGTACAGTAATTAATTTTGGTTGCTACCAGCCTGAGCCAGATTATAATTAGTGATCTAGATAGGTGAAATGTCATATATCCCAAAGCAAGTCACACAACCCATTAATTCACAACCCAGCTCTGTCTATAACTCAACTTGTTACATCTAGATTTGGCAAATGTAATCTATTACCTTGTGTTTTAAGGCTTTTTGATGTACTATAGCACAAACTTCTAACACATAAGGATGTACGGGTGAGCAAAACAGCACAAGTATCAGCTTTAAATTAGTTTAAGTCAGATCCTAAAATGTTTTTGAAGTATTTTCTAAAATACTACATTATAGATTCATAGAAATGTAGGGCTGGAAGGAACCTCAAAGTTATCTAATCCTTCCCTCCACACTGGGGCAAGAAGTAGTATACCTATACCATCCATGACAGATATTTGTCTAATCTGTTTTTAAAAACCTCCAATGACAGGGATCCCACAACCTCCCTAGGCAACCTGCTCCAGTGCTCAACTATCCTTATTGTTAGCAAGATTTTCCTATACAGACATAACCTACATAACACATTGAATTTAAGTCTCAGAGAATGTCAAAGCACTTTAGAAACAGGATTCAATTATCCCTATAAAGTAGGTATTATACCCTTTTTACAGATGGGACAAGGAAGACTGAAGACTTCAGTTTACTAACTTTCCAGAGGTCACCCAGAGAGCCTGTGGCACAATTGGGAACAGAACCCAAAAACGTTGACTACTTATTCCTTGTTCTGAGGTGCCCAACTAATCAAATAGTTATTGAATATACATTACCTAATTAGTTATATATTAGGATGAGTCATTACCCCCTTACCTTGCCCATGACAATGGGTATGACTACGTTACAATCAGAGGGGTGACTGCAGAATATGTAGAGCTAGTTTTGATCTAGCTAGCTCAAACAATAACAGCGAAGCCACAGCAGCACATACTGGTTGATCAAATACATATCTAGGGTCCCGGAAGGGCTTGTACAGCTCCTAGTGCCGCAGTTCCACTGCTAGACTTATTCAGCTGGCTAAATCAAAGCTACCTCAGGATGTTGACATGTGCTGAGTCACACTTCTGACAGCAGTGTAGATATACCCATAATTATAAGCTGTCCTTGATACATACCAGATTCTCCCGTGTAGCGGATGTTCTGGAATTCTGCATAGAAGACTGCTTTCTCCAGCATTCCCAGGAAGATAACCGCACCAATCCAGAACTGGATCCTCAGAAGGTCCCGCCAATAACAGGCTGACCATGCAAGCCACAGAACTCCAAAGAACACATATACGATACACATCACCATGAAAAACTATTATATGAGGAGGGAAACAAGGAAGGGATTAATAGAATGGTTAGACCCAACATCATTTCCACGGAAGTTCATGGATTTAATACAGCTCTATTTTCTTGGTAAAGCACAGCAGCTTTTGAAATGTCTATATCCAACTACTGTGGAAAGTTTAAAAAAAGTTCCACTTCACATTTCTTTCCTGGGGTTCTGTAACATTCTGGAGGCATGGTACAAATTTCTCACTGCCAGCAGATGGAATCAATGTAATTGAGTTTGAGTGATTCCATTCTTATATAAGAGGAGCTTCCCAACTTATTCTCGGCTGATTCTTCCAAAGGAGTAAAGCAAATATCACTAGCCTAAAAAAACTCCAATTAGAATCTGCGCTTGTACAAATCATCCCCCAAACACCAAGAAATATTACCCCCCTTGCACCTGTTTATTCGTGTAGTTCCAAACTTCTCTGTCACCCTTAAGGGACATTTCAGAAACTTTCCTGAATCTATCCTGGAAAGATTTAATGTAAGAGGCAGGCTTATTTCTCATACCATTCTGTAAAGCACAAGTTACGGGGTGATTATTGGAACCCTCCCCTCCCAGGTAGGAAAGGGGCTTGCTTTTCATTACAGATCTGTTTGGTCATTTCCCCCAGTCCCAAAATCACCTTTTGACACATGTGGCCAGCAAACAAAGTTTTTGACCAAATCTGAGGTCATTCAAAAGAGGTGAGTAAGACACAGGACCTAGAAAAAGTCTCAGAAATTAATCACAAAAGAATGTTCAAACTAACACTCTGCTGTTTTAGGTCCAAAGTGACTTTTTTAAGAGACTTAAGTAAAGTCATCAAGATCTTTCAGACACGCATTGCATAGAAGCAAACTTGACATGTTGAAAAACAGATTTCATAAGTTATTTGATGGATTAGAAACATCAGAACACCAACCAGATCATGGTGAACTTCCAATAGATCATTGAGGCTCAATGTGCAAGAAAGATGAGGATGAAGACAATAAAGCACATAAAACAAATGGCCACTCAATATGGATCAACTACATGGCCAGAACAAAGTGGGACAGCATAGGCACAACTGCAGTCTCTCCCTGCAGTGAACTGGTTTTTAAACTAGGCCATCGAGAGACAAACTGCAGAACCTCAACGCACTTCCTGATTAGGATAGGATTTTCTTCCCTATACACCTGCATGTCCAGGTTAGGCATACAATTCAAATAGAAGCTACCTAGCCACAGCAGCTTCAGTCAAGGCCCTCCATCACAGGTGCCTTCTAGACTTAAAGGCCCTTTTCCTGGATCTCTCACATTGGGTCACTCCCACAGGTTAAATGAGCCTTAGAAAATTCTGCTGGATGCTTTTTACTTCTGCAGAAAGTGAAGTGTGCAGCATCTCAATCACAACCAGAGACTACTGCTTACCCCCGCCCAGTAGCAGAGATCACTGCAATCAGACTAAAGACATTACTTTTTGTCAGTCTTTTCCCAAGGTCTCTATAAAGGGGATTAACATTTTGTTTAAGTCCCTTTACTTCTTCAGCCAGCAGGAAATCATTTCATCTCCTGGAAAGAAACAACTAAGAACTGAGTCAGCTACAAGCTGAGTTATTCGGTCACTGTCTGGTGACAGTGAAGAACAGTAGGGGGTGGCTACCACTGAAGAGCAGAAAAAGCAATGACACTCAAAATGGTAACATTAAGCAAAAACAAAGAACAATGAGTTTCCCCAGATGACCTAAGACAGGAGAGTATGTACTGAAAGTTGCAATTCATGAGTGGATAACTATACTAATGATACTGTTGCCTTCTGTCATGACTAGTGTACAGCAGCTATGTTATAGCACTCAGACAATAAAAAAAATTAACCCTGGAACATGCTAATTCCTGAACTTTGCAGAGTAGGGAAAATACATGAAAAACAATGTTCTTTATTCATGCTGAGCCACTAAGTCACTGTGGTTGACTACACTGCTCAAGAAAAAAAATTTACTGGGATTTATGTCAACTCTGTAGGCGAACTAAAGAAAGCCAGTTTTACTTACAATCATGAGAGGATAGTCTGCAAGAGAGAGGTACTCATATGGACCCTTCAGTTCCACAGTCACTGTCAAAACACAATCCAACTGGTTTGAACAGGAACCAAAAGCCACCTAATTCTGACATCAGCACAATAACAGAGATATTCCAAATCTTTACATAGTGCAGCACCTCTTAAATGTAATTTGTACTTAAATCACGAAAAAGATTAAGCCTTATATAAAACAATGAATTACATGCTTGTATTCAAAATGACATGCCCTGTTATACATCGTAGTCGTTAGTGAAAAGTAAATTATATTAATTTGTGCTACGAAGAACCTGTGCAGACTAGGGCTAGTTCAAGACAACATTTAAGCCTTAATTTTGAATTTCCTTATTTTTCCTAACTGCCTACGCTCTGTAGCCACTTTTAAAACAACTGTCATGCCAATAACATTTTAATTTAAGATATGCTAAAGAGTTTAGTATTTCCTCAAAGGTGTGCACATGGTTCCAAGTCACTGCTAATAGCAACTGCAAGGTGTTAATTTTGATCTTGCAATGCTACATCACTTGAAGCCTGGCTACTCCCATCTTTTCATCTTCTCTGAATGTGTATATATCTCCCCTCACTATATGTTCCATTCTATCCATCCAATGAAGTGGGCTGTAGCCCACGAAAGCTTATGCTCAAATAAATTTGTTAGTCTCTAAGGTGCCACAAGTACTCCTGTTCTTTCTACTTAAGAGTGTTACTATAAACAACTACATTAGTTGGGTGTTCTTCCGAGATCCTTACATGGAGGGACAATACTCAGAATTGAATTACTGACGACTCGATAGTTTCCACCATTAGTCTGACAAAGCCCAAAGCTGTTATCCTCCTGATACCACGCATGGCTCATCTATTGCCTTAGGCTGAGGGGAGCTGTAATGGAGAACGTAATTGTGTGTGAGATAGAAGATGGAAGTCTTTAAACTGACACTAGGCTGCACAGTATATATTACATAAAAGCACCTAAAGAATGTCTGATAAGAGCATTCAATAAGTCAAAAATAAATAAGAGAATGAAAGATGGCTATATACAGCTTACTTGTAAAGAGACTCTCTTTTGGATCAGAGGAGGGTGCCATTATCTCCCTCCTTTTCATGTTGATACTAGACTCCTTCAAGGCTGAAATCCCAATTTGCACAATGAAGATATATGGCCCATCTTTCCGGGTTTGGATCACAGCATTCCTTGCCTGAAAAACAAGCTTCCAGATGTATGTACAGACCAACACAGAGCAAATCAGATCAATGCAAAACTAACATCTTCTGATAAGACTCCTGAAAAGATTTTAAGCAGGCACAGTATTCACAGATGAGGCTACAACCACGATGTTCTCCCCCAAAGCCCTTATGCTGGGAAATATATGAATACGACTACATAACACGATGGGAGATGTCCACCTAGTGGATATATATTAATACTTTTCATTCAATCTCCGACCTGTTCTCACACTTGTAATACACTGGAGCCAGGCTCCTAAAAAAAAAATGTGGTTTATATGCAATGCACTAAAAGTTAGTAAAGCTAATCAGACAGACTACCACAAAAGCTACAGTGATGTCAGAAAAGAGTCGCTTTCCTGGGTTCAGCTCCACTAACATTAACACATTCAGCAAGACTATTTTGCTTCTTACTCTCTGAAAGCAACAGCAACAACAGAACTATACCGAGTTATTTGGCTTTGATAGTAGCAATTCAAATTGTATAACATGAAACAGCAAATTGAGATGGAATAAGAACTTTCCATATTGATCATTTGCTGTAGAAATTACTATTGGCTGTGGGACATCCCTCATGCTTACAACTCAGATCTGCCAATAAATCAGATATTTGAGAAGACAAAATTATCAATGATAAAAATCTGTTAAAGCTGATATAGATTATATACCAACATTAGGGTGTTAAAAATTTAAACCTAACTTGTATTTAATTTTATTTCTGATAAAAACCAGTCTGACCTTTAATGGAATCCTGAGAGAACATGGACTTAAAAGAACTAAACATTTCATATGAAGAATGTGGAACACCTAGAACTATTGCCAAATTACCTACGTTCCACATAATTATTACACGATGACACGGCTAAAACATATCTAGCTTCCATAAAATTCAGTGTAGCAAAATTAATAGCACTACCATTAATAGATACTAAAAAGGATTTGTGCAAATATAAAAAATTGTATTTAGACCTGCTAGATTCCACACCACCCTTTATGCCTAAAATCCTCAGATACTTACAGTTTTCTCTGCCACCATTGTGTGGTTTGTTACATTCTCCTTATCTTTTAAGCTCTTAAAGACATAAAAAGCAGCAATTAATCAAGATTCCAAAAGCTTCCCCCCCACCCACACCACCATCAACCCCATTTTAAAATCATGTACACCAAAGAAAAGTAATTACCTCTTGTTTTTCATCTGAGAGGTGTTCTAGGGGAATATACTCTTTATAGAAAATCTTTAGGATAAAAAAAAATATATATATATAAACACTTCCTTAGAAATATAAAGACAAGTTATACCAGCAGTGCTTCTGCTGTTAAAATTAGATTACAAGAAAGAAAGCACATTCTGAAACATAGCAACAGAGGGTTAATTTACAGGGAGAAGCCCTTCTCTCATTTCCCTAACCCAAACTCTCTCCACAGCTGGGATAAAGCTTTGTGCACTTGCTTAGACTACTCCTTTTAGGAGACAGAATTACTAAATACAACAGGTTTCATTTTTTAGAAATGAACCGACATTTAATTTGGGGAGTAAAGAAGTTAATTCCCATAATAAAGTGTGCACCACTTAGAGAGTTCTAGGCACCTCCCTGTGAGAGGTAACTCATGAAGAAAAAGTTGGACCCAAGCCCTTTTATTTCTTTATGCATAAAAGAGTCCTGAAAGGGTGGGTTTAAGTTGGGTTGTATTTGCAGATTTTTTTTTGCTGCTTGTTTTTTACATAAGAAATTCAGATCTTGACTACCCAGAAAGATAGTACAGCGACTGGAGAACTAATGAAACTACTACTTTAGAAGACCCTGAAAGCTAAGCAACTGAGTGTGAAAGAGTCTTTGCCAGACTGTTTACAATCGTTTATTAGCTGATACACATTGGGAGAAAGGATGTCTTTGTTCAAGATTTCGGTTGTGATTTCAAAGGCGCCCAAGGAAAAGTCACACAGGGTATATGTCTACACTGCAATAATACATCCACAGCTAGTTGTGTCAGCTGACTTACACTTGGGGTGCTTGGGCTGCGGGGCTACAAAACTGCAGTGCAGACAGTCAAGCTCAGCAAACAGCCCAAGCCTGAAGATCTACACTGCAATTTTAAAACCCCAGCAGCCTGAGTCAGCTGACACAGACCAGCGATAAAGTGTTTTATTGCAGTGTAGACATACCCTTATGGTCTTTTGAAAATCCCACCCTTGCCACCTTGGCCATTCTATTAATATATGGCCTCCTAATACATAGCTGAGATGCACAAGAGCTCTTCCAGTAAAAGCAGAGAAAACAGTTGACAGTTCTGATATTTCTAAATGTAAAAGCAGGCAACATATTTAAAAATGTGTTTCAAGCCATCTTTATACATCAAAGTAGTTAAAAGAGCACAAATATGATTTTTAAAAAATCCTTTTCCAGTCACCTTTAACTAAGCCTCATTGCTTACTGAGTATGTCAGATTCAGTAGTTAAGAGAAGTTTCCTGGTGTTCACTACAGAATGTCCTTTGTTTCAACTGGGAACAGTCTAATACAGATGCCAAGCTACACATTTCTCCTTGAATCTCTATGTACAAACTGTTAAACAAACAGTACGTTTACTGACATTTGGTATTAATAGAGTTGTGCAGATTCACGTGGCAAGATACAACTGGTGTAGGGCGTGTACTTGAACACTCCCCCTGGATTCCTTTCCACAAGCACATACCTCCACGTGTCACTGCCCACTTGGGCCCTCTTCTTCCCCCTCTCGTTTGGTCTTATGCTTTAAGTACTCTTTTACCCTTTCACTATGTGGACTTCAGTTGCTTGAAGTTTCTAATTTATCGACAATGTGTTATATAATCTACCTAGCCACCTAGTCTTTAAATTTATGTTTATTTAAATGTTAGTCTTGTACACTCACCTGGCAAAAAGCTGAGGGTATTATTCAGCAAGGAATGTAAAGCCCAGTTTTCTGTGTACTTCCCACAGCCCCCCCAAAAGCAGCACCCATTCTGACTACATGGACACACCCACAACCTTCCCAGCAGTGAGCTCTATGCCATTCCCCAATATGGAGAAGACACAGTGTTGCCAATATGGAAAACTCCACCATTTAAGTCTGCTTTTTGGGGCCAGACTTTGAACTGTAAACATGAAGTAAACCAAAACAAAGAAATCGTGATTAACAAATAACAGACAACCAAACAAATTATATATACACATAAAGATACATCTTCTCCTCTTTAAGGTAGGGGATATGTACTCATCAGCTAAGGCAGCACCTGTAGTTGCAACAAGCCCAACTGTTCCAGTAGGAATCATCCCAATCCTTTCCTCTGAATGTGGTATTAGAGAACATGGTGGGATTACAAAGCCTTCACCAACATCATACCTGTGGTTTGAAGAGCTCAGAACAGTTGGGGAAGAAGAGTGAAGCCATGGCGTAGGATCCTGACCAACCCGTATGTGCTTCAGCAGTGGTTCCAAAATAAGACACTGCTTGATCATCCTGTCAGACACATAATATAACTTATGTTTTAGCATTTGATATATAAAATGATTTTTCTCCGCAGCTAGAAAAATTGGAAAGTAACAATTTCTCTTAACGTACAAACATCTATGAAGAGAATAGGACAACAAAAAAAGTATTTCCCATCCTGTCCATACAAAATGAATCCACCCAAGTTAATTACAAAGATATTCATAGTAAAAACCCCTTCCATGTAAATTTAGAATGGGGATCAAAACACATCTTATAATTGAACTCTCCGTTCTCTAACCAGAGAGTGGCAACTAGTTCTTCCATGATTTTTTAAACATAATCTTACACAATTATATACATACAGAACTGAATGCCAGTCTACAAAGTTATTTTCATTAAAGTTGCACTGTAAACTATAAATATACAACATATATTATACAATACTAATAGTGAACATTTGTTACCATATAAAAGGAACCTAAGTTCAGAGCTAACTTGCTTAATAATCAACTGCACCTGAAATAAGATTGTACCACTGGTTTAAAAAAAAAAAAAGAGTCAACATGGCTGTTAAGGCTTCAAGCCTGCAAACATTTACACCTGTGGTTAATTTTAGGTAGATGAGTAATCGGGATGAAATCAGTGGGATTACTTATATGCTTAAATTTAGAGGAGAAGCGTAAATCTGCAACATGGAAGTCTAAATTATTAAAATACCTTAGACAGAAGAGACTTTAATATAATAAGTTATATTCAGTACATTTTATGAACCTGAGAATGAAAATTAAATAAACAAGAAAACTATCACAAAATGCCACACAGAAGTATCTAAAGTTGTAGAAGTTGTATGTTCTACTGTATTTGAGAGACAATAGCGTTTATATAATGTACAGACTTGTAAATAGCATTTGCAATGGGGGAAGAATTAAGGTTGAATACAAACTCAGTTTAGGTATTTGCTGACCTTGGAGTGCTAAATTCTCTAATTTTTTTTGTACTGAATATTAAGTGTTTGAGTTTTTAATCAGAGTTGACGGGTTTGTTTAGGTTTTTCTAGTTGCTTTTTATCCTCTGCATCTAGATGAAGAAAATTAGTGTAAACACTCAAGAGCTACTGGCCTGATCCAAAATCCACTGAAGTCAATAGAAAGACTCCCCTTGAATTCAATAAGCTTTGGGTTATGCCCTCTGCATTTCCCAGTTACCGAGGAGTCTTATCACCAGAGTACAGATGCCTTCCACAGAACAGCAGACTGACAGGCATGAGATATAAATGAAATATCCAAGCTCAAATCCATTAAGCCAGGGGTGGCCAACCTGAGCCCAAGGAGCCAGAATTTACCAATGTACATTGCCAAAGAGCCACAGTAATACATCAGCAGCCCCGCATCAGCTCTACTCTCCCCCTCCCCCAGCGCCTACCACCCACCGGCTGCCCTCCTGATCAGTGCCCTCCCTCCCCACACCTCCTGATCAGCTGTTTCTTGGCGTGCAGGAGGCTCTGGGGTGGGGGGAAGGAGCGAGGGCATGGTAGGCTCAGAGGAAGGGGTGGAGTGGGGGCAGGGCCTGTGGTAGAGCCAGGGGTTGAGCAGTGAGCACCCCTCAGCACATTGGAAAGTTGGTGCCTGTAGCTCCAGCCCTGGAGTTGGTGCCTATACAAGGAGCCGCATATTACCTTCTCAAGAGCCACATGTGGCTCCAGAGCCACACCTTGGCCACCCCTGCACTAAGCCACCATGACTAAAAAAAAAAAAAATATACCATGCAGTTCCAGATGATTCTTACCCCAAAGTTGGAGACTTCATTGTAGCAATCAGAATATCTAAAGTACCAGGTAACATTGTAACCCTGCAAGGGATCACAAGCCTTCTCGTCTCCTTCAACTACAAGGAAAACAAGACAGAAAAAAATATAACAAGCCTTCATATGCCAGGTTTTCCCCTAGCTGTTAATGGACTAGTACCATATATAATGTTACTCCCCTGCCCAACTACAATAAACAATGAAGAATAATATGCTTATTCAAACAAGGGACCAGCAGCAGAAGAGCAGAAAGTGTGTTCTTCTGAGACAGTCACTATTGTTCAAAAGAACACAAAGTGACCCATATGGAGACTAGAATTCCACTCATTCTGATGTTACAGGATTCCATTTGGGTGACTGAAGATGTGTGAAATTATTCTTTAACACAGTGTCTTGGATTCTATTGACAGCTCTGCCACTGACCTGTTGTGTGACCATGGACAAAATTTCATTTCTATGTGCCTCTGGTTCCCCTCCTGCCCTTTGCCTGCTCATTTATTTCAATTGCAAATGCTTCACAATCTGTCTTACAACACTCACTTACAGCCCTGATTTCTACACATTACTCTAATGCAAATTAATAATTATAATAAGATTTATACAGAAATAAAGAGGGTCAAGTACTAAGGCTCTAGACGCCCATGCCTTAAATTTTTAAAAACACCAGCCATCCCTCTCACCAACATATTGGATTTCTTTCCAAGGCTTGCCTCCACAGCAGCCTGCATAACAGCCATCTTGCAGGGTGCTATAAAGTTCAATGGAACTTTGGGCCGTTTTGGACTAGTGGGGAAAGCCTATTCCTGAGATGATGACCCCTCACAAAGAACACTATCATCAGCCACCTTGATTAAATCAAGGTGGAGTCAGATCAAAGTGTAAATTTTTAACTGTGAGGATAATTTAACCATTGGAACAATTTACCATGGGTCATGATGGATTCTCCATCAATGACCATTTTTAAATCAAGACCGGATATTTTTCTAACATATATGATCTGTGAATTATTTTGGGGAAGTTCTATGGCCTGTGTTATACAGGAGGTCAGACCAGATGAAGATGATGGTCCCTTCTGGGCTTGGAATCTATGAATCAAATGGCTCCATTGATTGCAAATGTAGCAATATGGCACAAGGAGAGGTGGTCTTCTCGAGTATCAAGTCCCAATTAAGACTTGATATATCAAAACCAGCATCTTCCATCTGGAAACCAGTAGGTAGCCAGGGCACATCATGGAGCACCAGTAACGTGTGCTGTCACCAAGTACCACTAGTTAATAGGCAGCTTGCCGCACTCTACACAACCTTACATTTCCAGATTGACCTCAACTATAGCCTCATGCAGTCTCAACTGGAATAATCCAGTTTTGAAGTGACAAAGACAAGGATCACTGCAAAAGGATTTGCATTTGAAAAGAAAAACAAAAAACAAGAAAACCAACCACAGTCTCAGTCTCCTGGCCACACACAGATGGTAAAAAGCTCTCCTGGACACTGCTGCTATTTGATCCTCTAACAGCACCTGAAGACCCCATACTATTCCCAATGAAGGTGGGTAAACAAATGGTAGGAACACACCCTCAGTCAAAAGGAGAGAAATCATCTTCACCATATTATCCAATTGCTTCCCCCAACTCACCAACTGTACCTGTCTTATCTAGACTGAGCATCAGCAAGCTGGCTTCCACCACTGCCCCAATCTTCCTCTGACACTGGCCTATCATGGCTCTATCAGGAGACAGTGACAGAGCTGAATGTCATCATCATACTGAAAACACCGCAGCCCGTATCTTCTGACTAACCCTCCCAACAGCCACACATTCAACAGGAGGGGAGACAAGACAGATCCCTGCAGAAGTCCATATTATGGTACCCAAAGGAAAGAGAAGCAACTTTCCCATATCACTTTCCGGAAATATTTAGCCAAGAAAGAAGGAAGCCACCCAAGAGCAGCACCATCCACTCCTACTGCAATTTGCAGCAAGTTAACACCGCCTTTTAAACAAAGGTGTCAAAGGCTGCTAACAGATCTAACAGTATCAGTATGGGCACATGATTTTAATCTACCAATGTAACCAGTTTAATATCTTTGGATAAGTCCGTTTTACAAGCACTTTCATCCAAGTATTACTACATTGTGATGACTACTAGGTTGAGTAGAGACTAGCATAACAGACTCATCCACCAAAAGCACTTACACTTCAGGAAAACTGTAGTGTTGCTGAAGAGAACCTTTTCAAAATGAAAAAACTTCTTCCCCTGCAAAGACAAACAAGTAAAGAGAAGAGAAAGACAATTGGATAGCATTAGATCATTTAAATAAGTAAACACTGCTTTCTTTCACCCAGAATTTCAAGCACAATAGTCAAGAGAACCCAAACTCTTGCAAGAAGTAGCCCAACTGATTTAATATTTATGATTCTTCCACCCCCAATTCCAACATATCCAGCCACACCTACAAAAGAGCTCTTGCAAAGGTGTATTATTTAAATCAGACTTTGCTTCTTTGTGAGCTATAAAAAAGGTCTAGGTTTTGTTTTTTAAAAAGGAGTTTTAGCCCTAAAACTAACAGGAGCTGTGATCCTCTCTAATTTTGCTGGAAGACCTCAAGGATTTCTCAGAGGATGTTAACTGTTAGTTTTCACAACTTGGCTGACAGTGAAGAGAAGCTGATTCTTTAAAAGAGATGTCCTTTCACCAAGAGCTTTTAATCACTAATGTTAAACAGGTATAAAACACAGTTTAGCAGTCTGATAAGAAAGCCTTCCTCTTCTCAAATGCAGTTTTCATTTTCTAGACTCTTTTGAGGTCATTTCACTAGCACCAAAGACAGTGGAGTGTCTTCTGGACTATACAAATGCAAAACAGGAGGGGCCAAAAATAAATAAATCTAAGTTTTCGGCCCTTCTACACAAATCGAAAGAAAAAGGGGCCCAACAAGCCCAACTCTGTTCCCTTTTGAAGGTCACCTTTAAGTCTAGGACCATATTATTGAGCAAAGACAATGGCAAGACTCTCATACCCCAGGAAAAAACCCAACAGTGCACCGAGCAAACGAGCAGACAGCCCCGCGCACACGCTGCCCCGGGCGGGCCGGCGTCAGCCCACTGCCACCCTGGCGGCGCTTCGCCGGGACACCCGCAGCGACACCTCCGCCTCTCCCTGCGCCGGGGCCCGCCGCACCGCAGCCCCCTCCCGCCCGGGGATAGGGCGGGGCAACGTCCCCACCCCCGGGCTCCGCGTCCCGGATCTGCCCCGCCCCCGGGATCCGGGATGGAGCGACCCCCCGGCCCGCACTCACCATGGGCACCGGCAGCCGCCACTTGGAGAGCTGGGCGGCGCCGGCCGGGCCCGGGAGCAGCAGCAGCAGGGCCGCCACCGGCATCAAGCGGAGTCGCCGCCACCAGCGCCGCGGAGCAGCCATCCTGCAGCAGCGAGCAACGAGCGAGCGAGCGAGCGCTGAGCTGGCCTCGCCCCTTCCACGCCTGGACTGCAGGGCGTGGCTGCTGGGTCGTGTCACTGCCGCCAGCGTCGGGGAGGGGAACGGGGGAGGAGATTCTCTCCACGTAGTATTCATGCGTCATCACAACCTTGCGAGGCAGAGAGATGACATCACTCTTGGAGCAGGTTGTGTTGATGTGCTGAGGTGACATCATCTTGTTGCATCCCCGCCAGGGGCGCACAAGCAGTGTTGTATCATCCTAGTGATGTCGTGACATCAATTTGTATTGGTCCTGTCCCACCATGATAATAGAGTTACTATATCCCAGCAGGTATCTAAATTGTTAGAGACATACTTGCTGACAGGTATTTTGAAATAAATTATCCAAATAATTGAAACTGGCATGATTATATAGTGTTATTTTGACATAAAACATGCAGAAGTTTAAAATAATGTGTGTAGAATTTTTAGGCACAGAATTTCCCTAGGAATAAGAATCTTATAACGCTGCATACAATGCTGATACACATATTTTATCAGGACAATAATGCGCAGCAGATTGTGAGTTTTCAACTGATACCTCGCAATGCATGTCTTGTACAAAATGTATCATAGTTTTGTAAAAAAGGGTGAATAGTGTGCTATAGACTGTCACTTTCATCTAATTGTGGCACATGATGAGGCGATGCAAAAGTTAGTCCAACTACACAAACTAAAAATAGGTTGGGCAAATTTTATCATCATACTTTCCCAGCCATTGAAGCCTCTTTCAGATTGTATTGGGGCACAGCATTGACACCATTTTGTTGCATATTTATTTACTTTTATTAGATTTCACTAAACAGTGCCTGGTTTCCTACTTTACAAAGAAGAACAAAGCTTAATAATAAGTTAAAATATGAAATCTCCGTATGCAGGTCCGTTTACAGAAAATGGTCTCCAGAAGAGTAAGGATTGCAGTTTTAGTTGTCTAAGGGCAGGTCTACACTAACCCCCCAAGTCGAACTAAGGTACGCAACTTCAGCTACGTGAATAACGTAGCTGAAGTTCGAAGTACCTTAGTTCGAACTTACCTCGGTCCACACGCGGCAGGCAGGCTCCCCCGTCAACTCCGCGGTACTCCTCTCGCCGAGCAGGAGTACCGCAGTCGACGGCGAGCACTTCCAGGTTCGACTTATCGCGTCCAGACAAGACGCGATAAGTCGAACCCAGAAGTTCGATCGCTCGCCGCCGAACTACCGTGTAAGTGTAGACCTACCCTTAGAGTGAGGAGATGAAGTCTAACTTTAGATCCCATTATGAGGCTTTTGACTACATTAGAAACTGTTACAGGAGTCAGTCAAACCATTAAAAGGTGGGAGAAATTTGCCAATCACCACCACATTTTCTTTTTTAAAGTATAAACCTGATCCAGGGAACTGAGTCTAACCCAGGTCAGTGATGACCAAACTTGTTACACTCTGAAAGAGGTTTGGTGGCTTATATGAAATGAGTTGTTGGTAGGGACACAGTCCATTTCCTGGTAAACAAGTGACCACATTATAAGAACTACCACCAAATATGGAACTCACTGGTAATCACAGAAGAGATACTAATAACTGGCTGATCATGTGAACTGAATTCCCATCTGACTGTAAAGGAGGGGCCTCTAGGGCAGGCAGGAAAAATTTGCCTCTAGTGAAATTGCTCTATAAATAAATTGTGGGTTTGCCCATAGGATTGTCAGCTGCAAGTCTGGTGATGCTGCCAGCACTTAAATAAAAAATGCAGGCTTGTAGATGTTTGCCAGCTGTTTGTTTTCTAAATACCTTCTCGATCCCCACCCTGATAGCAATTCTCTGGGCACCACACTAATAAACATGTCATGCCATATTGTCATTTGCAGTTAATCTTTACAAGCAAATTGACATTCAGACGAACTGCTGACTAAAGAAGAACTCAATTTCCCAGAATCCTTTCAGAGACGGTGGAGTCAAAGGTTGTCATTGGCTGAAGGCTTCCTTCTGTGATTGGTACTGCAGGATCAGTAGTGAAGGTGAGGAGACATTTACCGACAGACAGAGATCAGGTCAGAGCACTGTAGTACAAAAAACACTGAGTTTAATGGAACCAGCTAAGGAAGAAGAAAGCAGGTAAAACACAAATAATTGTGCAATTGCTACCTACACATCTAAGCTGACAGGATAGTGCTTGGCTGAGGAGGAAGGAAGGGAGGGAGGGGAGAGAAAGGCACTTTTTCTTCCAGCACACTCTTTCCTCATTTTCAATTTTACTTTGCAAACTTAACGGCTGTCATCATTTGAGGACATAGTTTCTTTAACATACAATAAGAAAAGTTATGGGTCAAATATTTACAGAATAATATTGAGAAGGCACTGAAAATAGCAGGCAAACATTATTAGCAAACAACATAATGAGAAATAACTTGACACTCAGATTTGTAAAAGCCTACCTTTTTCCATGTTGATGTCTAAATATATTGAATATGTATAAAGTATGTTTGGTGACCAAATTGGTCTACTTTCATGGAATTGACACATAGAATGGTACAGCCCTTGCCCCAGTAGTTTATAATCCAATTTTATATGATACCCCATTTCGTCACATTACAAAGAATGAGAAGTGGATGGGGTGGAAAAGGTCAAGGGTGACAGCAATCAGATTGTGCAGTTATTCAGTTTAGGCATGTGCATTTCTAGGTGGTTAATTTTGAGAGTTGGGTTGTTGTCCAAACTTTTGAGTGCTTGACTTTGCAACCTAAAGAACGTTCTTTTAACATAGGTATTTTGTATGTAATTTCCTAGGTGGTTTTTTTTTGTTTGTTTGTTTTTTTTAAGGAAAGGGATAAAAACAAATTTTGTTATGTGCAGCTGTGCAGTGAGGCAGACTGGCCTCCCTCTAGTCCTAAGAGGGAGGAACACTTACATCAGGGGCTCTCAAAGTGGGGGTCTTGACCCGTAAAGGGGTCACAAGGTTATTCTGTGGGGGGTCTCAAGCTATCATCCTCCACCCCCAAAGCTCGCTTTGCTGCCAGCATTTATAATAGCGTTTAATATAAAAAAAATGGTGTATTTAATTTATATGGGGGGAGTCAGACTCAGAGGCTTGCTGTGTGAAAGGGGTCACCAATACAAAAGTTTGAGAACCACTGCCTTATACTCCTCCTGGTGGGCACAGTTAACCCAACCCCACCTCCCTTGCAGGAAGTGCAGGGGCGAGGCAGGAAGTATAAGAGTAGGGCCCTGCAGCTCAGTTACAGGCATATTCCTTACTAGAGTGTTGAACTCTCAGTAAGGTCCAGGACCAACCACACAGTAGACCGGCACCCTACAGTCCCAGGAGATGGAAGACATTGGGGAGATACCAGAGGAAGGGCTGTGAGCCAGAGTCTGGCAGTGACAGAGCAGCGTCAGCAGAAGTGGGTGGCAAGTAGCACAGGGAAACCAGACCTGGGTACAGTTGTGCTGTCAGGACATGATGCAGTGATTTTATGCTCCCTTGTTGACACCATGGTGTGATCACCTGCCATGGCTAGGGCACTGGGCTGGGACCTGGTGGAGCAGGATGCACACAGGTCTCCCAACCCCCCCGTTACTGGCCCCCATGTGGGCTTGCTGCATCCTTACTTTAGGCCAGGAAACCTGCCCCAGATTGTTGTTGATTTCCTCCACCAGGAGCCCGAGGACTATAGATTATTTGCTTGTTCAAGCCCAGACTCTTGTTGCTTGCCCCAGCCAGGAGGCTGTGGGCCATATTCAGCCTGCACTCAGGAGGCCTGAACCCTATTCTATCCAGGGGCCCGGGCTACCAGCTAACAGGCTGAGTGCTGGGTCCTCCATTGGAGATTGGAAGTACAGAGTGGGCAGTGCCACGACCACAAGTCAGGCCTCCCCGACAATATGCAGCTGACCTACTGACTCCTCCACACACCGCCCGAAGGGAGCGCCCTGACCCAAGAGGGAGGAATCCTTGCAAGCTGGAAGAATCTTTCCCTCATGCATCGACATCAGGGTTTGAACCAGAACAAATCAATATAGACTTCTACCACTTGAGCTAAAGAACTAAGGGCTAGACTATCAAAGGGGACTTAGATGTTCCAGCTCCTAGGGATCTGCCTCCCAATGGAATTTACTGGGCCAGGCCCACCTAGGTGCCCATGCCTTCTGTGGGGACAGTTAGGCACCTAAGAAGGGAATTTACAGAAGCCAGCAAGGAGTCACCAAAGCTATCCAGCAGTAACACACAGAGGAAAGCAGGGGGGCTAAGGACCCATGTCCATAAAGGGACTTAAGCATCAACCTCCCACAGATCTAGGCCTTTGGTACCCAACTAACGGGACAGAGGAAGGAGCCTACTGCCACTGAGGATTCACAGCTGTGAGCCTTCTCCTGGAGACAGGCACAGAAGCCCTTTCTCAGGGGCGACAGAGACCAACCCTCAACCAGTTATAGCCAATAGGTCATTCACCTGGGATATAGGAAACTTGGATTCAAGTCTGTGCTCTAAAACAGGCAGAGGGAGGATTCAAACCTGGGTCTTCTACATCCTAGATGGGTGCCCTAACCACAGGGTATACAAACACATCCACTAGCCTGAAAAATTCCTGACCTGCTCATCCCAGCTTTTATTTGTGGGGTTGAGTGCTCTGAGCATGCCTACAGGATCTGGCTCCACAGGGAGATAAGTGGGGAAAGTCTAGTTTGAGAAGCCTGCTGGGGTTTAGGCGTGAGCTAGGGTGCTGAGCAGCTCTGCTGTGTCAGGACACAGGCAGTTTTGTGTATGCCCACAAGCAGAAATTTAGGCCCCTACAGGTTTAGGTGGCAGCTGCTTGGTGGTCAGTGGTGCCTAAATTTTGGATTTAGGGACTTTTGGATTTAGGCACCCAAAGAAGCAGTTACATCCCTGAATCCCTTTGTGAATCTAGTCCTACAATAGCTGGCAGCAGAAGATGACTTCTTGGCAGGAAGGAGATGGGCTGCTTGAACCACCTGCCAGGCCTGGAAGTGTTTGGAAGGAGAGCAGCTAGTTTTTCTGCCACCCCCAGCTCCAGAGGTGGGGAAGCTGGACTGTTGGGGCCATTTGCTGAGTCTGCAGGGGGTGTGAATGGGGGGATCCCAGGCCAAGCTCTTTCCCCACACCCCTACTATAGCTGCTGTAGCAGATCCTAGAGATTTAATTCCCAGTACAGTATGTGCTGCCCCAGCTGCTTTGGTGGTGGCATGAGCCTGGCACTTTAGAATGTTTGTGTTACTTTGACATGCTGCCAGAATTTTCCTGAGGAATGAGAGCAAGAGAAGAGAAATGGTGATTTTCTAAAGTTTATATCTCAGCAAAGCCTGAATATTTCATGGCTGTCATGGAGCATCAGACCCAAGAGGAGGGAGGGCCCTTGCCCCCTCTCAGAGACTGCAGCCCTTCACCTTCTGGGAGGCAACGCCTAGCAGCCAAAGTCAATTGTCCAGGGCCGTTGTCTCAGGTACTAGCACCCTGTATTCATTGTATCTGGCAATAGCGCTTAATCCCTCAGGCAGCTGCCATAACCCATAGTAGGTGCTGGAAAGGGTAGGGGGACCCAAGCCCACCCTACTCTGCCGAGTCCGACCCAGGGCCCTGTAGAACCAGTAGTCCTGATTTCAGATTCAGGCTCCTATCTCAACAAACAGATTCCCTGGGCCACTTCCTACCCTTGATTCCAGCTCCAGCAGTTCCCCCAGGGGCAGTAGCCACCTGTCTCCCTCTGTCTCCAGTTGATTGGGGTCCTGCAGTAGACTTAGTGTGTTCAGCCTCTGCAGTCTGGGGACTTCCCAGCAGGAGCTCACGGCCTGCATCCACTCACCTCCTCAGGAAGACCATACTGAGCTGAGCTGCTTCCTTTTATACCCTACGACCAGCTGGAGCATGCTCAGCAAGGGTGAGGAAGCATGGCCTCTTGAGCCCCCAGTGAGTGGTTAACCCCTGCTGGGCCAGTACGGCGTTAATACACGCGATCATAATGGGACAAAGAAAAAGCACTTCTCTACCCATCTGAAGAAGTGAGGTTTTTACCCACGAAAGCTTATGCCCAAATAAATCTGTTAATCTTTAAGGTGCCACCAGACTCCTTGTTGTTTCTCTACCCTGAGGTTTCTCTCCCTGTGGAAATCCAAAGACTACTGCAAAAAATGGACGTGTTCAAACTTCTCAAAAAAAGGTCAAAAGAATCTTTTATAATGAAACATTTTAAGCAGCCTAAATACAGGGGTCACTGCCAACTCTCTCTATAAAGATACAGATTAATTAATACATTTGCCATTGTATTTGTTTATTTCAACCAGCAGTTAGGGCTTGATTCAGGAATCACTTGTAGTTCTCTGGCCTATATTATGTAGTAGGTCAGACTTGATCATAATGGTCCCCTCTGATTTACAATGTATGAATCCATGAATTGACTATAATATTGTTTATGATCAGGCCATAGTTGCATATATTGCATCTATCTGCAATTTTAAATGTTGCATGTATAAGCACGGCCATCCTGAGTCAGACCAATGGTCCATTTAACCTAGTATCCTGTCTCTAGCAGTGGCTATTACTTGAGTTTCCAGGGGAGTGTACAGAACAGGGTAGTTGAAGTGATTCATCCCTGTTTTCCCCTCCCAGCTTCTGGCAGTCAGAGGTATAGGCTCATCTCGAGTATGTGGTTGCATCCCTGACCATCTTGGCTAATAGCCATTGATGGACCTATCCTCCTTGAATTAATCTAATTCTTTTTTGAACCCAGTTATACTTTTGGCCATCACAACATCATATGGCAATGAGTTCCACAGGTTAATTGTGCCTTGCATGAAAAAATACTTTCTCGTATTTGTATTAAACCTGCTGCCTGCTTTTTTTGTCAGGTGACCCCTGATTTTTATATTGTGGAAAAGGAAAATAACTCTACTTTTTTCCACACTATTCATAGACCTTGGTCATATTCCCCCTTAATTGTCTCTTTTTTAAGTTAAGTAACCCTAAGCATTATGATATTTTCTGTCTTATTTTCTATCCCTTTCCTAATATTTCCTAGGATTCTGTTAGTCTTTTTGACCACTGCTACGCATTGAGCTGACATTTTTCAGAAATAAAATATAAATAAATATATGGAGATATACCTATCTCATAGAACTAGAAGGGACCCTGAAAGGTCATTGAGTCCAGCCCCCTGCGTTCACTAGCAGGACCAAGTACTGATTTTGCCTCAGAACCCTAAGTGGCCTCCTCAAGGATTAAACTCATAACTCTGGGTTTAGCAGACCAATACTCAAACCACTGAGCTATCCCTCCCCCGCAACTAGCTGAAGTTGTTGGATGTATGTTTTATAAGTGGCAGTTATTACATATTGACAACAAATGAGATCAAAATCTGTTGGAAGATGTAAGGCACTTCTGTTTTTAGAATGGTCAGAACTACTGGCCTTATTTTCCCCTGGATAACATAGGTATTTAGTTATTAATTAGCCATTAATTAAAGCACAGTACTTAATTACTGGCATCTATTTTTCTGAATTCTTTGGGCTCAGCTATGATACTTTAGAGGGCTGACTCACACAACCCAAGTTGTGTTATCTGGAAACTTTTGGCCTGTTCTTAAAAGGGTTGATCAGCTGTGAGTGAGAGTTGCATGTGCTCAGTACCTACTAGGATCAGACCCATTATGCCTTTGGGAAGAATAATTACTTCCAGAGATAATGGGGAAGCACACAATGGCTGAGCAGTAGAATTTATTACATCTCTTCAACAGGCATAGCCAGCACTCCCCTCACCCTGCCAGCTGTAGGGGAGGCAAGAGAAGGCATTCCTGAGTTTCTCCCTCTCCATTCTCACCTCTAGAAGTGGACCATGAACTGAGTCACTGAGACTGCTGTAGGACAACTCACCTCAAATTGCAGGACCCCCAAGTAGTTATTTGTGCTAATAGTCAGCTCTTTTAGTCACTGATTTAATGATTTTTGTCTAAATATCAAGGTATTAAATGGAAATCATTTAGTACTCAAAACCATAAGAGTAATTCATTTATTTCAGTATGAAAGCTCAAAATGGTTCAGTTCCAATACTCTTTGCATTTCAATGCTATGTAAACTGTAAGCATTTTCTTTAATCCCCCTGCTCTTGTGCAGGGGCTGTCATTATATGATCATTTAGCAGGTGTTTAGAAAACAGACTTCTTAAACCATCTGTTTTCTTTAGTGTTCAAGATGAGGCTGTGGACAAAAGCAACTTTAAGAACTGCAACCACATTGCTTTCTACAGGTAAGGATGTGGGCTCCAACCTAAGTGTATTTTTCACACACAGCATGATTGATTTATTTCATTATATTACATGGACATCTATAACAAGGATTCTAAATAAGGGAGGTGTTGGTTTTTTTTAAAGCCAACAATATTGAAGTTAAAACAAAAAATAAATTACAGTTCATAACCATACCTTAGTTTAAAGCAACCAAAGAATACACAAAGTTTGAGAATGAATACGACTTTAAAGGAGAACTTTCCACTCAACAGCAATACCATTTTTGGAAATAATTAGTATATTCTAAATAGAAATGGGGTCAGACTGAAATCTCAAATGCAGGATCATCTCGTCCTCCCCCAAAATTCCAGAAAAATCTGAATTTGAATCGCTATATCTTAACAAGCACCTATACTATTTACATTTGGATAAGATTGTAGCGGGGTTGTTTTCAGGTTATTGTTCTTCTGGCCCAAAATGGCAGAAATCTCACAGAGATCAATTGTTCTCCTGAGATTTCTGCCCTTTGGGGCCAAAGTTTTATAAGACTAACTCAGAGCATTTCAGTGGTGCTGAACCTGAACTATAGCCATAGTTTAACATCAAGCCTGAACTCCATGCCCTATTATTCTGATGAAATTACTCCAAATATAAACAGTCCCTTCTCCTATATCTACCTGGAATACATTTTCCAACTATTATCTGATTTTATGTGGAGAAAAGCAGTTGTACCAATTAGTCAATTACACATCTGACTAAGGTTTTAATCTTACATGTTTGTTTCTCTTCTGCAGCAAATTCCATCCTAAAGGCCTAATTATGCACAGCAGGATAGCTTTTCTTGATTAGTAATTTTTACGTTAGGTCCCCTCTTGGTCATGCTTTTAAAGACACCATTTTTAAATGAGTCTATATTTCTCCATAGTATTCTAATCTATACAAAATACAGATAAATCATGCATACATACACACAAGGGAATTGCTTCACCCACCAGTGAAATGCAGTAGCTATTTACCAGGGCATCTGAAGCCAGGAATATGACAGGAAGTGAAGTAAACTTTATCCATTTTAAACTGTCTTCAGGAGGAAGTTAAGGAGGCAGAATATGATTGCCTAACTTGGAATTTGGCCAGGGCACTTGGGTTAACCCTATTATTGCAAAAACAGTTGTACTGATATTTTTAGTGATTATGAACTCAAAAAACTCTCTTTTGTAACTCATACACATGATATATTTATAAACTTTTCAGGACAGGAACCATGTCTTTATCTTTGTACGACACCAGACACAGCCCGAACCTAGTCCTGGTCAGGGCTTCCAGGTGCTATAAATAATTAATAATAATGTCTTAACATAATGAAAAATGCAAGAGAGAGTTATCCTACTCAGTAAACAATTCCTATTTAATGTAGTATTCCCTAACATCATGTAAATCATGACATTTATAGAGGCCAACAACAATTCTCTGTCTTTGCAGGCGTCAGAAACTTCTGCATCCTGGGAAGTCCTTGTATCAAGCATTGTTGGATTCGGTTACATTATGCAATGATAGTGTCAAACTCCAAATAATTAATGAGAAGAATAAGGTAAGATCTCACACACTAAGGGAGGCAATGGTAAAAGATGAGACTGTGAATTGGGAAACTGAGTCCTTTCTCTACTGACTCTCTTTAAAATGAGACTGATAATATTTGCCCACATTTGTAAAGTCATTTGAGATCCTTGGATGTAGGTAGTTCTGTGATATAATGCAAAATATTATCATCACAAAGATGTCCTTTATTTTAAAGATAATTTATATGAATATAAAGAGAGGCTCATTTAAAGAAATTAATTTTTTTTTTTTTAGTTTCAGTGACAATACAAAAAACCTAAACAAACGTCTTTTTACCTGAAAAAGGTTTTTTAGATTTAGGGCTTTCTCCCCCATTCCAAAATAACAAATTCAAGTCTGCCCTAATGGAATCAGAGCAAGGTGATTATCACTTCAAAAGTTTTTTTCTCTTACTTAATTGGCCTCTCAGAGTTGGTAAGACAACTCCCACCTGTTCATGCTCTCTGTATGTGTGTATATATAGCTCCTCAATATATGTTCCACTCTATATGCATCCGAAGAAGTGGGCTGTAGCCCACGAAAGCTTATGCTCTAATAAATTTGTTAGTCTCTAAGGTGCCACAAGTACTCATGTTCTTTTTGTGATTTCCTTTGTGTGTTGTAGTGCATGCCAATTGAAAAACTTTAGCTATAATGAAAACTCCTGTAGTTTTCAAAATAATAATTTTGCATCCTATAACATTTTGTCTGGAAAGTTTTCCTTCTCAAAATTTTACAAATAAGGAAGTTAAATGAGCAAAGACATTTGCTATCTTATGGTTCTAGTGATTTCCTATACAAAAGATCCAGGATCAGCCAAATTCAGCCTCTCACACTAATAGGAGCATAAGTCTAGTCTATTAAGTTAGCATTGTAAGCTCTTAGGGTGAGGAACAGCCTTACAAGAATCCCTACAGTCTGATAGAAGGAATGATAGTGACATTCCTCCATCCTAGAAAAGGGCGGGGGGGAGGAATGCCATTGTGAAGATCTTCAAGGTTCCTGCATGTAGCAGACACTACATGGTGGGGGGAAAAGGAGTTATTTGGGATGAGATAGAGTTATGTGGCTTACACTCCACTTTACATACCTCTGAATTACCAAGTTTACAAAGACCAATTATAGACCTACTGGGTAGGTAATTCTACAACCTTTTTTTTTTTTTTTAATTTCCCACTGTGCAGCTCTAACAGTGTAAGCACCACTGGGAGTACTACTGTAGATAGGGCATTGACATTTTTAGCACCATGCCACCTAACCCTGCCCACAGCAGTTCTCAACGACACAGCAATAAAAATGCCTGAGCCTCAAGCCTTGTCGACACTAGTCAGGGCCGGCTCCAGGCACCAGCTTGGCAAGCAGGTGCTTGGGGCGGCCACTCTGGAGAGGGGTGGCAGATCCAGCTATTCGGCGGCAATTCGGCGGACGGTCCCTCACTCCCGCTCGGAGTGAAGGACCTTCCGCCAAATTGCCGCCGCAGAGCGCGGCGGCTGCGTTTTTTTTTTTTTTTTTTTGGCTGCTTGGGGCGGCCAAAACCCTGGAGCCGGCCCTGACACTAGTGCTCTGGCTGTTGTTGGTATTGGTGGAGACAGTAGTGGCAATTTCCTGAAAAATGCTAAACAAAGCCTCCGGCTTGGCTGTTTTTTAAAAAATTCAGTCCAGTTTCACTTACAAACTAAGAATATTTGTTTCTTAAAAACAGTGAAATAGATCTATCTGGTGAAAATTCAAATACATAGTGACTGTGTGCAGTTTTGGGCCTACTAAACTATGCTGGATCAGAAGGCAGACATAGATTTTTTTCAGAAAATAAATGTCTGATGATATGAGATCCAGAATTTCTGAATTAAAATATAAATCGATGCCTTTATCACAGTGTAGCACTAGCTGCTACTGTACCTGTTTGTTTATTCCCAGGTTCCTCTCCTAGTGGAAATTTATGCAATAGAAGGCAACATTTTCAGGCTTAAAATTAATGAGGTATCTCCTCTCAAATCAAGGTATGAAGTCCCTGATGTTCTCATAAAAGAACCTACCACTCAGAGGTAAGCTCTGGAAGGTGATATAGTCTCTTAATTGCTTATACCCCTTTCCCCTCAACTGTGTGTTCTCGTCCCTCTCATTTGAGTACAATTGTATTTACCCTCATGAATATCAGGAACTTATAGGAATAGAAAAAAAGCAATTGGCTTATGAAGGTGAATTTGTGCCTAAGGATAAATGTTGCACATTGAGAAAGATGATATCGCCTCATATGTGAAACCTGTAACTATATGAGCCAGCCAGAAAGTGGGCTAGAGACCTTAGAATGCATCATTTTGACCTAATGTGTAGTCTAGTTGTATTGAGAAAATAAAAACTGTTGAGAATGTTGAAGGAAACTTTGTAGCCAGCTATTGCACTGTTCAGTCTGTGGACCAGATCCAGGAGTCCTTAGTGCTTATTCAGAACCCACAGTTATTTAAGAGAATGGAGTTTTGCTTCAATAGCAGTTTCAAGATTTGGCTTTATGTTACACAATTATCCTTAAATTATCTTTTGTCTAATTTGTCTAATTTTTTGTTTATCTACAATTATCTAAAACCTATGGAAATCCATTACCTTTTTTTTTTTAAATTTGCCAGGCTCTCTATAGCCCAGAAGGAGGCAGGTATTCTGGTACTGACATGTGCCAGTGAGGACCGCAAGCTTCATATCACAGCAAATCCATTCCAGATAGAACTAGAGTCCAAGGGTGAGACCGTACTGAGCGTGAACACCAATGGCCTGTTGTACTTTGAGCATCTACAACCGCCACCCCAAAACAGGTGTGAAATCTCCATATCCCACAGTGCAGTGTTTGTGATGCTGCTGAAAATAAACCAACAAGAATTCCGATCAGCAAAAATATGCAGTGCCACCATTTGTAATGCTACTATCTACATGCAATACTCTTGGCTCTGACATTCAGAAAAGTACCAGCACAACAACTAAGGACAGACTCTGCTCTGACTTACTCCCTGTGAGACCCCACTGAAGTCAGGACAGAATTTGATCCTGTGAGGACACATCCATCCTCTCGCTGATTGAGGGCACCCCAAACATTGAAGCCTGGGTTCTCCCTTTGCTCACTCAACTAGAGCAGTGGTTCTCAACCAGGGGTATGTGTACCCTTGGGGGTATGTAAAGGTCTTCCGGGGGTACATCAGCTGATCTTGATATTTGCCTAGTTTTATTACAGGCTACATGAAAAGCACTAGCGAAATCAGTACAAACTACAATTTCATACAGACAATGACTTGTTTATACTGCTCTATATACCAGGGGTGGCCAAACTGCGGCTCTGCGTAAAAGTACGGTTCTTGGAGCCCCCCACAACCTCCCCCGCCCATTCTTCACCTACTAGACTGTTTGGGGGGAGCTTGAAGCTTCTGACCTGTGGTAGGGCTCGGGGCTTCAGCCCCGCAGGAGGCGCCTGTTGTGGGGCTGAAGCCCCGAGACCCCCCCCAATCCCACAGGGCAGAAGCCCCGAGCCCCACCACCCCGCCACAGGGCAGAAGCCCCGAGCCTCAGCAGGCACGGCACGGCTGTCAGTCTTTTGAAGATTGTCGTATTCGGCTCAGAGGGTTAGTAAGTTTGGCCACCTCTGCTACATACTATACACTGAAATGTAAGTACAATATTTATATTCCAATTGATTTATTTTATAATTATACAGTAAAAATGAGAAAGTGAGAAATTTTTCAGTCATAGTGTGCGGTGACACTTTTGAATTTTTATGTCTCATTTTGTAAGCAAGTAGTTTTTAAGTGAGGTGTAACCTGGGGGTACACAAGACAAATCAGACTCCTGAACAGGGTACAGTAGTCTGGAAAGGTTGAGAGCCACCCAACAAGATCATTTGCCAAAGGAGCTCTCATCTCCTTGAATCTTTGATGAAGGGATTCTGGACCAGTTTAACTTAAAGCTGTTTGAACCCATTCATTCTGCCTCTTTATCCTATTTATGGGCCAATTCTATAAGATGCTGAGTACCCTTAATTCCCCTTGACTTTACTGGGGATTTGAGGGTGCCCACTATCTCATTTGATCAGGTCCTTAATTTTATCTACTTATCCTCATTATAGCTGAACCTGCTCTTTATGAAGGCATCATTCATCATATAGCTGCAATATTTAGCACTCCAGCCCTGTTGCAAAATACTGGAAGAATGAGGGGTCATAAAGTAGGGGAGTTGGGAATGTGGGGCCATTCCACAGAGCTGAGAAAGCAATGTGGTAGGTAACTCTACCCTAGGGAAAATAATTACTTTAAAAAAATACTTGTAATTGACAGAGAGCCCTCTGCATGACAGAACACACACAAATATCTAGTCTGAAAAGCTTCTCTGCGGGGATAAAGAGGGGGAAATGCTGACATTATTAGAAGTGACTGTAGAAACCCCAGGAACCAGTTGAACAGAATAATGCAAACTAGCTCTGGTTTGGAAAGAAGATCACTGTAAGAAATTAAATACCAAAATCACTTGTCAACTACAGATCTCAACACACATGATTGCTTTTCAGAAAAGTCAAAAGCTAAAAGTTCCAGATATTGTAGGAGGTGTTGTAGTTTTTAAAGTTTTCTATCTGAAATCCTCTCAATTAACTGGTTATTTCTGCTCATTTGTTTTCATTAGCAAAACTACAGCACAAAAGGAAGAGGACACATCAATTGGCTCCTCTCAGGTAACCCAAGCTTGGTTTGATTCTGGCATTAGTACCCTGTGGGAAGGATGGATCAGTTGTCATGATTACAAACTCTGTGTTTGTATGGCATGGGCTAGTGTTATGGCAGGGGTTTCCAAACAGCCAAACTGAGGCCACACTGGCAACTTGCCAGGAGCCTGAGGCCCACGTTTCACCTGTATAAAATTGTGTTAAATAGGCCAGAGGCATATTCTCAGGCACATACATCCCTGGTACTGTTACAGGATTCTCTTTGAAGAGAGACTTAGTACTGGCAGCGGATAAAGACACACATCTTTTTCTGAGTAGGCTGTGTTAGTACAATGTGTGCAGATTCATAGATTCTAGGACTGGAAGGGACCTCGAGAGGCCATCGAGTCCAGTCCCCTGCCCTCATGGCAGGACCAAATACTGTCTAGACCATCCCTGATAGACATTTATCTAACCTACTCTTAAATAGATGGCTGTTTGCTCCACCATGTTGTTATAATTGACAAGAGGAGAGGCTAGAGGAAGTTCTACCTGTATCCTACCTTGGAACCCATTCCAGGTTAACCTTAGATGTAGACCAATAAGAGGGCTCCTAGGATGTCATAGGAGGTCAGAATTGGTGTAGGAGGGTGTGACATTACCCAGAGTACAAATCTGGACTGATGAACAGCTGTGTCCCTTCAGTTCTCCAACTTGGGGTGTCTTTTATACAGCTTTGCTGTGACAGCTACCACTCTTGGGGTACGTCTATACTTACCCACTGGTTCGGCGGCAAGCAATCGATCTTCTGGGATCGATTTATCGCATCTTGTCTAGACGCGATAAATCAATCCCGGAAGTGCTCGCCGTCGACGCCGGTAATCCTGCTCTGCGAGAGGAGTAGGCGGAGTTGACGGGGGAGCTTGCCTGCCGCGTGTGGACCCGCGGTAAGTACCTTTAAGTTCGAACTAAGATACTTCGACTTCAGCTACGTTATTCACGTAGCTGAAGCTGCGTATCTTAGTTCGAACTGGGGGCTTAGTGTGGACCAGCCCTTGGTCTGCTCAACACAGCCTCCAGCATGTAAATCACTCCCACCTATATTGTATGAGTGCTATGGCCAGCCACTCTTGAATCAAACTGCAGAGCAACACCAGCAAATTTCCAGTCCCAGACTTACCCCAGAAATGTGCATCTTGTACTGCCCAGTACTCTCCTGGACAATACACGCTCATATCAAGTCTGTCATTTATTAATAGAAAATGATATGCCCAAATCTTATTACCCCAAATGGAGTTTCCCAAACACACTGGTTTAGGTAAAACAACAAAACAAATTTATTAAGTACAGAAAGATAGATTTTAGGTGATTACAAGTAATAAGGAATAAAAGTCAGAAATGGTTACAAGGAAGTAAAAGGTAAAGTGCAACTAACATCTAACTTAACAAGTTAAGTGAATACAAAGCAAAAGTCTCTCACCCCATGTTCCAGCAGCCTTACTGGCTGAACCTCTTTCAGTCAGGATCTCTTCCCCAGTCCAATGACACTTCCTTTGTTTTTCAGGTGTTGATGATGCCCTGGGTAGAGAGCAAGGGAGAGATGATTTGGGAGAGATGATCTCCCCTTATAGCCTTTTCTCTTGTGCAACAGTCATCTCCAGTTGAGTTTCAGTAGACAAAAAGTCTGTGGGGGCAGGAACCTCAGGATGCTTCTTTGTCAAAATGTAGGGTTTTTTAGCCCACATCCCCTCTCCTGCCAAAGAGTGTCCACTCAGGTGATGGTCCACTTAATCTCATTGACACCTGGCCGAGGACTTGGCTAGCCTTTTGTTTCTGGGGAACTGGTTTCTGACTGCCCTCCAGAACATGTTAGAACCTATCTTAATATCATGCAGTAGAATCTTACAACTGTATATACAATGTTGCCATGCATATTTTACCAAGACAATAATCAGGAAAGCATGAGTTTTCAAATGATACCTTACAAAGTATGCTTTGTACAAAATTTATCAGAGTCTTGTAAAAGGGGTGAACATAAGGGAACAAACTGTCACAGAGGGCAAGCTCATTTTATGCTGAAGTGAGTGTGAAAAAGAAAACCAGAAAGAATATTGCAAAAAGATTAAATTCAAGGAGATTGGATAGTAGGGCACAGGGCTCAAGAATTGAGGGAGGCCATTAACAAGCTCAAGACTCCTATAAGGGTTGGAGACAATCGGAGGCTTATCCATTGCCTGGCTTGTCCTGGGAGCTCAGGATCAAATATGCTGAAATAGTATCTGTATTGCTTTGTGAGTTTTCAAGATCTTTTATTGCAGCAACAAGTCAAGTGTTGTCAGGGCCAGCTCTGGCTTTTTTGCCGCCCTAGGCAAAAAAGCCACCCGCCGCCCAGCGCGGCGGGGGGGGCGCCGAGCCCGGCCACGGGCCCGCAATCCCCGACCGGCCAGAGCGCCAGGGGGAGGGCGGAGAGCCCGGCCGGGGATCTCCGCTCTCCCCGGCGGCCAGAGCGCCGGTAGCAGGGCGGAGAGCCCGGCTGGGGCTCTCCGCTCTCCCCGGCTGCCAGAGCGCCGGGAGCAGGGTGGAGAGCCCGGCTGGGGCTTTCCGCTCTCCCCGGCGGCCAGAGCGCTGGGAGCAGGGCGGCGAGCCCCCGGCGGCCAGAGTGCCGGGAGGAGGGCGGAGAGCCCGGCCGGGGCCCCACTCTCCCCGACCGGCCAGAGCGCTGGGGGGAGGGCGGCGAGCCCGCTGCGGCTCCGCTCTCCCCAGCGGCCGGAGCGCCGCGGGGAGGGCGGCGAGCCCAGTCACGGCCCCGCTCTCGAGCCAGAGCGCCCCACCGCGCCGCCCCCCTCCAGGCGCCGCCCCAAGCACATGCTTGGTGGGCTGGTGCCTGGAGCCAGCCCTGAGTGTTGTCCTCGTGTAAGGCATTTGACTTGGTACCGCACATTTTGATTAAAAAACTAGAATGTAGAATTAACTTGGCACACATTAAATGGATTAAAAGCTGGCTAACTGATAGGTCTCAAAATGTAACTATAAATGGGGAATCATGATCAAGCAGCTGTGTTTCCAGTGGTAAGGGTAGGTTCTTGGCTCTACATTATTTAATGACCTTACCTTCAATGACCTGGAAAAAAACCTCAGGTCATCACCAATAAAGTTTGCAGATGATGCACAAATTGAGGAAGTGGCAAATAATGAAGAGGGCAGGTCACTGGATCAGAGCAATCTGGATCACTTGGTAAACGGGGCACAAGCCAGCTACATGTTTTTAATATGGCTAAATGTATATATCTAGGAACAAAGAACATAGGCCATATTTAGAGGATGGGGGACTCCATCCTGGGCAGCAGTGACTCTGAAAAAGATTTGGGGTGGGGGTATGGTGGATAATCAGCTGAACATGAGCTCCCAGTGTGATGGTGTGGCCCAAGATGCTAATTCAATCCTGGAGATGCATAAACGGGGATCTTGCTTAGGAGCACAGAGTTTATTTTACCCCTATGTTTGGCACTTGTGCGACTACTACTGGAATACTGTGTCCGGTTCTGGTGTCCATAATTCAAGACGAATAAACAGGAGAGGATTCAGAGAGGAGCCACAAGAATGATTAAAGGATTAGAAAACATGTCTTATAGTGATAGATAGACTCAAAGAGGACAATCTAGCTTAACAAGGAACAGGTTAAGGTGGTGACTTGATTAGTCTGTAAGTATCTAGACAGGGAACAAATATTTAACAGGCTTTTCAATCTAGCAGAGAAAGGTATAACACGATCCAATGGCTGGAAGCTGAAGCTAGACACATTCAGACAGGTAATAAGGTGGACATTTTTAACAATGAGAGTAATTAACCATTGGAACAATTTACCGAGGGTTGTGGTGGATGTATTTTTTTAAAGCTATGCTCAAGGCATTATTTCAGGGAAGTTCTATGGCCTGGTGTTGCATCAGGAGCTCAGACTAAATGATTACAATTGTCCCTTCTGGCCTTGGAATCTATGCTGCTCTTTTGTGCTGCAGCGGAGCACAGTAGTGTTCCACCAGAGCATCCGTTCTTCAAGGTTCACAGGCCTGGCCCAAACCTGAAGTGTTTTTTGGCCCACATTCCACCTATGTTCAACAACATATCAAGTAAATAATGCATCTCAAGAGAATACATGTGTATCACTCATAAATAAAATGTTCTGTAAACAAGCACAGTTGGCTAAGTTAGATTTGCTTATTTTTATACATGCAGGAAAATCAAGAGGATCTGGGTCTCTGGCAGGAGGAATTTGGCAGTTTTTTAGACATCAAAGCTAATGGTAAGATTAAGCCTGGAATTGAAAACAACTTTACCAGTTTGCATAAGTATGTGCTCATTCATATTTCTATCTGCCTTTTTGTTTAACTACTTAATGGTTATCCATCTCACTCTTTTTCTCCTACTGGAAGGCTCAAAGGATACATTAATAATAAATATTATTAATGGACTATAGACCTCTCTAGGTCACTGTTCATTACTAATTTAGGCTGGAATTGAACTAAATTCATAACAACCTATTGTGTTCTACATGAAATGAATGGGTTAACTCAATCCATTTCCTAATGGGCCAGGCTCTGCATGACATAAAACATTATCACATAAACCTTTATCACAGTGGGCACTAAGTTAGCAGACCCAATAGAGAGGCCGACAATTGATTGGGCCTGCGGTGCAATCCACAAAGGTACTTAGGTGCCCAAGTCCTATTTTTAGGCACCACTGTGATCCACAAAACTCTCACTCAGCTGCCACCTATCCCTGTGGATGCCTAAGTTTTTGCCTCTGGGCATGCATGCTGAAGCCTAACACTAGGTGCCGGGTGCCTATCTTCTGCCTGAGTATGCGCACTGCTGCCTCATGATAGCCGTCCAGATGTCTGTCTCCTGTGTAAGCCCCAGAGCAATTCACAAACTGGGAAAGAGAGATATTCAGCTGTCTAAGTCCCGTACAGGAGCCCAGATCCAGTAGGCATGCTCAGAGGCTGCAGGATTGGGCTCCTCCGCTGAGTTCACACAAAACAGCTGTGAGGGAGGGGAAGAAAAGGAAGAGGAAAGGTAGCTCCCTTATAACTGTTAGCCTGGTGGATAGGGTACTCACCCGGGCTATGGCTAACCTCTGGTTCAAGCTCCCCTTCCTCCTGTGGGGGAGAAGGAATTTGAACAGGGATCAGCCCCCTCTGTGGGGAGGGCCCTAGGCAATGGAATATTCTGATGTAGGGCTCCTTCAATCTCACCTATTTAAGTTGTTCGACTTTAATTGAACAATTATATATAAATTGGGCCAGAGAAAGAGTTAGAATGACTGTATGGCCTAGTGATTAGAGCACTCACCTGAAAGTGGACAATCCCTGGTCAAATTCCTTCTCTCGCTTAGGAGGAGAGGGAACTCAAACCAGGGATCTTTTACATCCTGAGTGAGCACCCTATCTACTAGGCTAAAGGTTGCAAGGGAGATCCTGCACCCAGCTGTTTTGTTGTAGGCCCCACACACGACTTACAGGGATGAATACCTATCTTCCCTGGTTTGTGGATTACTAGCAAGGCAAGGCGCCTCCCTGCAGCCCAGACTTAGGTGCCTATCTCCATGAGAGGGGCAGGACTTAGGACAGCCCCCACCTTTGGCCTCATCTCCCATTGGCTAGGTTAGGCAGCTCCCCACCTACCACACTGGCTTTGTGGACTGCAGTCTAAGGTGCCTATCTTTCATTCACTGTATAGGAGCCCAGGCTCCTAACTCATGCTTTGTGGATTGCAGTGTTGTTCCTGTGATTTGCCAGGCCCTTAAAAGTTAGGAGCCACGATGCTCAGCATCACAATGTCTAAGTCCTTTTGTGGATCTGGGCCATGGAAACTAAATTGCTGTAACCTCCCTTCTCTAGAAGTTGTCTAGGTCATGGTTGAGGAGGCACACAGGTGGCACAGGGTGAGGAAGCTCTCACTCCTGTTGCCTGTGCTGTACCTGTTCTGTGGACAGAAAGAGAATTTCAGTCTCCAGGACTTGCAACCCAAAATCTTTCCAAAGGCACAAAGATCAATATACAATGATTTTGTCTGGTTGGCTAAAGCTCTTCTAAGAAGTGATTAAAGTCCCATATCTTTTCCTTGGTGAAATGTAAAACCTGTGATCTAAAGAATGTTGCATGAACTGGTATAAAATACTTAAGGCTGCATTTCTATAACAGCTGCCACTGAAGTCACGGATTCCTTAGGGAATAAAGTCCATACGGTCAGATTTTTGTGTGTGTGTCAGTCTGAAGTATCCCCATTTACTTCGTTGGGGTTGCTCTGGATTTACACAGATAAAAGAAAATGATTTAGCTGACAGAGTTGATATGCTTTGTTTAAGACATGTGTGTGCTCTGCTGCTGCCTCTCCTGAGGCTGAAACAGGAAAGCAGTGCTGGAAAAGAGGCTTTCTTACTTCACCTTGTTGCACTGCTTCTGCCGCAGGGCAGAGCTTGCAGGAATTGGGATAGAAATTGTAAACTGTTTTATTACATAATAAAGAATAGTTTGATAAAAATAAAGTAACCTGCAAGTTTGGGCATTTTTTTACTATAAATGCATTCTTTTTGCCCTTCATGATTAGATCAAAATTTATAAACAACAAATTTACAAACAAGTGCCCCTAGAAAACTTTCCCATATAGTAAGTATATAATAATGGAGGTGAATCTCAAATCAAGTTTGAAGCAATAGGTAAACAGAACATTTTTATAATTAGTATGTTCTGATCTATTTCTTAAAGTTAGGCCATGATAAGACCAGAACTCAGGGCTGTTGTATTTTAATACTCTTCCTATAGGTCCCAGTTCCATAGGCTTGGATTTTTCTTTGCATGGATGTGAACATGTCTATGGAATACCAGAGCATGCAGAAACACTTCTCCTCAAAAACACCAGGTAAAAGAGTAGCAGATTTGCTTCTAAAGAGGGCTGTAATTCTGACTTTGGGGATAATTAGGTGGGGTAGCCAGGGCCGGCTCCAGGCACCAGCCCAGCAAGCAGGTGCTTGTGGGGGCCAAGGGGAAGGGGCAGCACGTCGGGCTCTTTGGCAGCAATTCGGCAGCGGGTCCTTCGGTCCCTATCTGAGGGAAGGACCTGCCGCCAAATTGCTGCCAAAGAAGAAAGGCACAGTGGAGCCAATCGTGATCGCGGCTTTTTTTTTTTTTTTGCTTTTTTTTTCCCGCCACTTGGGGCGGCAAAAACCCTGGAGCCGGCCCTAGGGGTAGCACATCTGAAACTTGATGATCCAATGGGAACAAGTGCCGGTGATCTTTGTCCTGAGGTCACCTTTGAACATTTAGATTTGCACAACAGTTTAACCGAGCACACTGGATTGTTGTTCGGATGGCCATTGCGAGTCATAACAGACATATTAGTGGTGTGATGTGAGGAAATCCAAGACTGAATGAGCACAAGGAGTGGTTACTGCAGCTTAGGTGTTAAGTAGATTGGTGAATAACTAAAGAAAACTTTATAAGTCCTGTAATGGAGAAGCCATAAAGTTTTCCAGATGATTTAATTCAAACAAGGCTTGAGATGTGTATGACATATACCAATACAGTAGACGATACATTTTGTATTTTGTTCTAATAGCAGCAACACATAAAATGATGGCATTTGTCCCCAAGGAATAGGCTGCTCTGCTTCCAACTCCACAGTGCTGCCGCTGACTCTTCCTGTTCTCTATTATGTTTCTGTGCAGCCAATTCTGCATGAATATTTCTCAGGTTTAAACAGAATATACTTTACTGAAATGCATAAAAGAGCAGCTCCAGACGGCTCTATGGGATTTAAGCAGAAAAATGGGGAAGGTGAGTGTTAATAGTGTAAGGATAAGACCACATCAGAAGCAGTGTCATTGACAGCAAGAGATATAATTTGATACAGCTAGCTTTGAGCAAAGTGATAGAAATGGTCATCCATGCCACATGTCGTATCTTGCTGAGAAATGATAGACCGTAATAAAGAATACACCATATTAATCCCTGCTGTAACACCTTTGAGTTCAGTGGCCCAGTGAGTAATTATTACAAGTAATGTTTGTTTGTTCATTCCAGTGACGATGATGCCTACCGGCTTTTTAACTTGGATGTCTATGGGCACAAGATCCATGACAAAATGGGCATTTATGGTTCAGTGCCCTTTCTGTTAGCACATAAACCTAACAGAACTTCTGGGATCTTCTGGCTGAATTCCTCAGAAACTCTAGTGGAGATTAATACAAAAGCTGTAATGGAGGTGAGAGATGCATGGTATTGTGCCCAGGAGTTCAATAAGAAATTAAAATACTCCTGCACAGGGCAATCTGATAGTGTAACTTCATGGTCACTTTTTGCCTCAGTGAATCAGGAATTGTAACTCTCTTTTCTCTCCCTCCTCATTTATTTTAGTGAACTTTAGACATGATCACAAGGATGCATTTTTTAGAAGACAAGATGCAGGAATCACATAATAAATTTCATATGAGAAAAGAAAATTTTGAAGTATTTCAAATCCTGCAAGAAAAATCCACAAAAATAAATATCCAACACAATCAAGTGCAGAAAACATATTGAGCATTTTTTAAGCTAGGATTTATCAAACCATGGAATTTAGAAGTTCTTGGTATTTTTCCCCTCCCCAGTACTTCATGTGACTATATTGTTGATATTCAGGGAACAAGGATATAGCTGTGATTTCATATCCAACATTAATTTTGCATATTAAAATGAGACAGTAAAATAAAATATTGCATTATCATGGTCAAAAATACACTATTTAGATTAAATTATATAAAAAATCAGAGAGAAATATTGAGGTCTGGACAATCAATGGAGAGATTGTAAAATTAATCTTTGGTAGAAAGAGGGCTTCAGATTCTACTTTCTGTTTCTTTCAAAGCATGTACCATCCAGATCCCCTCCAGACATAACTAAGCAGAGAGTGGTGCCTCAAACTGATGTGCGCTGGATGTCAGAAAGTGGAATAATTGATGTTTTCCTCCTAATGGGACCCACCCCTTTTGATATCTTCAAGCAATATGCACAATTGACAGGTATTATCTTGTATCAGTGAAGAAACAGCATTGTACATTCATCACTGAGGTTCCCTGTCATCACCTAAATAATGGGGAACAATTACCTGCTGGACATATTGTATCAAAAAGGGGACTAATGTTTACTTATCTCATTGAATGCAGTAGGACAGCCATTCCCAAAATGTAGTTCACAGAGCACTTACTGGTGTTCTGTGGAGAGATGGCTTTCATCTTTGTTTTCAGCAGCATCTACAGGTGTTCAGGCTTGGCCTCTAAAAGTAGCTGGAAATGTGAAGCCAATCTATTTGTTACTACTTGAGGCTGCTCTTTCATGAGGGAAGAGAGGAAACAGGAGAAAATCCTAGCGAGTGGCGCTACCAAGCACCAGTGGGAGAAAGGAATGAAGCAACTGGATAGTACCTGTAAGGGAGCAGGAAGAGGAGATGGTAGCTGGCCAGTGAGTCCATGAGAGAAGATAGCAAAGTGACAGGAAAGCAAGTGCAGGGCGATAGGAGAAGAAAGAGGCCAGGTGGCAAAGAGTCATGGGCAAGGGGAGACAGAAGAGCAAAAGTGCAGACAGTGTGACTAACTTTTTTATAAAGGAAAAATTACCTACTACACTATAGGCAGTGTTGTTGTAGCCATGTTGGTGCCTGGATATTAGAGAGACAAGATGAATGAGGTAATATGTTTTATTGGAACAACTTCAGTTGGTGGAAAAAGAGCTTTGTGAGGTAAGCTCAAAAGCTTGGTGAAAGAGACAACAGAAGTTGGTCCAATAAAAGGTATAACCTCACCCACCTTGTCTTACTACATTTAAGACAGTTAAGAGCACACAAACTTTCCTAATGTTACTTTTCCACATAAGCAATTGCCACGGGGATATTATTGGATCATGAATAGGAGGAGAAGTGGTCCATTTGGTCATGAATGGAGGGCAAATAGTTTACAAGACTGTCTCTCAAAACTGAGGCCCACACTATGAAAAAGTTTCAAAAAAATCTGACACTCTGGTCTCGCTGTATTGTTGCACCTAAGGAACCGGTTTTATTTTCTATTACTAAGCAAATATTAGTTTCTGCTCAAGTGCTAGAGTAAGGGGAATTACAAATCATTCTTGAGGTGTACTGGTAGGAAGATTACAATGGCCTTCTCCACTAAGCCTGATCTTGTTAGTTATTCATGTTAATGAAAATTAAATTCACCCTCAATATTTTTAAAACATCAACAAAAATTTTAGCAAGGAGAGTAATAATGATCACTAGAATAACACTGCATTATTATGCCATCCTGTAACAGTCGTTTTCTCACCCATATCATATAATAATTACAGCAGCTTCTGCTAAAGTTAAGCCTGTCCATAATTTTTGTTATGATCTTAGTTTCTGGTGTTACAAACTCAAAATGTGAAAATTGTGCTCTGGACTGAACCTTAGGTAATTATGCTTCAGTTTCAAACAGTTGCATATGATTTCAGCCATGCCACTCCCATTGACTTTTCCAAAATTTCAAGGTAACCTGAAGGGCAATACCATTATTATGCTTATTGGCTTAGTTTCTAACTTCATATCTGTTCCTAGGCACTCAAGCCCTGCCTCCACTCTTCTCCTTGGGTTACCACCAATGCCGCTGGAACTATGAGGATGAGCAGGATGTAAAGACAGTAGACACTGGCTTTGATGAGCATGACATCCCCTATGATGTTATATGGCTGGACATAGAGCACACAGAAGGCAAGAGGTACTTCACCTGGGACAAGAAAAAATTCCAGCACCCCAAAAGGATGCAGGAACTGCTCAAGAGGAAAAAACGCAAGGTACATTATACAGAGGAAGGAAGGAAAATGTCATAGTACAGCATAATCTAGGGAGGCCCTAAATACTTGAGCAAACATATCTCATTCCATGTCCCCACCAGCAGTTACTAGTGGCTGTGGTGGGTCAGTTCTTACTCGTGTTTTGCTTAGTTAGCATAAGGCGGAGGACAAAGCTTTCTTGGTCTAGGCTCCACCTATGTGAAACTCCATCTTACAGGAGGTTTCACTGCAGTCCTTGTTGGCTGCATTTAGGTCATAAAGGAAGGTCTGTTTATTTCAAAGGGGTGACCTTTACCCATTGTTAAGCCCCCTTCTCTGTTTTTGCTTTTCTTTTTTATATTGACAATCCATTTTCTCCCCTATCTATGTTAATTGGGAATTGTTCCTTCTTGTTTGGTGGGATTGGTTGCCTAAGGGCTACTGCGTTTGCCCTTGTATCAGATCCTTTGGCTGTAGTTAGTAGTGTATTCAGGTTGGTTAATCTTTATTTCTGCTTTTATTGTATAGTCCTTAGCTGTATGGACTTATAAATGTATTATATATACACAAGTGCAGAATCTAGAGAATATGTAACCAACTAATGAACTCATACAATAGTTGATCTCAGCCAAAAACCAATGATTATTGGAGCAATGTTAAAGTAGTGAAGTCATAGTAAGTTACATAGTAGCACCTCTTCTGACCATGGAATTAATGGCTGCAGAAGGCAACTAAGCAAAATACAATGGTCAATTTTTTTACAAGGTCAGGAAAATTTTATAACTGATATTTATTATGCATGTTAAGATATGAGTGTGACGTTCCCCAAAGTACAATCCAGCTCACAAGATAGCTGTGCCCCCTTAATGCTCCAGTGTGGTGTACACTGTGCGCTGCTTTGCTGTATGAGTTGCCACTCTGCCCACTCACCCAGCCTCTAGTATGCGGCTCACCCCCAGACAACTACCAGAGTTTTATGCCCAGCCACTCTTACATATAGAATGACACTCGTTTATCTCTAGTCCCAGTGTTGCACCCCAGAAATGTGCGTCTTACACTGCTCAAGACCCCCTTGGACAGTGCAAGCTCTTAAGTTAATCATTTTATCAAAGAAAATGAATATGCACCGGCCCTTGCTAATCTGAGTAGATTCCCCAAACTCTTCAGCCAAAAACACACTGGTTTAGATAAAACATTAAAATGGAAAGATGGGTTTTAAGTGATTACTAGTGGGGTTGGCATTGAAGATCAGAATTGGTTACAAAAAGAAATAAAAGATAAAAACTGCAAGCTGTTTCCTAAACTTTACCAAAGCTAAATTTGAAGCAAACAGTTTTTCTCACCCCGCTGGATGTTGCAGGCAGTTCAGTTCTTAGTACACAGGCTGGTTTCCTTTTCCAGCCTGGGATCAATCTTCCCCAGTTCCAAGTCTTACAATCAGTCTTGTTTTAGTAAAGATGGAAGAGAAGAGAGGTGGCCAGGGGCCTTTGTTCCCTCTTTTTATATTGTGACCGGGTGCCTGGATGGGCTACACTGAGAATGCTATAGTCAGGGCAGACTGCAAGGAATAGGGCAGACAATCTCCCAAACTGGTGGTTTATTCTATAATTAGATTCACCAAGCCAGTAACAAAACAGTTTCTGCAATATCACACTGGTTACCAAGAAGCCTGAGAGAGCCTGGCTGGGAGTCAGCAGTGACCCGCTCTCTGCCTGGGCTCGGCTGCTGAACATGCAGAGGGGAGATACAGGGAGAGAAGGACAAAGCCCCTCTCTGCCCCTGCCCCCCCCCAGCAGGTAATGTGGGGCAGGGAGAGCGTGGTGGCCCCAGGCTGGGAGGAGGGTAGGGGGGTCACTGGGCAGAGGAGACATGTGGGACAGTCATATGCAATGTTCCCTCAAAATTCCCTCAAAATTCATTCTACATGAATGGGAAAAATTAGTTATGTGCACCAACATGGAGATAATGTGTGGTGGGGGTGGGGCCGAGGGGTCTGGCATGTGGGAGGGGGCTCAGGACTGGGGCAGAGGCTTGGGGTGCAGGGGCTGAGGCCTCTGGCTGGGTGTGCGGGCTCTGGGGTGAGGCCGGGGATGAGGGGTTTGAGGTGCAGGATGCCCTGGGGCTGCGGTGGGGAGAGAGGACTCCCCCCAGCCCTCTCCCTGCTGCAGCAGCTCCAGGGCTGGGAGAGTTAAGTGTGTGGCTCTTGGTGGCCTCCTGCGTGTCTATGCAAGCGCGCACCTTGGAGGGAACTTAGGTCACATGTCCTCCCCTTTAGATTGTGCCCCCTCCCCCCCCCCAGTATGGGGAGGCAGGAGTCCTCTATGGTCTCTTTTTAAGTTATGGATCATACCCAACTTGACCAGTCAGTCAGTTTCACATGTATCTTGACCCTTTTTACTGGAAAAGTTCTTGCTGTGTCATGAGGTCAGGCAACTCCATTGCCTTTGTGCTGTGCACTCAGATTTCCATATGAATTGCAAATTCTTGCTTGCACCTTCAGTATGCATGCAGGTATCTCTGGGGATGACATGCCAGTCCTTTGTTTATAGTTCTTTTGTTATTTCTAAAGAGCTAGATTGTGGGCATTCCCCAGACTCACAACATGTTTCAGTAGCAAACATATAGCAAAATCTCATAACTCCATATGCAGTGTTGATACACACATTTTAACAGGGCAATAATATTCAGCAGACTATAACTTTTCCCAATGATACCTCACAAGGCATACTTTGTACAAGATTGATCATAATAAGTGGTGACCATAATAGCATATGCTGTCACAATGTGTAATGTGGCAGGGCACTTCTTCCATCTCACCAAGCTTAGTGCTTCCCCCTCAGATGATGGTGGGATCTGAAGTAAATCAGCCCCACTCTGGGGAGTGTTGGGCTTCCCATTCTGGGTTTATTTGTCAATATTTTCAAGGCAGGCCCAAGGAGTACTCCTCTACCAAACAAAAGAAACAAATTCACAACACAAAATATAGGGGGAATACCTTTTCTTACCCCCTCTTGAAGGGGGTGGTGTTGCCTTGTTATTGGCCACCAGGGTGTCCATCCTTCTCCTAAATAGGCAGTCAGTTTGGTGGTTTCCGCTGGAGGTAGAAGAGCACCCTCTCACCCTGGAGAAGCCTTTTTCCCTGATACCATTAATCCTGCAGCAGCTTGTCTCTCCTCCCTCTCTCCCACCAGGAGAGGGGTTTTTAAATGTCCAGGTTTCCTTAGTTGACCTCTTTTCAGTTTGTAGGCAAAAGGGCCTTTTTCATTCTAGGGCTAATAGCCCTGCCTTCCATCACTCCGATTGCAGCGGTCCAGCCTGACTTTGTCACGGTAATTAAATGTTATGGTTTAGGGAAGAAACTAGTCGCCACAACAGTCAGGGAGAAATTTATTTTCCCACCTCATCAATTGTGTAATGTTGTATTATATTGGTTTTAGGGGAGGTTACTTTCTTTTGAAGCATATGATATAGTACTGACCCTTATTTCAGGTAGACAAGCATGCACTGCTACTTGTCTTGTGAAATCAGCTAGTTTACATATGTATAGTAAGTATGCACAAGGGCCAGTAACTCCTTTTTCAAAAATGTGACTGCCCGTGCCTTAACCTGAATCAGGACTGAGCTCTTTCTGTAATATGCTGAACAGTTGATGCTAATGGATTCTTCTCATCTCTTATGCTGGCAGCTTGTCGTCATTATAGATCCTCACATTAAGGTTGATCCCATGTACACCCTATACTCTCAGGCCAAAAAGAAGGGGTATTTTGTGAAGAATAGGACAGGCCAAGACTTTGAGGGCATCTGTTGGCCAGGTAAGAAAACCCACTGCTTATAGTCTATACATTAGAATTTGTTTATTTGTAATGTGTAGCAGAATAACGTGAGTCAAAAGTGGATAGTCATGTGGATAGGACTAGCATCTCAAAAGGAAAAAAAAATGTTGGTGTAATTCTTGGATATTCATGATTCCTAGTCTTATAGTTCTTTTGACAATTCTAATGCATCTCCTAGTCTTCCCAGCTCTAATTCCTCTACCATTAGTTCTATTATCTCTGCATACATGGGCGCTGACTCTGTGGGTGCTCCAAAAATAGTGGGTGCTCAGCACCCACTGGCAGCCCCCCCCCCGCCCCATCAGCTCCATCACCTCCTGCCCACCAGCGGCCCTGCTGATCAGCTCCTCCCCCTCCCTCCCAGTGCCTCCCACCTGCCATGGATCAGCTGTTCAGCAGCGTGCAGGAGGCACTGGGGAAAAGGGGGAGGAGCTAGGGTGGGGCACGCTCAGGGGAGGGGGTAGAATGGGGCAGGGCAGGGGCAGAGGGGGTGGGAAGAGGCGGGGGTCCTGGGGGAAAGGGTGGAGTGGGGAAAGGGCCTGGGGCGGAGCGGGGGTTAAGCACCCCCTGGCAACTTAGAAAGACAATGCCTCTGTCTGCATATAATCTAGGTGCATGGCACCATAAAGTTACTGAACTTGTGCAAAGATCAGTACTCTAAGTTGTCACATTAAATTGTTTATAAAAGTAAACAAAAGTTGAGTCAAATAGACTGGTACAAACTGGATTGTTAAAAGAACTGTAATAAGAGGTCTTCAAGGTTCCTGCTGAAGTCACTGGTTGGTATAACAACAAGCGGAAAGATTCTAGAAATAGGAGGAATTGTTAATAGTTTAAATCACTGAACTGTGTTAATTTTAGTGAGAGGAGATTGCTATTCCTTCTTGGATTTTTAATGGTGATTGTTACAATGGGAGTAAGCCAGTGATAACATAAAACCCAAGACCACACTTCACTGTTTAATGTTGTAACAGTGAACAAGGGTTTCATTTACACTTTCTCCCTAGTGGGGCCTGAGACACCCCTTTGAAAACACTTCAAACTTCATGGAGTGGGGCTTGTATTCTTCACTGTATAGTGTGTGGCTAGAGGAATCCTTTCCACTTGAAGTTTGTGAGGCCATGCAGGGAGAGAGAGTGGCCACGGCGCTGTGAGAATGAAACAGTACCATAAAGATCTTTTTCAGCAAAGGTGGGAACAGCAAAATTGGAAAAGGGTTAGATCAGATGGAGGGGGGAAAGTCTGAGAAGGGAAAAGGGAAAGTGAGATAAGAGTTAATAGGATTTGGATACCATTAAGGTTGGCAAGCCCCAATTTTATATTTTAAAATATCCATCTAATTCCAGAAAACATGACTTTTGTAGAAGTTGCCAGTCTTAAAATTCTAGCTTCAAGCCGGACAGCCTAGCAACAAATAACAGGGAGTCATGACATGGGTGCGGCTCTGAAATAAGTATATAGATGCATTTTGTTTCATTCCTGACTATACTTGGGAGTGCCTGCACTTCCAAAACTCCACTACGCTGTTGGTGAATACAGCACTACTGGTGCATGGAGAGTAGACATCTCTGTAAACAAGGAAATATATGAGGATCAATGGGGTTCCAGCAGGGACATAAACTGACAGCAGATCAGCTGTCTGTGTACAATGTTTAATCACTGTGGCTCTATACTATGTAATGAACGTAGTACAACCATTGCAGAACACAGGTACCCACCTCCTGAGTGAGACTCCCTGTAACATCAAGGCTTTGATTCCTTCACTGGCTTTCAGTTTGCTTCTGGGTGCCATTCAAAATGCTGGTCACGATCTTTAAATGGTGTGGAACTTAGCCCACCACAACCCAAGCATAGTGGTCTTCAGATCACAGTGTAAGGTGTACTTGTTTAGTTTAGCACTTGGTTACACTTTGCTTAGGTTTTTGTTCCTGGCATTTTGGGTTATGTATTAAGGTTACAGCAAAGGCAGAAGTCTCGGTGCTACCCATTGTGGAGATCGTTGTATCAACATGTCACAGTGCTTGAATGCCAAAACAATAAATGCTATAAAAGTTAAAATAATAAATGTGATGGTCCACACCTGCAGGTTCCTCTTCTTACCTGGATTTTACCAATCCTGAAGTCCGAGAATGGTATGCAGATCAGTTTGCCTTCAAATCATATAAGGTTTGTGTTTCTTCTCTTTGGATCCTACAGAGTGTAGATGGTCATTAGACTGTAGAGGCAAATATCCTGAATATAGTGATAACCATATAGACTGCAGAAGGAGCCTCACCGTGGCCTTGTCAACACTAAGAAAAATAAGAGCCTAATTCACCACTTATGCAATTCCCCCCGTGATAGCAACAATGGAGACTTTGGTGTGGACAGGGAACAGGCATTTTACCACCATGTCATCTAATGCAGCTGTCCCATTCCCAGCTTCTCTCAATAGGAGTCCACATAGGAAACGATGTGAGAGTGCTGCCTCTGAGGAGCTCACAGTTGCTCTCAAGTCATCCTCCCCCACAATGAGTCCTTTAAGTGAGGAGAATAGTGTGGAAGTACTGGCTGTTCATAGCCTATAGTCACATCACTCCTAGCCCCTTCCAGGCTGTACTCAATATTAGACGTATGTGTCACTGAAACACTGCCCAGCTCCCAATCGTTTTTTTGTTGGAGCCCCACTTTGCAAGGGGCAGGTAAACTCATGCTTCTTACGGCCCTGCACTTCATGTCCCAAGGCAACTTTTTCTCCCCAGTTTCTTTTTCCTGTCCTTTTCTGCAGTTTTCCTCTGGGCTTTTTAATATTTTAAAATTCTCTTATGAACTTTTATGCTCCCCTGCCTCCTTCCCACCATCACTCACGAGAAGACAACATTGTGCTTGCTGTGAGGCTTGAGGCATCTATTGGTTGCACATGTATGTGCACTCGGCCCTCAGGGCCATTTCAGCTGAGTGCAGTGAGAGCTGAAAAGCTCAAATAAGCTTGTGAACTGCAACCCTGTACACATAAGCTGCTCCTGTGGCCAGATGAATTAGGGGCGGTCAGGAGAGAAGAGAGGGAAGACAGACAGCTTTCAATAAGTTGCCCTCAGCTTTGGGAGCATATTTGCAGTGCCACTGTTTTGTTGCTTCTCTTCCTGTGCATCCCCTACACTAGCACCACCCACCACTGCAGTTTGGGTAACACTGGATTAACCTAATGACTTAAATGTACCCTAAATGCTACTTTGTATCACAGGGCTCTACTGACATCCTGTTTGTATGGAATGATATGAATGAGCCTTCAGTCTTCAAAGCGGCAGAACTAACCATGCAGAGAGATGCTGTCCACCATGGCAACTGGGAGCACCGGGAGGTTCACAATCTCTATGGCTTTTACCAAGTAGGGCACCTAAAGACAAAAATCTACTGCCAGAGATACTCTGTCCTGGATGATTATGGTTTTTATTATATGTACTGTGGTAGCGCCCAGATGGTCCCATCAAGATTGGGGCCCTTGTACTAGGTGCCAGTGTTTTGGAATCAGCTTCTCCATGATAAATCAGACCTGTAACAGTGATAGCACTCATGCATATCTTTCTACTGCAACAGTGTAATGACATCAATCTATTACATATGCAAAGTTAGTATTTCTATATTTTTCCCTGTTCTAGTGTCTTCCAACAAACTGTGAGTACTTAACTAATAATAATTACTATTATTTCTAGACATATATTTCATATAGTTCCTGCCTTTAATTGTCTACAACAGGAGTGTGGTATATACTGTTTGTAATTAGGTTATCTCCTTGTCAGTTATTCTATTGCTTTGCAGCAAATGGCAACTGCAGAAGGGCTTATCAAACGTTCTGGGGGACAGAGGAGGCCATTTGTCCTCACGCGATCTTTCTTTGCCGGATCACAGAAGTATGGTAAGCATGGACAAGCTTCATGAAATCATGTTTTTCTGTAATGCTTTGTTTATTTATTTATGCATGCTAGGCCTGGTATTAGGGCTGTCAAACAATTAAAAAATAATTGCAATTAATCACAAGGTTAAAAAAAGTTGTGATTAATTGCAGTTTTAATCACACTGTTAAACAATATAGAATACCGATTTAAATTCAGCAGAGTACTCGAAGCAAATTTATTAGCTTGCCACTTTGTTTCTTTCTTTCCCCCTAATTGCAAGTATAAATTGACCTAGGGGCCTGAATTCAGTGTGTAAACTTGAAACCATGCTACTGGTGTTTCCAGGTGCAGTATGGACAGGAGACAACGTAGCAGAGTGGAGTTACTTAAAAATCTCCATTCCAATGTTGCTCACAATCAGCATTGCAGGAATTTCATTCTGTGGAGGTAAGGCGTTTAACTGGATTCTTCACTAAATGTAGGCCACCAGACTTACTGAGCTTGAGTCTCAAGATAGATTTAAACACACAACCACCAGAACAACCCACTTCTTTCCTACACTCCAATCTGTTTCAAAACAGTTTCCTATATTTAGTCCATTTACAGCTCCCAGTAGCATTCTTCTCTCCTTCCTTTGGCATATTCATCTTTGGTAGCATGTGAGTCCCTTGAACTGACAGCTTGGAGTTGTCTTCCATGAGCATCAGTATAATTTTCCCCTGTGACAAGGAAAACCACTCACTGTGTCTCTAAATGCTATCAACCTGTTTCATCATCAAATGAGAATCCGATAATTTTTTTCACTTTGTATGGCCAAGCAGCTGCCTTTCAGCAGGATAGGAGGTACCATATTACATTAATGTATTTATAGATTTGTAATGTTTGTAATAAGAGAAATTCATGTTTTTGCAGAACACTTTCATAAACCAATTAACATGTCTCTTTAAATTTTAGCTGATGTGGGCGGGTTTATTGGGGACCCAGAACCAGAGCTACTTGTTCGCTGGTATCAGGCTGGTGCATACCAACCATTCTTCAGAGGCCATGCCAATATCGAAAGCAAACGGCGTGAACCATGGCTATTTGGGGATGAGAACACACGGATCATCAGGGAAGCCATTAGAGAGCGCTACACCCTTCTGCCCTACTTGTATTCACTGTTCTACCGGGCACACACCACTGCTGAACCAGTCATGAGGTGAGATCGTAAGGGGCTACATTAAAACTACTTGTATTGCTCTTTATATAAAGGCCCTTCTTATGAGCCAGGAAATTTTATAATTGTGTCAAGATGGATGTTTCAGAGGGGGAAATTAAATTACTCTCCTTTACTTTTGTGACTTTCAATTTGAAATTTTAAAAGCAAATAATATATACATTAATTTTCTAAAAGAGAGCAATTGAGCACATCAGTTAAATAAACTATTACCACATACAGTCTTAGATAAATTTCTAAAATACAGTAAACCCCAAGAAGAATGTTATCACTATTCTTATCCATATCTAAATACTGCCAGTGGATCCCTAAGCTGACCTGAAAGTTTCAAAATCTGCCTTTTCTCTCTCTCCGGTAAATGCTTTTTGTTCGTTTGAAGAAACTAGGCCAACTGGGTTACCTTTCCCAGAGTTCATTTCATATAGATAATTCAAGTATGAGGTATATGCCATGCCACATTTCCTATAATCATTTTTCCTTTAGTAATGTAATATAGACATTAAATTAGTAAACTAGTTTCCATTGTGCTCCTTTCCAATCTATAATGAGAGGTCTCAGTGGAGCTGCATGCAACAGTCACATCAGTAGAAGATAAATATTACTAATCTCTCTTGTATTTTTGTCTCTTACAAATGGCACTAGAATTGCTGTCCTTTTTTTCAAATTTCTCTTCACTAGTTGTAATGCAAAAGCATTTAAAGATCAGGACTAACTTTTAATAGGGCAGAAGCTCTGGGCTGCACTCAGTTGTGAACCTGATTTGTGCATGCAGGCACTACAAGAGCAAGTGAGGGCATCTGTCTGGCCCTTTGCATATACAAATGTCCCATTTGTATATACTGTCCAGCACCTAACCATGCCCTAGGCTTCTACCTTTCTAAAAATCAGGCCCATGTTGACTATATACACAATAATAAATACTGCCATGGTTATAGCTAGCACTGTGGCAAATTCAGAAACTAAAAAGGAAGTGTGGTATTTTCTTCACTGGTTTATGAAGGCAAGCAGAATGTAAAATCTGCAAGTACTCCTGTTCTTTTTGCCAATAAACAGTGGTGTTGCAGCATTCAACAGTATGCCTATTAGTAAGCAGGTCAGGCAGGCATTGTTTGTGAGGGAATCCACAGAATCGCTCCAGTTCTTGTCTCTAACTAGAAAGAGCTATTGTTATCGTAACATTTGGAATTATAAATAAGCAAAAGAAGGCCTGTGCGGTGACCACGTGATTAGCATACCACATTACTATGCAATTCATCTTCTGAGTCAGGTTTCTCAGTCCCTGACCAACAGGACCCAGGATTGCTGTAAAACCAGCACAGTCAGCTGCTGAGAAGAAAAGAGACTGTCCCCCACAAACTAGCCAGTGTAGGAGCAATGCTGATGGTCTCTGAAGGAAAGTCCTGTCCATCTCCCCTCTGCTAGAAGAAAGGTCGATGCTATATGGGTTCATAAGGAAATGGGGGGGATTCCCAGGGTTGCCAAAGGCAAAACAGACACACATGCCAAAACCAGAGCAAAAAGAAAAACAAACAGTAGTTTGACTGAGCACACACATTGAGTAGCCCAAATACTGTGATCTGGCCTGCAAGAGCCTGCGGACGAGGTGGGTTAGACTAGCTTTTTGCTTGTAGTAGATACACTGGGAAGTGTCTTAACTCTCGTTCAGCTGGGAAACATAATGATTGTAGAAGTGGCATTTAAAGGGACAGATGAGAAATGTGTCCAGTCTTCCTTGGTTGGATGGCGGTAGTCACAAAATGGGCCTTGTAGGAGAGCGGGAATGTAGAAAATGGTGGGGAGCCTGTGGACTCCAGCTGAGTCACAGAGGTGTCCAATGGAAAAGAAGAAACTGACAAGACTCCACCTTGCTTTCTACAGGCCTCTCTGGGTAGAGTTCCCCAAGGAACAAGAAACTTTTGGTGTGGAAGATGAATACATGCTGGGTAAGTAAACCATTTCCTAAACACCAGCTGGTGTCTGGATTTAAGTTTCAAAGTTAAGCACTTCTGCATATTATAGTAGCAAAAAGTATGAAAACCCTGGCCAAGATTTTTAAAAGTGAGAGATATTTTAAAGAGGCCTGATTTTCAGCGGGTGAATGCTCAACACTTCTGAAAATCAGACTCCTTTAAAGATGTCTCACGTTGAGGTGAAAAAATTGAGGCACTCATCATTAGTCGCTTTTGAAAATCTTGGCTCTCATTTCCATATGGCAGAGATGGAACTTGGTTCCAGCATCTAAAACCACAACCTGCATCAGGTGTGACAGCATCTAATAACTAATTATCCAGAGCTGATGGAGAGGTTGGAGTGATTTCAGTGCCTCTGATGAAATTCACCTTCTCTGTGGATTCTAATAAATCATCCCTGCCAGGGTTGAGTTACCTCTAGAGCTAGAAAAATACATCTTTAAGAGCAAATTTTTAGCCTTTTTGAATGTTCCAAGTATTAGAACTTCAGAAACTTTTCTCCCACACACCCTTGTCAGTTACACATCTTTGAACACTGCACTATGCAATCAACCTACTCAATATATTTTTCAGAAAAAAAGTGTAAACATTTCCAATGAAGTGCATTGAAAAGGAGTTTGTTTGCCAAATGGGGTTGCCTTCTTTCTTGCTTCTGGTTGTAAGAAAGTGGTGTTGTTTTTAAACATGAAACTATATTAATAGATTCCCCAGTCCCTCACCAGTCCTGTGTGCAAGCACATTAACCCATAGGACCCTGGATTTTATCACCTGTGAAGAGGGAACATTTTTGTGGGAGTCCATTGTTAACATATTGGTAACATACCATAGTTTTGGATTCTATGTTGGTGTTAAACATTGCATGGTCATAACTCTTACAGACACTGAGTACTACTTTCAAAAGCACCTAAATGAATTAGGCACCTGACTAACTCCCATTGCATTTCAAAGAGATTTGAACATCTGATTCCCTTAGGTGCTTTTTGAAAATCTTATCCAATAAGTCTGTAGTCTTCAACCTTAAATATTAGCCCCACAATGGAATCTTTAGGTAAAGGCAAAACAATTATACAAGAGCTAGATATTATTATTAATTTATACAGCACTTTTCATTAGTAGATCTCACAGTGCTATCTTTACAAAGGAGGTCAGTATCATCCCCTTTTTACAGCTGGGGTAACTGAGGCATAGAGAGGTGAAGTGACTTGCCAGAGGTCACCCAGCAGGCCAGTAGCCGAGCCACGAATAGAGCCCAGGTTTCCTTGAGTCTCAGTCCAATGCCGTATTCACAGGCTATGCTGCATCTTCTCATTTCCTTTTGTATCTCTTATTCCAGGAAACGCTTTACTGGTGCATCCAGTCATTGAACAAGAGGCCACTACAGTGAACGTTTTACTGCCTGGGTCAGATGAGGTAAGGGTAACTAAGAACCCACTCTGATGTTTGAATCAAAGAAAGTGCATTTACTCCATTCTCATGAGTCCTCTTCTATCCCAGCATAACCAATAAGTGATATTGCTACTAGCGGCAACCCAAGTCCCCTTCTCAAGGCCACTCTTCCCCATTTGTCTGTCTCTTGCACAGCAATCTCTGTACTTTCTACACATACATTACCCTCCCCGGGCCAGAACCCCGAGCTATTACTCTCTTCTAATTTAAATCCCTCCTCAAGCCCCGCTCCTTCCATGACACCTTGTTGGAATTATTAATATGGGAAACCACCAAACACAAATTTAATCATAAATTCCTTTATTAAATCCAAAGGCCAAATGATACTTATACAATTGCTCTAAACATGCCTACAAACCCTAACTAATAAGCAATTTACTATATCCAAACAGCAACAAAAAATGGATAAATATTTGATCAAGATACTCACAAATGGGCTACACCCAGGTGTATTTAGATCCGTATTGGCTGGCTCCAACACGGTCAGGCAGGTATTAGCAATGAATCCTTTAAGAGTTTACTTTTTATGCCCTTTTAACAAACAAGTGATGTCATTGCCAATTGCTGACTTCAGCTAAACACCAATTTGAGACAGTTCACCCTTATTTCCAGTCTTAATCCAGATAAGATTTAGCACCTCCTTTCTTCCCAAGGCTTTTCCTCCCTTCCCTCTAGCTGTCCAACAGTTTCCCTATTGCACCTAGGTTTACACAGGCTTTAACACTGGTGTGTGAGTTGGGGAAGGGCCATGTTGGCTCATTTTAAGACAGATTTTCTTTATTTTATTTAAAACCATCTGCGGTCATCCCTTTCAGTCAGAGCCCTTCTTTTTAGAAACTTCCCCTTATCTCATTAGTTATTCTTTGAACCAGACATCCTCCCTACTTCATTCCTTCTGGCCTTATTACTTATTATTTTCAAGGCCTTCATTCTACTTGCTAGTCTGGGCCTTTCTTTACAACAAATATATATTTCCTTAACCAAACTTAAGCTAAATTTAGTTCTTTAATTTTATACTTCTCCTACACCTCTGCAACACACTAGCTGACTTAAGTTGTCTGCTTATTTATTTAATTTCCTTTTCCTAGGGTTAGTTTCTCATTTATGTTGCAGGAAGGGGTCAAATGTTGGGACGGAGGATAGGAAGGACATTTGAGTTGAACCTGGGGGAAGAGACATGGGGGATGGATGGTAGAGGAAATATGAAATGAGAGGAACTTAAACAATTTTTTCTTATAATCTTGCTGTGTGCCTGTCACCGTGATCACTTTGCTTGTATGTTATATTCTTTTTACCCAAGACTGCATGCTCTTCAGAGCAGGTATTGTCATTTCAGCAACTAACACATTTTGGCCACTACCTCAGTCTAAGTAATAATAATGCAAGTGCTGCAGTGCAGACTGTTGTTCTGTGATTAGGTGCCCCAGTTAAGCACAGCAAACACTCTCATACACTTATAAAAAGTCAGTGCCTCTCTGAAGAGAAAGTTGTTCATCCACATGATGGCAGTGCAATGTGCTTCTGCATAGAAGACTTGATTTCAGAATCAGAGGTTGTGGAGGTGGTACTTTGGGAAGAGAGATTTCTTCAGCTTCCATGGCTAAGTGTTGACTAAAATTTTCTCAGCATCTCAAGTAACTAGATTTCCCACGTCATGGGAATCAGCTCTGACAAATGCAACTCATTGCACTGAGTAGGAGCTTGAGATCTAATTTTGGAGGCAGATGAACAGGAAGACAGGTAGAAAAGGAGAGGATGGAATAGCCTTGAGTATGAAAGGTCAAGTAAAAGCCTGTGGCTCTCCCCAATATGTCTCAGGAACTAGGAGTTCTTTGATCATTGTGCTTGAGATAAGGCAGAGTATAGAAATATGGGAAAGATTGCTTAGGGTCTCTCTCAGGAAGCTCTGACAAACACTTTTTTTTTTTAGTGAAGATTTGTATAGGAATTAACTGCCTGCCATGGCTGTAACAGCTAATCCTGTCAGGGACTATGGTGCAGAGGCACAGGGTGCTTTGTATGGTCATTTTCAATGACCTGCTCTTGCAGCATACTTTGGAATATCCCAATAAATTCAGTCAAGTCTGACATCTAGGTTGTAGTTATTTTGTTTGCCTTATTTTAGTTCCCAGATAATAGAGAAAAGTCCACATTGACCTGCTTTATACAGTTTACAGCATTTACTCAGACAATATCAAAAACTGAATAACCTTACACTGGAGGCATGATCTCTCAAGGACAATGTGAAAATCACATGCTGTTGTGGATGCCTAGAAATGCATTTGGCTTTTGGTGCACGAGAAGGTTTCAGTTGTCAGACCAGCCTAAATTTAACCCTTCACATGTACTAAACACTGAACTGAAAAGCCCTTTTACTTAACATAAAAAGACTGAAAATTCATGAGAAATAGACAATGTGTTCCTGTTGTCTCTTATACTCATTCCAAAGGCCCTAGAGCCAAAGCAGTGTGTACTAAAGAGGTTTAGTCCATAGCACATACCTCAGAACACAAGTTGGAGGCCTGTGGAAAACTTTATTTTAAGGTACAAATGTGCTTACACTGGATTTGTTTCTCAAAGTATTTTTTAAAAGTTTCATCATTTTGTGAATGACACTGTTGCTTAGCACCTGCAGCAGCTTTGAAACCTATTAGAGCAAATGCAACTTATAGAAAAGGTCATTCTCCATTTTGTGTTTCTGTGTAATGCACATTTACTAAGTCTCTCAGAAAGGTCTTTGGACTCAGCACACTAAATGCTATTCCTTGCATCACAAGAATACAGTAAAAGACAGTGACAGCCAGAGATGAATTCACAAAGCAAATGTCCCTGCAGAGGTATCAGATCTTTTCATAATATATATCTTATGTTTGTTTCTTCTGCCTTTTTCCCTGATGTAGGTTTGGTATGACTTCAGAAGATTTAGACGACTGGACTATCCAGGAACTCTGAAGATCCCAGTAACACTGGAGAGTGTACGTTTTTGTTTTGTAACATTGCTTTTATTGGGTTGACAGATTAAAATAGATTTTCTCTCAAACACTCATAAATCCGAATAGTGACATTAGGCTGCAGTCCTGCAAGGAGAATTAAAATAGCTTCTGTGGAGAAAAAAACAGATGCTGTCTTAACTCCAGGCAACATGGTTCAAACTAAGAAACAGCAAAGTGATAATATGAGCACAGCAGTCTCAGATAGACAAAGAATGGGCTAATTATGGCAGAAGAGAACTCCACAGTGAACCCCCTTCCACCTCCAAATCACCTCCCACTTAGAGGGAGTATTTAGTAGAAATGCTGAAAGTGCAGAAAGTATTTCAACAGTGTTTGTAGCGAAGGAGGGGTTCACTTGGACAGCCTCACATTTCTAGGTGGGACTTCATACTGTTCAAGCACTACATGAACGTCAGCACTGGACTCTCAGTGCCCATTGTCCATGTAAGTTATAGCAACTGTTGTACCAGAGGAGGGCAATGGACTGTCTTTGTCAGTATCCCATGTCCTTCATTCAGATGGACCCAGTTACACCATGGCCCCCAATATATGCTGTTGTTTGAGAAGACAGACACCGTACAGGGTAGGCACTCTGAGCAAATGTTGTTGGGATGATTTTGAGACAGGAAAAGCATACGGGAAGATGACTTGTCAGCAGAATAGAGTTTATTCATCAACGTGCTGTCTGCCGAAGTTCCCTATGGGTGATAAGAAACAGCTGCAATTTTTTCCCCAATAAGCTAAAATTAAATGATCACAGAATAGCACTAAGATTTCCACACTTGAATTCTTCTACCCTGGCTTTGTTATTGGCAGATTCCAGTGTTCCAGCGAGGGGGGTGTGTGGTGCCCCTTAAGACCACCGTAGGAAGATCCACTGAATGGATGACAGATATTTCTTACGAACTCCATGTTGCTCTGGACTCCAAGGTACTCTGGGATTACATTTAGTTTATACACCTGTCTTTTTATCCCTTCTTCCTGTCTCTTTTGGTCTCATCATGTCCCTGCTCCTCTTTGCCCTCTAGCAGTAGGACCTGCTTTATAGGGAACAGGAGGTCTCCTTCTGCCTATTCAACCTGCACAGTACGGTCCTTGCCTACACACCAGCTAGAAGAAGAGCCAGTCTCCTCCAGATTGCTGTGGAGAAACTTGGCACTCTTCTAACTTGCCTGGGCTCCACTCTTTGTGCTGGGGTTCATGCTAGAGCACACAGACTGTTCGTTTAACATGAGACTAGGATTTCTACACAAGTAGAGCATTTCCTGACCTTCCCTTTGCCCTTCCTCTCCTTGTCAGCCACCCTCCAGCAGCTTGGAGGAAGGAGAGGATTACTTCAGGCCACAAACTTCCTCTTCAGACCCAGAGAGAATGAATTCAGCAACTGTCTTTTTAAATACAAGCCAATAGCGGAAAGTACTGCACAGACACCACAATGAATTTACAAAACCATAACATCCAGAATGTTCTTTTAGTAATGCTGGATTGTTCTTCAAGGGAGTGTTTTAACCTACCAGAGATCATAACGGTTCTAGTGGCTTCTAACTGTTAACTTCAGCATATAGTGATGCTTATTTTCAGTTTCAGTGTCCAACACTCAGGCTTCTGTTAACTTTGTTCTACATCTGATGTGTCCCATAGGACTTTGCAGTAGGTGAGCTCTATCTAGATGATGGGCATTCATTTCAGTACCTCCATAAGAAGCAATTCCTGCACAGGAAATTCACTTTCCACAAGAATGTTTTCTCTTCCAGGTAATGGCAGCTGTTGCAGGTAAAATCCCCATAAAAGGAAATCCCTTTTATAATTCATTTTACTTAGCAACAAATGTGTAAGTGTTATTCTTGTCCATTGCTCAAGAACCCCCAGGAATAGAGAGTTTCACATGCAAAATTGGAGAGGTAAGTGTTACTCTACACAGTCGGACCTAGACTGTGTAGAGCATCTGGAATACTGAGTGCAACTCTGGTTCACACTGTTTCAGAAGGATACAGATTTACTAAATTAAATATAACAAAGGGCAGCAACAGGGATCCAAGGATTAGATAATAAGGTATATGGGAAAGACTGAGGAAGCTAAATTTAGTTTTGCAAAGGGAAGACACGTAGGGGATACAATCATTTTATGGATAGTTTTGGGGTAACCATATCAATAAAGACTATGTTCTAAGATTACAAATAATGGGGAGACAAATACTTATTAGCAATGAAGCCAAGGAAGGAAATGTTGAAACATAATCAGAAAACGTATGTCAAGAGAATAGTAGCGTAGAAAAACAAAGAGGGTAGTCAGGCATGCTAAATACCAAAAATATCCACAGCTGTTTGTAAGTAGGCAGATGTCTCAAATATGTCACTCCCAGACTTCCACCAACTACTGTAACAAAATTTGTTCTCCAAATGGATATGTAGCACCATCATTAACCTACAGATTTTTTTCTTGCTCCTTCAGCTCTTAAGTGTGAGTTAGAGATCATCTGTACTAGGAAACTTACCTTAAAGCAGGATCGTAGAATGGCTTGGGTAACATGACTAAAACAGAGATTAGTCACCTCAGTGCAGGCACGACTGAATCACATAGACAGGCCCTTCACCATTTGTATCTATTTAAATCATTTTCAGATGCCATCTAGGTAACCAGGAGCTTGTGAAACCCACTTACGCACCCATTAGGCAGTTGGTGATGGAGGGGAAAAAATATCACTCCTGCATCAAGAAAAAGTATGTTAGGGAAAATAAACTGTGTTTTGGATCCTGAAGTAAGAGACTGTAGTAGTGGTTTGTCCCTCCAAGTTTTATGCCTGGGTTGGCTCTCCAACCACAGGTAGAAACTACTGTGTCTGAGACTGTTTGTTTTCTTTTTCAGCTGTGCTGATGAATTTGGGCAGTACCACACAAAATGTGTAGTTGAACGGGTACTAATTCTGGGAGTTCAAAAGCAACCCACATCTGTGACAGTCAGTCTCCAGGGTGAGAGAGGCCAGTATTTTATACTTCACTTCAATTTTTTAAAATTTTACTGTAATGGTAGCACTAATTAAAGGTGGCAGATGACAACACTGAAAAGAAAACTATAAACATGGGAAGCAATAGTACAAGCTTCCCCAGTGCTGTCCCTCCAGTATATCCCACCCTGTTCTTGAGGGACCGTCACTGTGGATAAGAGGGTAGTTCAGTTTGCAAACCTAGTTAATCCTTGGCCCCTCTACTGAAGGTGTCGACTAAAGCACCAGTTGTTGCAACTAATGTGTAAACTGGTGGCTTGATTGGACAGAAACCACAGCAAATGGCTGTAAGGTTCATTCATTAGGAGAAAGTCTCGATAAACACAAAGCAAAACAAGGTAACAAAGCTGCCTCAGCCTGGGGAATCAACCTAGCTCTCCGAGCCCAGGGAGGAGCCCAGGATTAACAAATTTAGATAACCTTGTTTTACAGAGCATGCAGCTGGAGATACATCTTAATAATAACACTCTTAGACCCTCAAATAGGGTGGGTCAGACTGGTCCAAGAAAGGAAATTTGCAGGCAAGAACAAAAGTTTATATTCTCGCTCACGCAGGAGGGTTCACAGATTCTGACAGTGTGGAACCCACTGAACTATACAAGGACCTGCCTAGGGAAAGCTAGTGAAATTTGCACAGAGGACCTGTCCCTCCAGGCCTCCCTTTCCCCTTTGGGAATCATAATTTCATTGTTCCTGCCTACACCTGTCTCGACCCCTGCTAAGGCACAAAAGGTGACAATTAAAGCACATGTTTGCAGAGTTGGAGTAAAAGAAGAAGTGATACCGTAGACTCTGATGCACCCTTATGAGTATACTGGAGATTTGGCCAGTAATTGCTCTCCTTTTATCACCTCCACGCCTAACCGAGGAGATAATCTGACCCAGTAAGAGTGAGAGAAATAAGGCAGTCATGTATAACTTTGCTCAGAAGAGGTTTTCTTAGAGTGCATCATAAACTCTCTCTTGTCCTATTGCAATTCAGATGGGAAAGACAAAGAAGTGGTTTTCACATATGATGTCAAGTCCTCCATGTTGACCCTGGAAAAACTATTATTAAATGTTGGTGCGGACTGGGAAATTCACATCAAGTGAGAGGAGAAACTGCATCTTCAGAGAACTGGATGGAAAGTTGAAAGGAAATGGTTTTGAAGGACTTAAATTTCTCTCTTGAATCTGACTAGTTTGAAATAATGTAGGCAGAACTATAGCAGCCCCAGGCTAATCTTTCTTAACATTTTCTTTTAAAAGATTGATTTAACTTAGATTTGACAAGCTCTTCCCTGGTCAGTAGCTGGCAAAAGTAATAGTAATGCGATCATATCACTGGAAAAGGCTCATCGCTGTCCTGCCAAGGCTGGTTTCATTTTGGCAAACAGGATTCTGCAGGCAGTGGGCTAAATTCTGCCCTCCCTTGCACCCAGGGCCGGCTCCAGGCACCAGCATTCCAAGCAGGTGCTTGGGGCGGCAATCTGCAAGGGGCGCCAGTCCGTGTGTTTTTGCCGCCCCAAGCAGCACGCCGAATTGCCACCGCGGACGGCGGGGGCAGTCCGTGTGCCGTTAGGGCGGTACGCGCGTTTCCGCGGCGGCGGCAATTCGGCGGCAGCTTCTATGTTCAGCTGCCCGCGGCGGCAATTCGGCAGCTTCTGTCTTCCAGCTGAAGACAGAAGCTGCCGCCGAATTGCCGCCGCCGCAGAAACGCGCGTGCCGCCCTAACACACGGACTGCCCCAGCAATTCGGCGCACTGCTTGGGGCGGAAAAAACAGTAGAGCCGGCCCTGCTTGCACCCATGCAATAAAGTCCTCCATTAGGCTGTGGAAGAGAGTGGGCCTGGTTTTCAAGGTCTTTAACCCATGAATTTCTAGTTTTTAAATTGCAGGCACTTTTCTAAGTGTCTGCAAATCTTGACTGTTCAGCAAATAGGGCATTTCAGAGAGGGAGGAGGGGAGGAGCCCTGAATCAGCTTGATCAAACAGCATTGATGAATCTATGCAAAATGAAAAGGACTAAAATGTATGTATAGGACACTGTGTGCAAACTACCTTGGGCAGAACCAACTTGAATGAGTGTGATTACTTCTGTTACAAGCATTCTCTTTCTGTCCCCACAGCCCTAGCCTACAAGACAAGGAACAGCCCTACAGTCTGTTTACAGGAAAGTAAATAACAGAGCTGGGTGAACAGTTCAGCAGTTGAATCTGAACTCAGCCCAAAGTTAGGGTTTGGGAGGGCAGTATGTACCAGGTGATGTGAGTGAATAAAGGATAATATGGGAATGGGGAAATCACATTGAATATTTATTTCTAGATTTTATAACATTTAGATTTTTATAAAGGATAATATTGGGTTTGGGTATTAGCTGGACTCCCATAAACACTTTCTATCACAACGCTTTTTCCCACCCTGCCCACCCCTAATGTGTTTTGGTTGGGGCGATTGCCCAAGGTTTTATTTGAATGAGTACCAACTGTTTAAATAGAAGGCCTGCACAAGAGAAGCTCTGCTCTTACAGATCTTATAAGACGCCCTATAGCACGGCTTTCTTCCTCCAGACTTTAGCCCAGGGGTGGGCAAACTATGGCCCGTGGGCCACATCCGACCCTCTAGCCAGTTTAATCTGGCCCTCAAGCTCCCCGCTGGGGAGTGGGGCCTGGGGTTTGCCCTGCTCCCGCACTCCAGCCAGGGAGCGGGGTCGGAGGCCGCTCTGTGCGCGCATGCTGAGGCTCCCGGAAGCAGCAGCATATCCCCCCGCCAGCTCCTATGTTTAGAGGCAGCCGGGGGGCTCCGCGCACTGCCCCCCCCAAGTGCCACCCCCACAGCTCCCATTGGCCGGGAACTGTAGTTAATGGGAGCTGCAGGGGCAGGGCCTGTGGATGGGACAGCACACAGAGATGCCTGGCTGCACTCCGCATAGGAGCAGGAGGGGGGACATGCTGCTGCTTCCAGGAGCTGCTTGAGGTAAGCACCACCCAGAGCCTGCACCCCATAACTCCTGTGCCCCAGCCCAAGCCCTCCCCCCCCATGCACCTTAACTCCCTGCCCTAGCCTGGAGCCCCCTGTTGCACCCTGAACTCCTCATTTCTGGCCCCACCCCAGAGCCCGCACCCCCAGCCAGAGTCTTTACCCCCTCCTGAACCCCAACCCCAATTTCGTGAGCATTCATGGCTCACCATACAATTTCCATACCCCGATGTGGCCCTCGGGCCAAAAAGTTTGCCCACCCCTGCTTTAGCCAGTCCTTGGGATGGGGTGCTCATGCATGCCTGAATGCATGCAGTGGGGACAAGGTGCTTTTACCTTAGTGAGCTGAGGCTGGAAGATGGGAATGGAGGATACTGTTCCTCACTGAAAACTTTAAAATGCTTATATATAATAATGTTTAAAAGACTCGGCTTTTACCTGTCCTCTTCAATGCTCCCTCCCCAATTCCCTACACCTCCTCCTATTGCCATTATAGTCTCCTGCTCCCACCCCTTCTGCACCCTTTGCGCCTGCCTTCCAGAATCCCCTCTTCCAAGACCAGGTTACACAGCTCCATGCCACCGTACCCCCAGTCTATGTCTCTCCCAGCCCACTGTCACTGTTCAATAGTTAGTTTAAACTGTTTGCCCAGCTCTATTTAATAATAGCCATGCTATAAGTCATATGTTATTTAAAAAAACAAGCCAAAGTCAGCTCTGATGCAAACCTGTGAACGAAGTCAGTTGGTTATATGGATGGAAGCGAGCAGAATTCACTCCATTCTTTTAGCAAAATGAAGAGGATAGTAAATAGTTTACTTGCCTCTTCAGATATTCTCTTGTTACATGCGTGTGGGTGGTGGGGAATAGAGAGCACTCCTGGGGCAGCACAGCTGCAGAGCCCGGCCTGACCCGGTCTCTGTGCTGTGCGGTGGCGGCGGCATGGCCCAGCTTCAGCACCGCCAGCCACAGGTGCTCCAGGCAGCGCGGTAAGGGAGCGGGGGGGTTGGATAGAGGGCAGGGGAGTTCAGGGGTGGTGCTCAGGGGGCAGGGGTGTGGATAGGGGTCGGGGTGATCGGGGGGGGGGAACGGGGTTGGATGGGGCAGGAGTCCCAGGGCGCAGGGGGAGCAGGTAGGAGGTGGGGGCTGGGCCATGACCCACTCCCCTAACCAGCCCTCCGTACAATTTACGAAACCCGATGCGGCCCTCAGGCCAAAACGTTTGCCCCCTCCTGCTCTAACTCCACACTGGCCAGCAAATACCAACAAGCTTGTACATGTGCCAGCTTTTCCCACTAAGCCTACACAGTGCTTCGTCAATCAGTTCCACCTGCTGCAGTTTATTCTCTGTAGGGGATTTCTGGGAGTGCCAAGTTTCAACACACAGCATTAGCTGTTACCATTATATTCTAAATGAATGACTGCAACTTATTCAAGCAAGCTCATTCCTCCTGGGACCCTGAGGATCTCCCTACCCTTTATTCTGAGGAACTATCTTTACTCTCCTCCCCCTTTAAAATTATATACTCCCTTCAAGCAGATGTGATCAGTGAGACTTTGATCCAAGCACTAAACACTGGGGACCTGAAGATTTCTGTTTAAATCACAGTTGAACCAATCCATGTTGGGTGACCTGAGGTGAATCCTTTGTCTCCTTGAGCCTCAAATAGTCCAGTCTGAAAACAAAAGGATTTCACTGATCTGAGCTTTCCAAGGGACAGAAATGACAAAAACAGTGCCAAATTCTGGCCTTAGTTATGCCAATGTAACCTTTAAGAGAGGGCAAAATTTTGTCTATGCTAAGAAAATTATCTTCCTACCTCAAAAATGAGGTAAAAAGTACTGGTTCTCCTCTTCAAGGACCAAAGGGCCTGACTCTGCTCACACTGATTTTACATGGTGTAACTCCACTGATTTCAATGGAGTCACTCCTGATTTACACCACATAAGTGAGAGGAGAATCGGGCCCTAGCATTCTACCAGTTTGTGAGTTTTATATAAAACCTATCTCTAACAGAGTTCAGTATTGCTTCCTGCTTCAGAACATGACTTGATTGCTGTTGCTCGTGTGTGGTTAACATTCCATTAGAATGCTACACACATTTTATCTTGATCTTATGAAGTGTGAAGGAAGATGTAATAAATGAACAAAGATTGTTTTCATCTTTAAATAAGTCTTACGCCTTATTTCTTCCATCCTTCTTCCCACCATGGAGATCCACAAATAAGCATCCTTTGAAATGCACCATTTTAGTACAAAGTGGAGGCTATAGCTGTCTACTGATAGTTAGACTGTGCCCCTCACTGTGATATCTGAGCACCTAGCAAATAATTTATTTGCTACATTTACAAGCAGCAAAATCTTTACGTCTGAGGACTTAGCTAAACTATGGTTCCAGGAGCAACATTCACATTATGTTTTTGTAACAGCTATTACTGTTTTCTGTATATTAATACAATAGTGCGGGCAAGGCAAATAATGAACATTTTTACATGTTGATTCATGCTGTTAACAACTGAAAACTGATAAATAATTCAATTAAGATATTAAAATAAAACAATTGGCGATCAAATGTAATGAAAATTAAATAGAAACATTATTATAGGTGTATCTGATTTAGTTGGTTCTTTGCTTGAGCAGTACATTTATTTTATTCTGCCTGACTTTGTGTGTGTGTGTGTGTGTGTACACATACACAAACATCTATATTTTAACCAAGGTTGAATATTATTGTATTTCTGTTTGCAAAGAAAACCTGTTGCAAAAGCTTTCTTGGTTCCAAATGATACTAATTCATATTTGTGTGCAAAATTCCCCCCCAAACATTTCAAATACCAGAATCCTTTCTGAATATTTGTATTAGCATACATAGAAATCAGCATTCAGCGAAGGACAAACAAAACTTTCATTGGTTCCGGAACACTGACACCAGCACCGCTATGATAGAGCAGTAATCTTGGCATAGCAATGAGCTCATCAAGTGTCAGACACTGCTTCTAGTACACCTCTACCCCAATATAAAACTGTCCTCGGGAGCCAAAAAATCTTACCGCATTATAGGTGAAACCGCGTTATATTGAACTTGCTTTGATCCGCCGGAGTGCTCAGTCGCACACCCCCCCCCGGAGCGCTGCTTTACTGCGTTATATCCGAATTCATGTTATATCGGGTCGCATTATATCGGGGTAGAGGTGTATTTCCATTTGTTTTACTGCCAGGACATGGCTCTGTGTGTGTGATGATAGTTAAGTGAATTTTTGTACTGGAGGAAAACACAACCTGAACACAAACATACCCACAGAAAAGTCAGTGTTTCAAAGCAATAAGAGGTGTCTGCAATCTGATTATTTTGAATCACTCTTGAAAATATCCTGGAAAGAGAGAGAGAGAGACATCTTCTGCCAGGCTCTCCTGCAAAGCCATGTTGGTTATGAGACTTACAAGACTCATGACCGAATATAAGGAGGAAATGACCAATGCTGCA